ACCACAATTTTGTATGAATCCCTCCCTCTGCCTAGAATGGTTTTCCCTAGCTACCAATCTACTTAGCCTGTACATATATATCAGTTAGGAAAGTCAAGTCACTACTACGTCTTACCTTCCCATACCACTAATACCAAGTAGAATGGATAACTGTTATGAAATTTAAAAAAAATTTTTTATTAATTCCTGGATAATTTTGTACCATATACTTTGATGATATTTACCCGTCCTCCAGATTATCCCAGATCCACTCCTCCATCTCTACCTACCCATTTGTGTCTTTTTTCCCTTTATTAATTAAAAAAAATTCATACAATATATCTGGGTCGTTTTATTTATAACCCATCAAGGGCAATGTGTGTTGCCTATATATTTTTGGATGTGTGTCTTCCATTTGAGCACAGTTACTTACTGGTAAGGGATTTTGTGCTCTTAAAGAAAAATGAATGACTCTTCTCCCAGGGGCTATCAGTGGCCAGTGCTCCACAACCAGGGGTGGACTCCGTACTCACCTTCCACTCCCTGTTGGGACTTTGACTTGAGTTTGCACAGTCTTTGTGCATGCTATCACAACTGAGAGTTCATGTGTGCAGCTGCCCTGCCAAGTTCTTATAGTTGTCTGCCATTTCCGGTTCTTTCAAAACAATTCCTTGCATGTACTTGATTACATGCCCCCTTTCCTCTTCCTGCCTGCCACCCTCCCAAAGAAGACTTTGTCACCTGTTTATCTCAGGGCCTACTTAGTGCTTGGTACTCAGCATATAAACAATAAATACTTGATACAACAATGTATGAATGATTGGTATTCTCTGGGAAGGATGGATAAAATAAATTACATACTGAATGACTCAGCCATTACTCAAAAAAGGAGATAAAGTATATAAAATATTCTAATCAGTACAAAATCCATTTATCCATTTCTGCTTATAGAAATTAGTTTCCAATTGCAAGTTTTAAAACATTGTTCAGTTTAGATATTAATATCAAACATGTTTAAAATGTAACTTGAAGTACAAAATAGTTTATTTACCTAGTAATACTTTTCCCCTTAATTTAAATGTTGGCATTGTCTAGCATACCCAGATGTTTATATCATTACTTTTAACCATTTATGGAAATTCAGAACATTTCATCTGGTACTTCTTATATGTTTCCTCTAAAACCGCCACTTCTGCCAAAAACATCTATAAAGAACTCTCTCAAAAGATTTGGGTAACAAAGCGTCTGGGAATGTATTTGGCTTATGTTCAACAGGACATTATATATTTTCTTGTATAAATCATGTCCTGGAAAATGGAATGTCTTATTTAAAATAAAAACTCAGGCACATTCAGCATCATAAAGGTAGTTCCATGTGAAACATTTCAAGCTCCTTTTGTCTAGGTAGCTTTAAAACATGTTTTTATGTTTCATATATTATAGTAACTTTTACTGGACTCATTTTATACATACTTCTAGACTTTCTTTTTAAAAGTGTTCTAAGGAAATTTTCCATTTCCAACGCATACAAGACATTTTAAAAAGTAGTCACTAACTTTTTAAAAATTAGTTACAAAGTCTTTAATATACAAGTATAGGGCTTGGGATGCAGCTGACTTTCTAAGCACACCCAGGACCTTGGGTTCCCTCCCTAGCAAAGGAAATAGGGAACACATAGGCATCACCTGGCAAAAGATGTTCCTCACACTACAATGTCTATTGCTTATGAAAACTTTCTTTTCTTTGCATGCCACAAAACACAGTGTTTTTTAGTATTAATTGCCAAATCAAAAAGTATCTTACACTTTCCATTTCAAATTACCTAATCATTTTCATTTAAGGTGGAATTTATTAAGAGCAATTAAGGAAATGGAGAAAGGAAAATAAGTGCCTACATACATAACAATGTATGCATCTTTCAGTGGCAGCTGTACTAGGTTTACACAGGTTATATTTTCTCATCAATAACAAGTCAGCAATTCTCAACTCTGATGAACTACTCAGTTAAAAGACCAGTGCACTGACTGAAAAGTACAGGACGCCATGTGAAAGGAGTTTTAGAACTATGTCGAAAATAGTCTTCCAGGTGAAATGTTGCAAGAACAACCTCCAAAAGGAAAGACAACAGTAACCTTCTACCAGCCAACACTGCCTATTAAAATAGAGCATCTGTATAGAATCTTAGGGTTTCTCTTGTTGGGGGATGAATTAGCCTAACTAGTTCTTATGATTTAAATAGTTTTCACATTTGCTAGTGAAATCCTACTAGTGGCTTAACACTTTCTTCAAGTCTCTGTCCCTTAACAAGAGGAACTAAATGTGCCCCTTACAGTCACTGCTGTGCAAAACTATCTTAAATTACTACCTTACGATGTTCGTCATGTGCCATTTCCTTCACTTCTTGAAAAGGGGTCTATCTAGTGTTCTACACAGCAGCCAACGTGTAGTGAAGCAGCTGGTCTTTCTTAGGTGCTTACTGACTATTAAAGCGCCAGGCATCTGTCTCTATGTCTCTCTACAGGACCCATAAGTGCCCTTGGTTCATAACCATGGTGCACGTACCTGACATTAACAATCACATACTCTAAGAGGGACTGATTTCATCCATGCTGTACTGCTTTAATGCTGGAGTCACATGTGACCACTCTTTCCTTATGTTTGGATAGACTGAATCATATCTTGGTACTAATGATATAATCAACCATTCTGAATAAAACACACCACTTCTTAAAGTAAATTTCCTAATATTGTCTAAATGTTGAAACAGCAGATCGACTAATCATTAGTCTACAGAGGCTTAGAAATAAAACAATACTTTGTCTTTACAATTCAAGTTGGTGTATTTTCTTGCAACAAAAACCAATTTGTCTTTTTCAAAATTGTTTCTCCTGGCAAAAACTTTTGCTGTCTGGCCAACTTTTGTGTTAAAAATAAAGTACAGTGTTACAACATCAATCAATCACCATGTAAAGTACTTAGTGACTTACAAAAATATACAGGGATGCTTTTTGAAATAAGTAAGCCAATCAAGAATTTATTTATATTATCAAATCAAGAATACAGCATTGAGAAAATCAAATCGCATTTGTGTCTAGAGATATAAATGTGGCACTAAGTGCTTAGGTAATGTAAGAAAACACTATTAGGAGAAGCTATAAAAGGCAAGAATAATTTAAAGACATAACAACTAACTGTCTCAGGTTCCCCTTCCTGTCTGTGCCACACTAGCTCCTTGGCCTTTTCAAATAGCGGTTGTGCAAGCTGAAGTAAGCAGAGCTTTCTAATTCTGACTCCCTAGAATGAGCTCAAAGTCCCTATTTACTAAAAGTAGGGACTTTGTATTATGTATTACACAAATAGGAAACCAGGCTACCTGTTCTACCAGCTACAATGAAGAAAACTGAAATATTTCTACTCATAGAAGTTTAAATAGGCACTGGAGCAAACACCAAATACTGCAGTTAAGTCACAGACTCTTTTTCATCTGACCATGGTCTACTGAAAATGGCTCAGGTGAATGTCTAGAGCAATGTGGTTGTAGATGTCAGGGCACACAGCATCAAGCTGTCACAACCCAATGATGTAGTTCAGATGATATAGTTCAGAACTCATCTCTTTCCCTCTGCTGATCTAGCTCAGCTCTAAGATATGACACCTGTAGCTAACCCTTTGGTGCTCTGTGTTCTTCTTGGTTCATCACATTTTCCAAGGTAGATTGCACTGGCTATCTATCTAACTAGATTATTTTCCCAATACACAGTTCTCATTAAAGAAGTCATTTCAACAGTGAGGGTTCAGATAGAGAATACCACTCTATCTCCAAGGGAGCCACAGACAACAAATGACAAGTCATATCTTATAAAAGCCCAGATCCCTGACAGGAATACAGAAGGTGGAAAGATCAAACTTTTTGTACAACAAATGAAGAGATCTGCAAGGAAATCTAAGTTTCTGTAATCTATAAAAGGGGACTGATGCTATACATTTACAGTTGTATATGAGTATGAATAAGCAAATGAGTAAGGAAAAGACTAAGCACTATAGTCTGTTAGGTCAACTGTGCATACTCTCTAGGTATTGTTCCCTTGTTGCCTATTTCAGGTCTACTTGAGATTTGGAGCTCCTACACCGATCAGTTCTCATGAAACAAAAACTCAGAACAAAGTCTCAGAGAGAAGTTACCCCAGTGATGCCAGCTTTCTTGCACCTATTATTATTTTGTTGTGTCCACTTGGGGTTCCCTGGATCTAGGCCAAGTGCCCTTGTCACTGTTCCTGTTTAATAGCATCTCTGTTGTTTCATCTACTTTTACTTCTGCTTTCTGACATTTATTTTGTGGCATGTAGTATTTATTTCTTAAGTGCCTTGAGATCAGAGACATCTACAGCCAATGCATTCCTAGGCTCAGTTATGAGCTCCCTAATCACTTCAAATCATTACCAATTGAAAACAGCCCCAGAGGAACTTCAAGTCCCTGGCTAGCTCCAAACAAGAGATTAAATTTAATGATATGCTATCACTGCTGGCTGTTAGGCTAGTAACAGCACTGTGAACGACCCTACCATGTGAAGTTCAATGATAATCCTAAATACTAGGGATTAACTATAAGATACTTTACAAGCACCAAACCCAACACACTGGGTACTGGCTGAAAAGTCCATCCACAATCATAAAAATCACAAAAAGTCATCCAGTAACATATCAAATGGCTTCAGATGTGGCACAAACTATCAGGGAAAAGACAAAATCATAAAAATTGGACCAGTCAAATAAATCTTCTTGATCAACATGGCAACAACCAAAAAAGTCACACCTCAATAACCAGGAGAACTAACTGGACAGATAGGCTATCCTATAGGCTACCCTAATGCCTCTGATCTCAATAGATACAGACTTAAATAGAAGCAAATTGCACATGGGAATGGGAAATAGAAGTCACACTCCACTAGCCTTCTCAGCTGTGCCAACGTATGGCAGAAAACCATACTTGATTCAACAAAAGCAAAAGCAAAAAGACCTACTTTGCTTTTTAAGTTCTTCAATTTGTTCTTCTTTTAGGTCTAACTGTTCTGTAAGCCTTGATGCTGAATCCAATGCAGCATTTGCTTCATCCAAACGTTCCTGGTGGCGGGGGAGGGAGGAGAGAAGGTTATTAAAAGGCAGAAAGGGCTGGAAGACACTTTAGAATCAACCAGCATCTCAGCAGGTGTTGAAGCTGCACCTCTGTAACCATGGCAAGTCTGTGCAACCTTCTGGCCTCATACTCTTTCACAATACATTGCTGCCCTTTCAGAGAAACTAAGTAAGATGCTACTAAAAGATAACATAACAAAAAAACCTCAAAGTAACAAGATAAACAACTAAAAAGACATAAAAGACCAACAAACACAGTAACAAATGCTTTTGTTCTTTTAAATTTCCTAAGCTAACATATATAAATGGGATGTTTCACTATAACTATTACTGCACATCTGTGTTCTGTTTATACAACAGTTGGATCTACTCATATGAAAACCTCATTGTGTACACTGCTTATGTATTTCTCCTGTTCTGTCTCCCCATCCATTAATGTGAGCACCTAGAAGATAGGAACCCTTTGTTCTCCGGGCAATGAAAATGAGGTCATCCATTGGTCTACTGACTAATAGCCTTTTAACCCCTTTTAAGCAATATACAAGGAGGTTCTCCTTTATGCTTATAGCTTGAGTTTAATCTTGATTAAGATCCCTACTTCTAGACACACACAATCTAGAATTTATTTAAGATACTTTGTTTTCTGTATCTAAATTTTAATAAAGCATTTCTCAATGAATATATCTTTGACAATTCCTAGCTTACTAAGTATCAGAAAAGCTACCCAGTCACTACACCATTGATAGCATCCTCATACACAGATGTGGTGGCATAGGACTGTACTACCAGCACTCTAGAAGCAGGATGATTCTGCCAGCCTGAGCAAAGCTAGAGCCCGTCTCAAACAAAACAAAAACTACTCTCAGAAGCCAAGACTTCTACCAGGTAAGAATTCTTGTTTTAACATAACTGAAATTCATTTCTAAATATGATGTAAGAAGGAATCTAACTTAATTTTGTCTGTATGCATAGTTTGTCAATGTCATTTATTTTTATTTTTGTGTTTACTTTGAGAAAGGGTCTTACTATGTAGACCCACTTGGCCTGAAATTCCCTATGTAGACCAAGCTGGCCTAGAACTTACAGAGATCTGACTGATCCTGACTTCTGAGTGCTGGGATTAAAGTCCTGCCCAGCCAGTATCATTTTCAGAAAATCTTCTTTCTTACTGAATTAAACATGAGTCAAATGGGACTCTTTCTGTCTCTGGCCACCATAGGGAGAGGGGCTGCTGCCCCATCCAGGCATTTGCAAGGGACACTGCGGAACTGCTCCAGATCCCTATCAAGAGGAATAAGCAGATTACAACAGCACCAAAGGGACCGCTTCACCACAGACATGCAGATCTGGTCAGTGAAAACCAGCCACTTTTTATGTGAGGACCACCATCAACAAGAATGCTGGGGCACCCTCAGCAGCATTAGGCACATGATCTGCAAGAACAAGTACTTTCTGATGTGGGCATGGTGGCCATCCACATGGTGGCCATCCACAGGGCCAGTGACATTGCATGAAGCCAGAAACCTGTGAAGGGGAAGGGGAAGCCAACCCACACCACCAAGAGCTCTGAGCCCCACAACCAGAAGCAATAGAGTCCAACTACTACCCTACCTCCCCAAAAGCTCAAATCCATTTCATTTAAATTCTCAAATACATTCTGGGCTCCACTTCTGGACTGTTCCTATGTCTAGACCATACTGTACTAGCTCTGTTTTGACACGGTCCTTCCCCCACTGCTTTTCCTTGTTCTAATTTTCTTTGTTATCCTGAAGAATTTACTCATGTAAATTCCGGGCCACATTCCAGTCTGGGACTTGTCTGGTGTGTTACCTTGTATAGGTTACAGTCCCTAGTTATCCATCAGATACTATGAAGGGCATTCTGCAAGCACACTTCAAGGAAAGACAGCTTGTCCTCCTGAGTAACCTGGAGTATCTTGGCTAGGCCAATGAGAAATTCTTAAAGGCAGAAACTGGGCTTCCCCCAAATGACAAAGTCCAGTTGATGGACAGCAGCTTCTTCCTGTGCTCACAGAACTCCGTCCAGCTGTGACTGCCCTAGCTGCCTGAGGACAAAAGCTCTGTCTTGTGCCTGTGTGTTCCAGCTAGGCCTTTGATGTGGTCTTCCCATCTTGACTGCCAGCCCTCTAAACTTCAGACTTGCTTAGCAAGCTCCAATAATCATGTAGCAATTCCCCATAATCAAGTACACGTGTGTCTACACATTATCCACATTAATGTATGGACACCCCCCCCCTTACTAATTCTGCTTTCTAGGGGTGGAAATCTGACAGGGTCTGAAACAAAAATTTTAAATAGAAATGTATTATTCCAATCTATAAATCTAAATTTTGTATAAAGGGAAATTTAAATAACTTTTAGAAAATCTAACCATTAAAAAAGAAAGCACAACTTCATAGTGTTTATATGTATGCAGTAGGGTTTGTGGTTATGCAGGTTTGTTGTGCTGGAAATGAACCCAGGGTGTCATAGGTGCTATGCAAGGATGCCACCACTGCACCCCAGCCCCGGACCTCTAACAAAGACAGTAAACAAAGAACAAGCTCTTTGGACCTTAGCACTTATGTTTTGTTATTTTGCCATGTTTGGATTTTATTTCACTTGTTTACCTTTTATCTTTATTAATTTCTTAAGTTTCTTTTGGCTTATTTTGTTCTTTTATAAAATGATGAATTTATTTTAAATTAAGAAGAAAACTAGTCTTGTAAAAAAAAAAGATCTGGACTGCTACTTTAAGAGTCTAATAGACAAGATATTCTGATACCACTAGACACAATTAAGTGTTGAATAAAAATCTATCTTTTGGTCAGCTGTGATGGTGCACATCTTTAATCCCAGCAGTCAGGAGTCACAAGCAGGAAGATCTCTGAGTTTGAGTCCAACCTGGTCTACAAAGTAAGCTCTAGGATATCCAGGACTATGCAGAGAACACTCTCCCAAAAAACAAAACAAAATGTATCTTTATAGATACATTAATAGCTTTGATAAAGTAAATGGAACACTGGAAAGCAGGGCCTATGGAAGGTGTTTATGCCACTAGAGCACTGTCCCTTGGGAAGAATAAATACCATTGCTGCAGGAGGGGGTCCTTATGGAAAGGAAGAGCTCAGCCCCTCCTGCTGTGTCTCTTGCTCTACAATGGGATGATGCAACAAGAAGGCCCTTGTCAGGTACAAATCCCAGAACCATTAGTTAACAAAATTATTTTCTTTATAAACTACCCTGACTGTAGTTAAAACAGCACAGAAACAAGTAACATACCTTCCTAGTGATCAGTGTGGTAAACTTCAAAGTCTGATAATGTATCATGTTGACAAAGATATAGAACAAGAATCATGAATATATTAAGAGTCAGAGCAAATTAACATGACCATTAGAAAACTACCCCCTAGCGATAAAGCTTAGGATGTCAAATATACCCTATAATTTAGTAATTCCAATCAAGCATACCTGATAGAAATCTGTGTGTGTATGTATCACGAGATATAAACAAGGAAGTACATAATAAGCTCATTGCTTATATAGATGAATATAAAATGTCCTTCACGGTAAATGGGAAAGCAAAGCAGAATACCAGTTTCTTTCTATATGAAACACCTGGAAGACTGTGGAAGAATACAGAGAAACTGCAAAGGCAGTATTCCAATTATGGTGGGTCAAGAGGATGTGGGCATTTGCTGAATTGCTATTCTTCTATCGTGCATGTATCTTATATACACTAGTGTACACATTAAAAATTTTATGGCCACTTAATATTTAACATAAATTTTAAAGCTTAACAGAAAATATGGTTATTTTCTTAGAATATCAACAGTCCTAAACAGTATCTGTCACCAACTCCAGATAAGGGTATTTTATTACTTTCACCAGCTGTTGGCAGTCTACCAGTGACTGGGAACAGTACCTCCAAAATCCAAAGCAAGTCCCTTTGGCATCATATCTCTGCAGCCGGATTGATTTCACCCATACCTTCCATATGACTTTTATATATAAAATAGAAAATAAAAAGGAAAATAATTCAAGAGCTTTAAAAGAGAAGACTGAGCAGGTGACTCACTCCTGTGACCAGCATCTGCGGCTCAGGCAAGAACTGACTGCTGAGAGCTCCAGTGCAGTCTGGGCTACAAAGTGAGACCCTGACTCAAAAAACAAAAACAAAGCAAATCCCCTCAAATTACCAGAATCAGTAACAAGAGAGGGAGAACCAGAAGAAAAGATCAAATAGGATAATATGTATAATTTTAATACATAACAAATGCAGTATACAAAACACTTGGTTCAAAAGAGAAAAATTGAACTTAATCCTATAGACGAATTTGTTTTCATTTTCTAGAGGTCCTAAGATACTGTGGTGTGCTAAAGCATTTCAAGTTCCTTTCATCTCACATTCACTATGCCTACTCTAAATGTTGTCACCTGAGAGATTCTGAGCCTGATGTTCCAATGTAATACCCAGTAGAAGGCTGGATAAAATCACTCAAACGTTAAATAGTAAATGAATGGTTTTTGAGACCATTGCCAAGACACAGCTCTTAAAAGAAAACATTTTGCCTACCTGCAGCGACAATGCTTTTCCTTCCAGATTCTCTGCTTTTTTCTTCCATTCAGTTAAGAGCTGGTTTTGCTTTTCTAATTCAGCAGAATACATAGCTTTTTCCTCTAAGGAGAAAGGAAAGTTATAGCAGTATTTGCAGCAGTGTACAAAGCTGGCATGTTGCATCATTTAAACACCCCAAGGGGAAGGACGTGTCTCAGTGAAGACAGCGAGTGGCACTGCCACCGGGGCCTGTTCTTCCCACCGTGTGGCCATCCCGCTCTGCTTCCTCTCCAGCATCACTCCACAGCCTCCTCGCCTCACTCCTTTGTTCTCATGCCCAGTGTGGCAACTACAGAAAAAACACTTTAGTTTTTTGGTCCCACTATGTAGCCCTGGCTGACGAGTAACTCAGAGATCAGCCTGCCTTTGCCTCGAGTGTGAGGATTAAAGGTGTGAACTACATACCTGGCTAGAAGTAGGGAGTTGGTATACTTAAAGATTTCAACTAAATGCATAGCCCTAAAGGGTCACACATGTACAAATGTAAAATTTTTCTTAGGTACAAAAATATCCTCTAACCCTCCTATTAAACTATCAGTTAATCCAACTAATAATTACCAGAAGTACTGAGTCAACGAATTGATGGGTCAGGAATCTAAAGTGGTAAACCTAATGATGGTAGAGGGAATATGAAAAAGCAAACTTTGTTCTTAGCATACAAAATGCTCTAGTTTCTGTTAGTGTGTTTCTAACACAGTATTTTCTACTTGGAGTAGGACATATAGCCAGCTCAAGCACAAATGAATGGCTAAGAACAAGCTAGTGTTTCAAGGGTCAAGAATTGCGATGATTGACACTTAAAAGGGCTTAAAACTCTAGACTCTCAAACCTAATCATTTCAAATGTGTGTCATTCTCCTTTTGCATGTGCTTCTATTACATCTCTCTCTCTCCTCTCCTCTCCCTCCCCCCCTCGGAAGTTTTTAGGTTTTTTGGGTTTTTGGTTGTTGTTGTTTCCCAAGATGGGGTTTCTGTATTGCTTTGGAGCCTGTCCTGGAAGTTGCCCTGTAGACCAGGTTGGCCTTTTACTCACAGAGATCTGCCTGCCTCTGCCTCCCTCCTCTGCACCTGGCAGTTTTTAAGGTTTTTCTCTATGTAACCCTGGCTGTCCTAGAACTCATTTTGTAGATCAGGCTTGTCTGAAACTCAGAGAGACCTGCCTGCCTTTGCCACCCTACTTCGGGTATTAAAGGTGTGTGCCACCAAGCCTGGCCCGTTAATAAGTATTTCCTTGTTTACTTTTTATGTATGTCTGAGAGCACTCGGGCCACAGTGTGCATGTGGAGATCAGAGGAGAACTTGGAAGAATGGGTTCTCTCCTGGGAAACCAAACACAGGTCACCACGCTCAGTACCTAGTCACTAAGTCATTTAACCAGCCCTGTGTAATCTCCTTCATCACTTGATTCTCCTTCTTCATTCTATTTACCTTTTTAACTCCAGCACTGGCTACACTTCCATAGGACACAGGTTCAATCCCAACACCCACATAACAGCTCACTAATGTCTGTAACTCCAGTTCCAGGGATCTAACACCCTCACACAGACAAAATAAGTATTTCCTTGTTTACTTTTTATGTATGTCTGAGAGCACTCGGGCCACAGTGTGCATGTGGAGATCAGAGGAGAACTTGGAAGAATGGGTTCTCTCCTGGGAAACCAAACACAGGTCACCACGCTCAGTACCTAGTCACTAAGTCATTTAACCAGCCCTGTGTAATCTCCTTCATCACTTGATTCTCCTTCTTCATTCTATTTACCTTTTTAACTCCAGCACTGGCTACACTTCCATAGGACACAGGTTCAATCCCAACACCCACATAACAGCTCACTAATGTCTGTAACTCCAGTTCCAGGGATCTAACACCCTCACACAGACAAATGCACAGGCAAAACACCAACATACATAAAAGAAATAAAATATTTTTTTAAAAAGTCAGACAGTGGTGGTGCACACATTTAATACCAGTACTCAGGAGGCAGAGGCAGAGGCAGGCAAATGTCTGAGTTAGAGGCCAGCCTGGTCTACAAAGTAAGTTTCAGGACAGCCAGGACTATACAGAGAAACCCTGTCTTGAAAAACCAAAAACCAAAAGCACAATAATAATAACAAAAAAAGTTTACCCCTCCACTTCTATCTTAATTAGTAATAATATACTAAAACTTTATTTAAAAAATCATGATAATTTTAATCATAAAAGGTGTATGAACTTACTTGGTGGTGGTGGTGACTTACCGTTCCTCTTAGCAAGTCAGTAACCATTTAAGGATTTCCTATACTTACCTTCATAATCAAATAAGGCAAAATAATCATAACTACAATTTTTTTCTTCACTAAGACATCAGCCATGTAAGTAACATACCTTGTTGGAAGTGTTCGAGAACCATCTGCAGGTTGGCTAATGACAGAGCATACTGCTTTACTTGTTCCTGTGACACAGAAAGCTGCAAGGCAGTCTCATCCCTCTGCTTGGAGACCATGTTCAATTGTTCTTGCAAAGATTCTACTTGCACACTGGCTTGATGACTTCAAATAAAAGAACAAAAGCAAACTGCTTCATCTATTTAAGTAATTTAACAAAAAATGCTTTCCCTGCATCTTAATACCTTAAATTCTGGTTAGATCCCAAGTTATTTAGTGAGTATGTAGGAAGACAATAACAACCAAAAGCTTCTCAGCATTTTTTAACTGGTAAACCATTTGCTGCATATTCACTATCAAGTAAGCCCATTCTCATGTGTAAGCACTGCCACCATCCACCCATCCATCATCCATCAGTCCATCCATCTCCAGAGCTTTGTCTACTTTTACAAATTGAGATTCCATACTACTCCAATTTGACTTTCCCTACATTTCGTGTGTTAAATCTTAGCTAAATCACAAACAAACAAAAAGCCTTCAGGAGTTCCTCTGATCTGTTTCTGTTAATCATCCTGTGAAAATGATTCTCAACAGATGGTGGCCCTTTTAAAGATTAAGAATTAGACAAATAAGAAACTATGCAGCCCCCCCCAAAAAAATGTTTACAAGGAGCTTGTGACTTTCAAGCTTGCAGATTTCATTTACACAGTATAACTTACCATAAATTCAAATCTGCAGGGACTTTCACATCATTTGGTCAGCATCAGTCCTAACAAGGAATGAACTCTAATGACACCTTTTTGCACTTCACTCCTAGAATTATGGTGAACCTGCAACTTTCTGATGGCCATCCCAATGTCCAGTTGTTCTGATTGCTCATCTTTTTCTACTAACTTCTGTCTATGTTACATATACATACAGAAGCCCTATCATTTATCCAAACACGACCCCAAAGATCCCTGAGACTGTACAGCAACTATATTTGTTGCTTTTCCCACTACTGTGACCAAATAAATGACAAGACACAATTTAAGAGAGTTTATTTGGCTTAGCCTGCAGGTATAATCCATCATGACAGAGAAGTCACAGTGGCATAAGTTTGCATAAACTGCTGGTCATATTGCACCCACAGACAAGAAGGAGATAGCAATGCATGGTTGTGTTTAGCTTGAATGCCCCTTTCGATCCCATCCAGGCCCTGAGATCATAGAAAAGTGCTGCCCACAATTGAGATGGGTCTTCCCAGCTCAATCAGCCTCTCTGGATAGTCCATGGGTGAAGAAGGAGTTTCTGTTCCTCCTGGTCCCACAGCCATTTAGTCCCAAATAAATACACAGAGGCTTATATTAATTATAAACTGTTTGGCTAATGGCTCAGGCTTCTTATTGACTAGCTCTCTCTTACCTATTAAACTATGTATTGCCCTGAGGCTGTGGCTTACCCATAATGCTCTAGCATATTACTCCTTGAGCAGCTACATGGCATCTCTCTGGTGACTCACTCTCTTCCCAGAATTCTCTTAGTCTGGTAGCCCTGCCTATACTTCCTTCCTAGCTACTGGCCAATCAGCATTTATTCATCAATCAATAAGAGAAACATATATTCACAGCATACAGAAGGACATTCCCCATCATATGAGCACCGCCAGGGGCTTATCTGCTAGATTATAGATCCTGCCACTATGGCAATACTAACATCAAGCACCTATCCAGGCTTACGTCTTTCCTTTCTTCCTTCCTTCCCTCCTTTCTTTCTTTCTTTCTTTCTTTCTTTCTTTCTTTCTTTTCTTTCTTTCTTTCTCCTACCCAGGTTTACGTCTTCTTTCTTTCTCTCTCTTCCCTATCTATCTATCTATCTATCTATCTATCTATCTATCTATCTATCTATCTTTTTTTTTTGGAGACATGGCCTCACCATGTAGCCCTTGACTGATCTCACTAAGTAGACCAGGCTAACCTCAAACTCTTACAGATCCACCTGCCTTGAATGCTTAAAGGGATTAAAGTCATGCACTACCACACTTGGCCTGGCTTATATTATCTTTGGAGTGTAAATTTGATGAATGATGATTATTTTCAGAATATCACAATGGTCTTCATTAGTATTTAATATCCAGTTAAACCCTTACTCAAGAGTAACTATTAAAGCCAATTAGAAGCAACTCACTTGGAAGATATTTTACTCAACAGCACCCTCTTGTGGGAGCAGAGGTAAACTTACACTTTCTTTGATAGGAGGGAAGTTAAGACATGCAACAATTACAAAGGGCCATCGCTGGGCATTGGTGGTGCACGCCTTTAATTCCAGCATTCGGGAGGCAGAAGCAGGAGGATCTCTGTGAGTTCGAGGCCAGCCTGGTCTATAGAGTTCCAGAACAACCTCCAAAGCTACAAAGAGAAAACCTGTCTCGAAAAACCAACAACAACAACAACAAAAAAAGACTCAAATCTCTATACAAGTTCAGAAAAGACACTACCACAGATAGGGTTTGGGTTTAGAAATGAGGGACAGGGCACTAAATAATAACCCTTTATGAAGAAAATAGAATTTGAAAAATAGGTAAGAGTCACAGAAAAACTCTTCAGAGAGGCAGGTCCATTCTTCAGTCAATACGAAAAGGGAAAGTGGGGAGAAAAGAAACAGGAAAATAGCGGGGAAGCTGAGTGACACAGACTGGTCAGATAAGGCCAGGGCTCTACTTGAGGATGCTCATCTCATCTTGGAAGTTATGGGGAATGGACAGAGACTGAAAGTATTAGGTAAAACCAGGACCTGAAAACTGTAAAGAGGGACTTTATCAGGTACTGTTATACTAATCTCATGCCTCAGTGATTAAGAGCTCTTACAGTTCTTCCTGAGGACCCAAGTTTGATCCCTAGCAGCCCCAAAAGGTAGTTCAAATTAATTCTAGCTCCAATAGGAACCAACAGTACCCTCTTGGGGCTTCTGCAAGTACCTGCATGTGTATATATGGCACACAAATCTAGAAAAAAGAAAAAAGCTCTACGTGTCTAGTAAATAAATTAATGGTGTACTATGTAGTCATAAAATGTTGCAGAAATATGTGGCTTTTTGTATAATGACATATTACTAAGTGCTAAGAAAACAAAAGGGCCACAAACAGTAGCAATTATATGATCTCATTATGCTCTTAAAAGACAGAATATATACATATAAACATAAAGGCATAAAATGGTAAAAAGGATGATTTTAGGGTGAATGGAGCTCTTTATGTCTTTTCGACTTGTGTGATTTTTCTAAAATGTAATATTCTTATAGGGTGCAGTTAAGTATACAGTAATACTAGCCCCTGGGAAACAGGCATGAGGATTTCAAATTTTCAGCCAGCATGTGTTGGTGAGACCCTGTCTCAAAAATAAAACCAAGGGGCTGGAGAGATGGCTCAGAGGTTAAGAGCACTGACTGCTCTTTCAGAGGTTCTGCGTTCAATTCCCAGCAACCACATGGTAGCTCACAACCATCTACAATTCAATCTGGTGCCCTCTTCTGGCATGTAGGCATAACACTGTATATGCAATAAATAAATAAATCTTAAAAAAAATAAAACCAAGTCCTAAGAATAAAATCTTTTTACTGAGAAAAATGAAAATTTAAAATATTTAAGGGAGGACCAATCACTCAAAACTACTAATAAGCCACAAGGTGGTTCCTCAGGCTGATCCAGGTCTCCAACCTGCTGCTTCCTACACAATATCATTTCCAACACCCACATGCTGTCACAACCTTCAATCATCCACTGAAAAGTAATACCATATGAATTAATCAGCTCTTGGGGAACTGGACAGAGCCAATAAAACCTGCCAGCATCTCAGGACTATTTCCTAAAATGACAAGTGACAGTCTGAGTGCTAGATCCTCATGAAACCTCCCAGGCCTATCTTGATCAAGTTTTTACATCACTTCATCCTAATACCCTTCAACTGTAAAATGGAGACAATGACTTTTGTGAAAATGAACTTGAACTAATATAAGCAAAATGTTTACTGAGCATGACACTCAACAAGTGACTGGTTAACGTTCATGCAAAAAGAAAAACTTACCTTGCATTTTCCATCGCATTGGAGGATGAAACTAGCTTTTCTTCTAACACTGTGACTTTCTTCCTCAGTTTGGCCTCTCTATCTTCTGCAGCCAAAGCTTCCCGGGTATGAGAGTCTTCAGACTCTAAGAGGTGGTCACGCAATCTCTGGAGCTCCTGGTTTAACCGGGACTCTTTATCACGTAAGTGTTGAACCTAGAGAGAGGACCTTTCTTTAGTTTCTTTTATGCAATGCCCAGCTCCACAAAACACTTATGTCATCAAATTTTTCCACATTATGGAAATGTATTAATATATCAATCATGCTAAGTACCAATAAGTTGTTATAATTGTAAAGTATAACATTTTAAATTATTTTAATTGTAATATATTTTAATTATACAAATATAACATGTTTACTTAGTAATAATGGAATACAATTATATATTACATATAATAATATATTAATATACTAATGCAAAGTGTGTTTATACCAGGAAAACTTCTCTCCAAATTACATTTAAAAAGATACAAATGGGAGCTTTGCATTTTTGCAAGGTCTCATCCCCAAAGTTATAACAGAAATGGAATCATACAGAAGTACTGGGCTCTCACAGCACAGTACATTTTTAGTAAATGTCAGGTTTTTTTCATGTTTTAAGAGTGGCATAATTTTCTTATACACAAGGCATGTATCACAGTTTTCCCTTTCAAAAACTAAATTATAATATACCCTACTACAGCACATCAGAGGAACAGAAAAATCACAAGACAATTTCATTTGCCTTAGTTAATGGTTAGTAACCATTGCATCACTGTCCATTACGGTGAATGTATACCTCATTCTGTAGGGTACTGTTTTCCATTTGTTTCTGTTTCAGGGCCAGCATAACTTGGTCTCTCTCCTGTTGAAATGTAACTGTCTTCTCCTGCATTGATTTAACTGCATTTAAAAGTTGATTTAACTCCCCAGCCTTGCCCTTTTGGAAAGAAACAACTTTAGGTTTAAAGAATAATAGATTTTCAAAATGGCATTTTCTTTATTAAATAATTAAAATACAGTTAACGATAGTCACGTCAACAAAATACAAAAGCATTCTGAGAAAGAGACAACCTGAAGGCGCTTAGGGAGATGTGACATCTAAATACAGTGTGGTGTCCTACACAATCCCTGCAGCAGGAGGAGAACATGGGGCGACTACTGAGGATTCCAGCAGCATGACCTCGCGCTGCCACAATCTGGTTTATAAGCTGTAACAAACACTGAAATAAGAAACTGCGTGCAAGGTAGGTGACAATTCTCCTCACAATCTCTACTTGTCCCAAAGCTGTGTTAAAGGAAATAATCATTAGAAATGATCCTCCTGCCTCCATCTCCCAAATGCTAAGATTACATGGACTGCTAAGCCTGGCCAAACAGTATACCTTTAATCAGATAATCCAGGACTCTTATAGGAGAACATAACGTTTTGAATCCTGTGCCTAGCAGCAGATACACATGTATGTTCAAGAAGCAGATGCTGGACTAGGGATATAACTCAGTGGCACAGTGCCTCCCTAGTAAGCATGAGGTCCTAGGTTCAATCCCCAGCATTGCTAAAAGAAGGGAAAAAAAAATAACTGTTGTTGAATATTGCACTGTTCTGCCTATCATCCCCTTTCCAAATTTCTACTACCAAAGTGCAGAACTCATACTAAAACATTAACACCAAAGGCACACTACAGTATTTACCAGACTATAACAAATCTTCAGTAGTTCTTACCATACCAAGCATGTACAATAGACACTAAAACAAGCTCACTAGAGGAGGTTAGAGGAGCATGTAAGCCACTGAACATCAAAAGCTACTGGCACTTTACATTGAACTGTTATGGCCTTCCATTTTAAAAGTGAATAAATAAACCAATATGATCAAAACATACTCAAAGCTCTAGAAGCGACAGAGCTGGGACTAGGGTATTGACAGAGCCTATTCTTTCTAAGGAACTACTCCAAACATGTTTCAAACTGTGGACTGATCCATTAGAGTCAATTCAGGGCCAGCAAGAAAACACAGTGGGGAAAGAAAGGTGGCTAAGCCCAATGACTTGAGCTTGAGCCAAGGAACTCAGAGGGTGGAGAAAGAAGCAACCCTCAAAAGATACTCTCTGACTTACACGAGCCCACTAATCCAGGAGTGCATGCACGCATGCATGCACGCACGCACACACACACACACACACACACACACACACACACACACACACACACCAAATAAACAGTATATAAAGTCAATTGAGTGGATCATTCAAAGTATCTTTTTCTAATAGTTTACCATACAATTTGTGGTTTCTAAAACTTTTCAGTTTCTCTCATACATACACAAACATATAGAGACATTATAAAAAGTATTCTTACTGTAGTTCACAGTCAAAGATATCTCTTAGTACTTTCTTTTCAGCCAGGAAATCTCTAAAATGTTGGCCATTTCTAGGAGCTACTGAAATATGCCAAAATGTGATTAAAGTGGCCTCTGGTCAGCAGAGGAAATAGCTTCTAAATAGAATGTTTGCCATGCTGGGCGTTGGTGGCGCACGCCTTTCATCCCAGCACTCGGGAGGCAGAGGCAGGTGGATCTCTGTGAGTTCGAGGCCAGCATAATAGTAGAATGCTTACCTAGTGCAAAGGCCCTGGGTGTGATCTCTACCATTTCCCTAACTGCCCTGAGGAATCACTCCTATTGAATCTTTGTTTTATACTTAGGAGGTTATGAAGAAATAATCTACTACCAAGAATATTTAGAAATATCTAGTAATTTGGGGGTGAAGAAACTGTACATGAACCAAAACACCTTCAAATAAATATTCCTAGGTGAGCAAGTTTAGTCTTCTTCAGAAACAGCATCAATAAAATAACATAGGAAAAAGATTCCTTTGTCCTCAACATGTTTCTGCATACTCCACTGAGAACATACCTGTTCTTTTTCTTTCAACAGCTGTTCAAAAGCGAGGGCCTTTTCTCTCATCGAATGGCATTCAAACTCTTTTTCTCGTAACATCATGGAAAATTTCATGTTGGTCTCCTGTAATGCCTGGTATTCCGTTTCCTTCCCCCTGGAGGTTTCTACTATTTTTTCATTTTCCCCTTTCAACTTAGAAATGTCCATTTCTAAAATCAATATTCTCTCCTTCAAATTTGTCACTGCCTGCCTCAAAAGCTCATTTTCATTCACTTTGTTTGTAAAATTCTCATTTGAAGAATGTAACTGGTCACTCTTGGCTTTGATTAAGAGGTCTTTTTCCTTAAGTAAGTTTTGTAAAGCCTCTTGTTTTTCCTTCAGCTGCTTCATTTCCGAATCAGTCTGCTCGTATTCTCTTCTTCCAGCCTCTGAGGATGCAGCCATGGACTCTGACAGTCTGTGGTTGTTTTCCTGGAGCGTTCTAATCATGGCATCTTTTTCCTGCAGTGATCGCCTCAGATCATCCACTTCTTGTTGAAGCAGCTGAGAAGACTCACATGGGCCAGCAGACAGGCTTGTCTTAAGAGGCTCTCCTGACTGAGTAGTAAGTGATGAGCCAGAAGAGAGCTGGGGTGACATGATATCAAGTTTTCCTAAAAGAAGGTCCTTGGTATTACAAAGCTGCCCTATGCTATGCTGAACTTGTGCCAATTCCTGCCCAAAATTCTTAAGTTTGGTTTCATTCTGCTCATAACTTTGGATCAGGCCAGTGTAATCCACTTGTAATTTAGAATTGTTATCACTGTCAACCAAAACTTGTGCCTGAAGTTGATGAAGCTCCTCTTGAAGCTGGGCTGACTCGTGTTGCATATTCTGGACAGTGGTCATCACCTGCTGCTTCCACTCCTCCATTTTCTTCACTTGCTGTTTTAGTTTATCACGCTCCTGTAGGAGCTCCTCAAACTGGTTACTGTTAACTCCTCCAACCTCACTACCTGTGCCAGAAGTCTGCAAAACTGTCAGCAGGGTCTGGCACTTCTGACTCAGTGCATCTATTTCAATGTCTTTTTCTCGAATAATCCGTGATAAATTCTGAATAGTTTCTTTAAACATATCTTGACCACTACTTTCAAATCTAGTAGACATTTTTTTATTCTCATCTTGCAACTTAATAAGGGCTGCTTCTTTGGCACTAATAATATCTATTATTTTGTGGTACTCTGTTTTTAGCTGGCTATTTTCCCTTGTCTTCTCACTTAAGACAGCCATTACTTTCTCTCTGTCCATAGCATAGGCATGCAGCTGCTGCTGGAGGTACACAACATCCTGAGAGCAGGAAGTCGAGGAGATCCTGGCGTGAAGAGCTTGTATCTCCAAGTCTTTCTGCTGGATAATCTGAGTGAGCTTGCCGACCTCATCTTTGGACAACTGATCAATCTGTTTAGTTAAAGAGATATTCTTTTCATTCAGTAGCTTAATCTCCAGCTCCCGTTCTTTTATCCCCTTCACTAATCTTTCTGTTTCGGCTTTAGATAAATCATGCTTTTCACTTTCATTTTCTATATTAAGGCTCTGAACTTTTGTTTCTTGAAAAATATCAGAATTCTCTGTTGGAATGTCCTGTCTTTCTTCATGCAACTGGGCTTTTATTTGTTCAATTGTTTTTTGCAAGTTCTTAATTTCCTCATCTTTTTCTAAAAAGAGCTGGGTGTGTGTGATATTCATTTGTTCGTGCTGGTACCTAAACTCGTCCATTTCTTTCTTCTGTTCCTGTAGAGACTGGAGAAGCTGCATCTTATTCTGGTTTTGATCTTCAATCATCTTCTGATGATGTTTAATTTCTTCTTCCAGATGATCCTTGATTAAGTGCAGCCTAGACAGCTCAGACTCTAGCTCTGTGGTGCTGTCAAGGGTTCTAGGCTCAGGCATGGGCACAGCCCGACTCTGCTGCTCTCTGAGCCGCTCCAGCTCTTCTTGCAAGTGATTATTCTCTTCTTTCATGAATCCAAGACTTTTGTCTTTTTCTTCTATGGTCTGCCTTAGAGTCTCATTTTTTCTTAAGGCCTGATCACATTTGTCCAATTCTTCCTGCAGTTCTGAACTTTTTTCTTTAAGTTTCACAATACAAATTTCTTTTTCATTTATAAGTTGTGTCAGTCGTTTCTGCTCTTCTAGACTAGATGACAAAGTTTCCTTCATTTGTTGATGATCAGTAGCCATTTGCTCAATACGGTTTTTGAGCCCTGCTATTTCAGAGTCCTTTTCCTGACTGAGCTGAATTAAGTGCTCATGTCCCAGCTGTAAGGCAGAGGTACTCAGGCTGCGAGCGCTGGACAGTTCCTCAACAGTTTGCTTGTATTTGTCTGCTTCTTCCAAAAGCCTCTTCTCAGCTCCACACAATTCTACTTCTAGCTGCTCCTTTTCCCATTTCAGAGTCTCCAGCATGGCATTTTTTTCCAGAGAAACCTGGTTGTTGCCAGCAATAGATTCTTCCAACTGATTTCTTACATCCTCACAGGCTACAACCAGCTTTTCATTTTCTGTTCTGAGATCAAAAGCAACTTGCTTCAAATGTTCATTGAGCTGTTCTATTTCAGAAAGATTCTGCTTTAAGTTTCTGACTTCAGTTTCCTTTTCCTGAAGCAAGTCATCCTTCAACTTACTGTTAGAGCCTTGGGTCTGACAGCGAGTCAGCTCACTCCTGATTGTGGACAGCTCCTCCTCATTTTGTCTGATGTGTTCCCTCAGTTCCCGATTCTCCTTCTGGATGTTGAAATTATTTTTCTCTGATTTATTCAGCTGATCTACTAAATTTTCTACTTTATCTTCAAGTTTCTGCTTAGTGACCTGTAAATCACTTAGGGCCTGTTCACTGTGAGTGAGCTTTTCTTTCTGTGCATCTAACTCTTTGATAATGCTCATTTTTTCATCCTCGAGGTGATGGTTTCTTTGTTTTTCATCATTTAGATCTTCTTTTAGTTTCTTGATGGTACTATCCCCTTCACTTTGTTGTTTTGATAGCTGATCTTTTATCAAAATCACGTGCTGAAAAAGTGATTTGCACAATAACTTTGTGACATTTTCCCATGTTAGTATCTAAAGAAAGTTTTGTAAATTTTCATACCATATAATAATAGTCTGAATAGTTATAATCCTTAAAAATAACTTTCTATCTCACTGTCTCACAAAAAAAAATTTACAAAAAGTTTATCACTTTAGACTAAGAATCTGAAATCAAAAAAGGCTAATTACCCATGTTCTGTTTCTAACTTTTAAAACACCAGAGCAGGCTTCCACAAACAGCAGTCCACAGCTGCTACCTGTCTCTGTATACATTTACCAAAGCAAAGCCATGATTGCTTGTTCCCATATTCTAACTCAGCAAGTAGCTGCAACTGAAATATGTTCTGAAAATTTAAAACATACTTTACTAACTAGCACTTTAAAGACAAAGTTATATCCCTGTCTGTGTTAGTTCAGTACCCAGATGAGAGGCTGGAGTATGCTCCTCAAGAAAATGCTCCCAATGCTTCATCATATTTAATGCAGTGTTACCTTAGTGGCCTCTTGGTTCTGCTTGTCCAGTTCTTCTAATTCAGCCATGAGTATTTCATTTTCATGAATACTCTGATTCAGTTCTTGTTCCTTTACCTCCAAGTTAAGTTTCAAGTCACGTACTTGAGACAACAAATCTACATCCCTTGTAGCTGTACTTTTAATGACTTCATATTCACTGGTCAATTTGGAAAGTGATATCTGAAGTTTTTCCTTCAATGACAAGGGGACAGGGAAAGCAGCACATACCATCATTCAAGAAGAGACATCAAAAGAATAAGCAAACAGATATAAACAAACATAACTGGGGGAATCTATTTTAAATCCTTTGCATTGGAAACATTACTGAACAAACCACAGCCTTCAGTCATGCACAGTTTTACTTATAGATCCAAGCAGAACATTTCTACAACTGTGCATTCACCTTCCAGCCCTACCTTTGCTGCAAAGGTCCTCTGCAGAGGACCAGTCCCAGGGCAGAGCCTTTTTTATGCTGTTCCCATGGCTACCAGCTTTAGCCTAACCCTACCAAACACACTCTTAATAAAAGCCCCCAACTTCCCAGCTTTCTTCATTTCCACTCCCTAACACTCGTCAGATTAAATAAAAAACAAAAAAGTACTCATTCAGACAATTAACTCTAATTAGAAAATACAAGGCCCATTTTTTCTCATTAAAAGGACTCACTTATTATTTGATTATAATGGAATACAAAACCATCTCTCGATTAAAGGATGACCCTGTTTCCTTTACCTTCTGAACAAGACCAGGCTCCCTTCTCACAAACCCAACATTACTAAACACAGACCTACACATGTATTTAATAGTCAAACACAATTCAGTGAAGAGTTACAGTGAATACTACCATCAAAAGAAAGGAGAAACAGTTACCAAGAAATTGGAAATATAAGGAAAGTGGGCAAGCCCTACAGGACTTGTGAAGAGAAGCCTACAGCTGCAAAATGTAGTTAGGCCAGTTAGATAAAGAGGACTCGGTGGGGCAGAGCCAGAAGTAGCACACGCACACACAGACACACACACACACAGCACTTTCCACAGAGTGACAGTGAGTCACTGCTGACAGTCTGGGGAAAGAATGGCAGTGAAGATCTCAATATCCAGGGCTGTACAAAAACAACTTAGAGTTGAAAACCCACCACGCCTCTCCAAGAACACTGCCTGTATACTAATGCAGAAAGAAGTTGAAACTAAAGTATTAGGGGACATAAGAACAGCATATATAGCATGCTGACACTGCTATTTCTTAAGGATATATATGCAGAGCCAGGCATGCATTGATAAACCCAGAAAAAGTAGTATTCTAGGAATTGTAATACAGACTGTCCTTGAGCAAGAGGCCATGTAGCAAAGGCATGAAGTTTTTCAGTATGCATTACTGAATATTTTCATCCATAAATGCATCATAGTACTTTAAAGAATTCAGTTTAAATTTAGTTCAAATGGTGGCCTTTAACTTAATTCCTACCTGCCTTTATCAAAGTATCTGTCATTGATAAGAAATTAATTCCCAGAGACACAAACATAATGTTCCTCCCTATATCAAACAGAGATATCATAGCTTTAAAAAAAAATTCCACTTCTAATAACAGAACTACCCCTCTTCCACTGTTCACCAATAAGAAGTTCCTACCTACTACAACAGACATTCTGGGGCAAATCAGCCAGACATCTCCCCTACCTGCAGGTGCTGCTGTCAGAACCCCATCGGAATCACATCTCTTCTGCTCAGATCTGTATGCCTACTGATTTGTGATTGCATATACACTCAGCCCGCCTCTCATTACTGTGAACTTTGCCCAGCTACTCCAACCTGGCTTGGTGAGCATACCAATGAGCTCAGACTTATTCTGAGGCTCTATCACTACGCATTCCACTGGCATAAACTCATTCTTAGCTGTGCCCTATGACACACACCATTTTAATTCTACCCCATTTTAACAGCACCTACCTTTTCTTGACTCAATAATGACTTCTCTTTTTCTAAAATTTGGACACACATTTGAAGTTTCTGATTGTCTTCAGCAAGACTGTTATCCTATAAAAATGTTAAAGTAGTATTTTCAGATAACAGAGAATTTCCAGATTACAAGAAAGCAGTCTAGTTATATAATTTGTACAATTATACTCAGAATATTGTTAGAAACAAAGATTAAAAATTCAGTGTTGGACAGTTTAGAATCAGTCGCTCATTTTTGACATTCTTATAGAGTATTTATTATATTTAAAAAATATAAAAGTGTATTTTACAAAGTAACTTGTAATTAATACACAAGGGCTGGCGAAATGGCTTAGCAAGTAAAGGCACTTGCTGTGCAAACCTGGCAATCTTAGTTTGATTATCAGGAACCCATGTAAAGTTGGAAGGATAGAAAAGACTCTATAAAATTATCCTCTGACTTACATACATACGTGTATACATGCACATACACACACATACACACACACACATATACACACACGCACACGCGTGTTAAAAAAACTTGGGATTCTTTCGGAAAAATCGAAATGTATCTTACTTTGATATAAGGTCTGGTTCCTGTCTATACTTTCAAGTTACTCTGCACTAATATACCTTTACCAATTACACACCAAACATATCAATTTATAATATAAAACCTTTGTTATTGATCATTAAGCAAAGATTACTGAAAGTTCCTAAGGTAAATTTACATGAATTTGTGAGAAAACAAAAAATAAGCAAAAACCATGAATCAAAACTCTCTTAGTAAAATAATGCCCAAAACTTTCTCACATAACAGTAAGTTACCTGGTTTAAACTATTTAGTCTCATTATTTCATTTTCAGCATCTGTAAAAACAATAAATGAACCTGACATTACTTAAAATATTTTAATAATTACTTCTCACATTAAACTCATAGGTGCAGCCTATTTATAACTAGTAAATATGTTGACAGTGTGAAATAAAATCAGGTTAAAATTCAATGCTTTGGAAGAGTGTAAGAATTATCACTGTGCTCTGGATGAGGTATAAAGTTACTGTTCTGATAAAAGTAGTTAACAATGAGTTTCAAAATATAATCCATTGGTTTAAATGGCCAGAAGCATTATCAGGTCTAAGATTGCTATTTTAAAGAAAAACTTGAAAAGCAGTAAAAACTTATGCTGTAAAAGTATAATTATCTCTCAAATATCTAAAGTGACTTAGAAATGAACGTACTACATATAGATCCATAGAGAAAAAGGTTTTGGAAAAGATACCCAAAGACAGAATATCAGGAGATCAGCTGAAGCAATTCATTTAATGCTCATTCTAGAACAACTGAGCATTTATGACAAAGTCAGTATCAGACAAAAAGATAGAAAAATTCAGTTCTTGCTCTTTATGAGCTTACAATTCAAAATAGAATTGTGTTAGAAACAAATAAACAATGATTACAATACAGTGTGATACAGCAAGCACAGGCATGAGGGCAAAAACAGCAAACATCTAGTCCAAACGGGTGGGAACAAAGGGCCCAGGATGCGGCAGTGCAGTTCTCGTCACTGGAGGTAAGACCTCACGGAGTCAATGTACTATCAGTTGGTCAAAAGAAAAGCAGGAACACCCTGCCCAGACAATGCAGTAAATACAACGGAGAAAGAGCTAGAGACCAGCTGAAGGAACCACATAGTTCATATGGCTATGATTTACAAAGCTGAGTGATGAGAATAAACTGTGGGAGCAGAAGGGGACCAGATGAACAGACATGATGTGCCCAAGTTCAGAGTTCTTCAAGTTCCCAGAAGGTCATAAAGTACTAAAAGTAAGGGCCTAACTCGCTTTGCATTTCTGAAAATGTATTCTCACTTCAGAATAGAAGGGGAAAAAATGGACTGAAGCATAACAGAGAGCAGCAAATAAAAAGCCAACACTTTCTAACGCTCTCTTGGGACCAGATGTTCAAAAGGAAACCTGCAGATAGCAACTCACATAGCCCACAGACTACTCCAGTCCTACAAGGAAAATAGTACTGACCAGTCCTTGTGTTGTTAAAGCTTGATTTGCATGTGTGAGTGCATCTGCGTGCTTGTTCACAGGCCAGAAGAGGATGTTGTATTTCCTCCTCTGTCGCTCTCCATCTATCTAGTAGTCACTTGAAGCAGGGTCTCTTCCTGCACCTGGGACTCCTGTTTTCCAGGCCAAGCCGGTACAGCACTCCTCCTATTTCCACTCCCTCAGAGATAAGGTCATAGGTACACACAGGTGCTGTGATCTAAAGGCTGGTCCTAATGAATATGCAGCAAGCACTCTTAACAAATGAGCCCTCTCCAGGCCCCAACCCGTTGTTCTTATTAATGGAACACAATGTTCCATTCTGTCTACATTACAAATACCTATGAACACAATTCCTATGCCCATAACATAAACATTTCTCGGAAATCTATCTGGCTTTCTAAATTTTTCTTTCTTTCTTTCTTTCTTTCTTTTTTTTTTTTTTTTTTTTTTTTTTTGGTTTTTCGAGACAGGGTTTCTCTGTGGCTTTGGAGGCTCTCCTGGAATTCGCTCTGTAGACCAGGTGTAGACCAGGCTGGCCTCGAACTCACAGAGATCCACCTGCCTCTGCCTCCCGAGTGCTGGGATTAAAGGTGTGCGCCACCACCGCCCGGAGCTTTCTAAATTTTTCAACTTATTCCATTAAGAGATCTTACTGGCCAGTTAACTTGGGCAATAAGTAATTATGACTGTAAGTTCATGGCTATAAAAATGGGAAAAGAGAGAAGGACTAGCATAGTGGCTCTATTGTTACACAAACTTACATGTCTCACTCATATAATACACTTATTTTATAAATGAGTAGAGCTATTTGGGGGTCCACATCACCACTGAACTGCCTTCCCTTTGCCTAAGTGGAAGCTTCCAGTGCTGATGCACCCTGAAACCCTTGTTTTTGGGATGCAATCCTGAAATACCACTCACACAGGAAAAAAAAAAAAAACAAGGAAACAAAAACCACAAGACTTGGTCAAGGTTGACTTCTAGAATTCTGCTTCCCAAAGGCTGGGGAGGGAATAGGAGGAAGGAAGAGGAGAAGATGATCTTACTTTGAATTAACTTTAGGTTGAAAATCCATGTTATATATAGATTTGACCATTCAAGTCAAGAGCTCATGATAGAGTGGCAAGGGGGACATGGGGATATTCACAAGCACACAGGAGCTGGAAATTCTCAGAGCAGGGGTGAATGGGTTCACAAAAGTTTATACTAAAACAGGACAAAATGTAAAATCAAATGCATATATTCAGCTGAAGAGTTCCCTCCAACTATTTTCCTGCTATGTGTGAATACTGGTGCTTTGCCTATTTCCAATACTAATTTTTTTGTACTAGTATTCAGAATTCCAAGTATCAGTTGGTGCATGGAAAATAAGAGACTATCTATGACTCCTATCACTCAAACCTTTGCTTCTATTTGGATCACTTCAAAGGATAACAATGAATTTTTGCTGATGGAATGCTACATTCTCTAATTGGAGAGTCTGGGCTCTGATTAGTTACAATGTTCCATTCTGTCTACATTACAAGTTCCTATGAATACAATTCCTATGCCCATAAACATTTCTCAGAAATCTATCTAGCTTTCTAAATCACTGACTTCCATGTAAACACCTAAGAGAATAAGGAAGGGAAGCTGAAAGACATCCTACTAATCCTTAACCCTTATTAGTAGACAATTCCTATTTGGTGCTGAATCCAAACCCCACGATTCTACTCAAATGACAAAAGTCATTTCCATAAACACTCCATTTCCATAGAATGTGCAGTTAGAAGTGTTTGACTTAAAAAGCCCTAGTGTGACAAGAAACATCAATGTAAGTTCCAAACATTTTATACCAGTCAAAGCTTGCTGTAATCTCAAGACCTCTGCAACTGAGGAGCTCTGTGGGAGAGTCCCCTCCTCCTCTGTCACAACGTCCCTCTGCCCCAGAGCAAGAGGCTGCAGTTTGCTGCATTCCAACTTCAAGCGTTCACACTGCTCAGTCATCTGTCTCTTTTCCCCCTCCAGCTCTTCCTGCTCTCTCTTCCACACTTCTCGATCATGCTCTGCAGAAGACAATCTTTCATATAGCTCTTTAATTTTATCCTCAAGTTCTTCAATTTTTTTGGTAGATTCTACTTTTTCCGTCTGTAGAATCTGAATAGTGTTTTGCATATCATACATTTTAGAGTGATCAGTTATTGCAACTCCTGAGCCACCTAAAACATCAAATAAACAAGAGAAATCAAATGTCAAGTTTTAAAAAGCAAATCACTTGCTATATACAATATAGAGACTAAAGACAGTACAGAACTTGAACAACTTAAAAAGTCAAATTACTATCTTATAATTTTAAATAAATAAAAAGTCAATACTTCATTTGAACCAACTACTAAAAAGTCTACATATTTGAGTTTGAAACAAAGTAAAAATATCTCTATTTTTCTGCTGTAGTGTCATCAGCAAACAATGCAGAGCAATCCATTACACAAGTACAGAAGGCCTTGGCATCACTGTAGACTTAGCAATGAGCAGAATAAGTCATTTCTTAGTCCATGGAACTTGGTCTAAGTGTACAACAGTATTTGGATATTCTGATCTACAAATTGTCTAAGGTTTGCTATTCAACAATGTCATCTAGTCTGTGAAGCTAGTAGACTCATAACCTTGCTGTAACAGATTCTCCAGTTCTTCAATTCGTTCTTCATAGTCCCTTAGCTCCTCTCGATGGCGACGACTTATTTCTGTCAGTTTCTGCTGATGTGCATTCTGCAATACTGACATTTCATGCTGATGGTCATCAATTTCCTGGCTTCGATTCTGCTTAAGTTCCTTAAAAAAGAAAAGAACAAATATAACCCCATGTATGATCAATAAATAATCAAGTAAAAAGTGATCCTCTCACTGCTGTCTAAAGTTTGTATTATTAAAATTAATTATCTGAACATATTAAAGCTGAGAAGCACTCAACCACAGTCCCCAAATTAGGACAAATTCTGACAGATCCATGCCTTCTTAGGATTTTAAAATGCTGTTTATAATGGGGAAACATCAAGAACACAATAAAACAAAAGAAAATATCTTTCCCTTATACTCATGACTAAGAATAGCTTTTCTTTTTTATTATTTTATTTATTTTTTAAGACAGGGTTACTCTGTGTCACTTTGTTGACCAGGTTGGCCTTGAACTCACAGAGATCCACCTGCCTCTGCCTCTTGAATGCTGGTATTAAAGGTGTGCACCACTATCGCCCGACTTGACTTTAGCCTCAGCCTCCTTAGTGCTGGGATTCCAGGTGCATACAGCCACATTCAGCTCTCTGGCTCATCCTGGATTGTGAAAGCAGTGGGGTCACTGCAAACCTCTGACGATGAGCACTGCTAGTCTTCTTCTTACTCTGTGCACCGCGCAGTCCATGCTTCCAGCACAGACTAGTTTTAGAGCGCTGGTTGTATCTCTTAGTTACGTCATCTAGTCTGTGAGACTAAAATGTTGTTTTAACACAACCGAGTTCTTCAAGTCACACAAGTTTTCTTTCTGCTGCTATTCTCTTACACAAACATCCTTCTGTCAGTCTTGAACTCCCAAATTGCCAAAAGCAGTGCCTCCACCCAAGCTGATGAACCTCCCAAGTCCTGAACTGGAGAAGCACCAGTGGGAGCTGCATCTGGCTAGGGTGTTCTGAGATGGTCACAGAGCTGTCCCCAATTCTGTTCCTCCTGATTTACTGGGTCCAGTCAGTAAATCTTTTGCTTTACTGAGCCAGAAAAGGTTCTTGTGTATCACCAAGGATCCAATAATATGTAGCTGTTACTCCCTGAGAACAAAATAACTCTGGAATCCTATGCAGCTAGGTGATCTTTGAATTGGCACCTCTGAACAACCATGTAAGACAGGCGTTATGACTGATGAAGATACAGACTCTAAGAAAGGTTATATAAAATGGCCAAGCAGCACAGCTGACAGTGGGTACAGCCAGGATTCACACAGATCTGATTCTGGGACCTACCTGCACTTGTAATACAACACTAAGCCAAGACTAAAAGTTCTGTGCCTGACTATAACTAAAAACAATCCACTGCCATGATGAATATATGTAACAAAGACTTTTCTCATAAAAGAAATAACAAAAACCAGCAAAATTCTGTCACTGATATAAAATAGTTATTTACAGTGAATGTTAACATTTTAGCCAATATTCTTCAAGCTCAAATTCTTAAAATGTCATAACCTGGGAATAGGAGGAACAGAAAAACACAAAGATTTAGAATTACTAAGAAAACATTTAAAACCAAATGTTCTTAGACATACTTTATTGTAAAAAGCAAAACAGTTGAAAAAGAATAAAACAGTCAAGTATTATCATCTATATAATTTATAACTAAGAGTCCTACTAATTTGATGTATATCTTTAATTTACAGATGTTAGATGCATAGAAGACATTGGCGCCAGGCAGTTGAGATGCACGCCTTTAGTCCCAGCACTTAGGAGACAGAGGCAGGCAGATATCTGTGAGTTTGAGGTCAGTCTGGTATATAGTTAGTTCTAGGGCAGGCTCCAAAGCTACACAGAGAAACCCTTTCTTGAAAAGCAAATAAATAAATAAATTTTAAAAAAGAAAGAGACAACAATACAGAGAAACCCTGTCTTGAAAAACCAAAAAAAAAAAAAAAAAAAAAAAAAAAAGAAAGAATGAGACAGACAGACAGACACTGGCAATCAACACTTTGATTTTACCTTAATAATATTTTGCAGCTTGCAGATTTCTGTTTGATCAGAGCTTTGTGTTCCCCGAACCTTAGTTTAGAAAGAAAAGGATTAAAAAAATAATTACACTGATTTTTTTTCTGTAAAACAAAAACTCACAAATTAGCTATTAAAAGGTTCTTGTTTTATAAAACAAGAGTGTTTCCCAGACACACTCTGATTAAGAACGCCATACACTAAGTCTTTAGTCTATTAGTACTTACCATAGTCAAGAACTTACTTGAGGTGATAATAGCTTTACAAAATAAAAGTTTATATGGAAAAACAGAATATTTTACTAGTTAATCAAAATATGAATATGAGGATAAGCGAATAGCTTTCTAAGATGATAAAAAGTTACCCAATACCAATACCAGTAAAAGTCTTTTTTAAACGATTTTATGCCTGGCATAGCGGTGTATACCTTTAATCCCAGAACTTGGAAGGCAAGAGGCAGGTGAATTTTTATGAGTCCAAATCCAGCCTGGTCTACATAGTGAGTTCCAAAACAACCAGAGCTCCATAGTGTTCCAAAACAAAAACAAAAATAAACAAACATGATTTTATACAAGGCTGAGGATGTAGCTCCATTAGTGACTGTCATTCAGGAGTTCCTGAGTATGAGCTCCAGCAATGTACAAACCTTTTAATACCAACATTTGGGCCAGGAGGATCAGAAGTTGAAGGTCATCCTTGGCTACACAGAAGTTTGAGACCAGCCTGGGTGACATGAGACTCTGTCTCAAACAAACTAAAATTAAAATGGTTTTACCCATAAGGTAAATACCGAATAATCTTTGTTTGATCAAATCTTTAGCTAGAGAAAAAACTTTTCAGATTCTTTTCCATATTGTACACTGTCAAGGCTGGAGAGATGGCTTAGTTGTTAAGAATATATACTATTCTTCTAGTATACACATCCAAATACCAGTATCAATGTTGGGCAGCCCAGAACTGCCTGTAAACTCAAGCTCCAGGGAATCTGAAGCCTCTGGTCTTCATAGGTATCTGCACCCAGATGCACATATCTACACACACACACACACACACACACACACACTTAAATTTTTATTTTACATATTGTTCATAATCTTCAAATTTAACTGGTTATCTAGTAATTCTGTCTATTTTTGAGGTATACTATGGTTTTTCACTAAGCAATGTTCAAAGCAGGGGAGATTAGACTCATCATCTCAAATGTTTATTGTGGTGACAGTATCCAAATTCCTCTCTTCTAGCTATTTTAAAATAGACATAATTACTTTTATACATAGTTATCCTAATATACAAAGAACACCTCTACATTTCTCTCATGTATAGGTAATTTTGTATTTGATCAACATCTATCCATCAACCCTCTCCACTACCCAACGAAACTTCTAATACCCATTCATTCATCTTTATTAGCATTTATTATATGACATGTTACTGAACCAAAGCTGTTCTAGGATTGAAAGAACATAGGTAAGACTCAAAGCTCCAGTCAAGAGATGTCTATCTGAGCAAGTGCAGTGGTGTGCACGAACAACCCCAGCTAGATGAAGAGGTTAAGAGAGATGACAGGCAAGCTCATGCCAGCTTGGGCAACATAAGAGGTCGGGGGATAGGGGAGGTGGTATAAAAGCTCTAGAGCACTTGCCTAGCATGCAGTGGCTCTCATGTGAATACTCAAAATGTTTATGTGCAAATTAATCCCTCTGACAATGAGAATACTGTTAATAGTAATAACTTATTATAAAACAAAGATTATAAATGCCTCACATGGCAAGGATAATGATATATAGTAAGGTAATACATAGAAACATTTAAAGTATAATATAAACAATAATTTTTGTCTTAACTAGGAAATAAGCCTTGCGGAAAGGTTCCAATTATGCCTTTTCTACCTTTGTAGTCTAGTTTTTATCTTCCATATACTAAGCATTCAAGACATGTCAAATACACACACAGACACACACACAAACACACACACACACAGAGTTATTTCTTTCCTATTAACCCTTAACCTAACCATGTTCTTTTATTTGTTTTCCTGGTTGCTTTGCTTTTAGACAAGCTGGTACTAAACTCCAAATTCTCCTGCTTCAGCTCCCAAATGATGAAACTACCAGTGTGTACCGTGCTGTCAAGATGGCTCAACAGGAAGAACATTTGCCACCAAGACAGCTGACCCAAACTCAATCCCAGGACTCATATGGGGAAAGGCAGAATTGACTCCCATGAGTTGTCCTCTGACATGCATGTGTGTATGGAACCCTCTTTACCCCACACATAAATAAATACAGTTAACAAAAATCTAATTGTAATTCTCAGATTATCACAATTGCCTGGGACTTCTTTGAAGTTCCTAAGACCCTAAAACAGATATTAAACCAAAGTCTCCGAACACAAAGGAAATCCATGCCATTTTAAGCCTCCAGGTTATTCTTTGTATATAAATTTTAAATCTCCTGGCTTTGGGAAGATAAGATGGACAAAGATAGTCCCAACTAAGCTTTAGGTACTGCACGAAGTAAGCAAACAATTTTAATTGAGAAGTTTTTTCCTTTTCATAACCTGATTACATCCACAAAAGGACGTATACGCCTTGCGCTTTTTTTTTTGGTTTATTTTAATATACTAAGTATATTTATATGCTATACTTTCCCCCTATATTGATGAAGTTAAATCCAAATGTCTACTGTCTACTGACAACTTCCATAATACATATAATCTTGGTATAGCTGGGTATGGCAGTGAACACCTTTGTTCCTAGCCTTAGAGAGGCAGAGGAAGGCAGAATCTCTATGAGTTCAAGACCAGTCTGGTCTACAAAGGGAATTCCAGGCCAGTCAAGGCTACATAGTGAGAGTCCCACCTTAAAAGGAAGGGGAAAACAATAACAAAGAATCCTTGGTATACAGAATAAAAGTTCCTTGGAAGAAAGTTTACAACTCAAAATATCAGGACTTAATTTCTAGTGCATTAAATATAACATATAACATATAACATATATATTTAAAGATTATTTTATGTGTAGGTGTCGTGCCTGATCTGTGCACCACAGGCATGCAGTGCCCATGGAGGTCCTTGGAATTAGAGTTACACACAGTTGCAACCAGCCATGGGAGTGCTCCAATTCAAATCTGGGTGCACTGGAAAGATGAGCAGTCAGTGCTCATAAACACTGAGCCGTTTCTTCAGCTCAGTATAACATAATTTTACATGTTACTAGAGCTTATAAAATCTCAGACAGCCAAGAGCTGATGGTGCACGCCTTTAACCCCAGCATTTAGGAGGCAGAAGCAGGTGGATCTCTGTGAGTTCAAGGCCAACCTGGTCTATACAGCAAGTGCCAGGACAGCCAGAGCTACACAGAGAAACTCTGTCTTGAAAAACAAACAAACAAAAAAATCCTAACACATTTTCAAAAACAGTATCTTAAAAGCTCTGTGCTTCCATCACCAAAGACTCCAGGGGTGCTAGCTCAATTTAATTTTTATCTTTTGAGTCTGGGTTTATAACTGTTTTTGAAAGTGAATTTATTGCTTTAATTAAAAAAAAATCCCACATATCACACAGAAAAGACAACTGGAGCTGAGAGATGATTTAACCAAAATCACCTAGAAAGTCAAATGCTGCATTAGAAGACAGATACATCTTTTCTTTTTTCTAGTCAAGAACTATTTCTGGGCCAGGTGGTGGTGGCACACCTTTAATCCCAGCACTCGGGAGGCAGAGGCAGGAGGATTTCTATGAGTTCGAGACCAGCCTGGTCTACAAGAGCTAGTTCCAAGACAGTCTCCAAAGACACAGAGAAGCCCTGTCTAGAAACCCCCACCCCTGTCCCCAAAAAAGAATTATTTCTGGTACCAGATGCTCTGCCTAAATAATATCAGCATTTTTACTAACCCATAGTTTTCACAAATTCATCGAAATTTAACCAACCTCGGCAATATGTCTCCAGTGTCCAAGTTCAGACTCAAGTCTTGAAACTTCATTTGATAATCTGTTTATTTCTCGTTGTGATGAAATAACATCACCAAAGTCCATGTCATCCTCATGGAAAGCTGACACGTGATGACTGATGCCGTAACTGAATGAAGGTGATGCTGCAGCTGCTGGTACCCTGCCAGATTCTGGATGTGCGGACTGGGCAGCTGACTGCAGTCTGAGCAATTCATCCTGTAGTGCAGTCTGTCTTGCTTTAAGGTGGTTGATTTCTTCCTATGTATTAAAAAATCCATGTTTTAAAGAACATATATCTAAAAATGCGTATTGGCCTCTTACAGATTCATAGTGTTGAAAGGCATGCTGACCCAACAGCAGCATTTCATAAGTGAATCCTAATCGTCCACCATACTCTAACCACAAGACTGTGACTTGAAAGACAAACTAATTCCCATAAAGTTCAGACAATGTTCAAAATAATATGAAGATTAGGATTTCACTCACATGTTAACTAAAGCAATGGGTTTCTCAAGGGAACGAGTCTGCTCTCATCAAAATACAGGTAATTTTATCAGAGCTCTGTTTATGATTATCAGACATGAAATAAAACAAAAGCTGTATAATTTATACATTCAAAAGTTAGGTAATCCAGACCAAAAGGTCCATGAATCAGCAGTACCTCTGCACTGATCTGTATGTACAACATGACTGAAAGAATGCTTTGATTTATTAATCCAATCTTCCTAGGTGAGATAACACAACTAGCCTACAGTTATTAGCCCATGAGTCTTAGAAAGAAATATGCATTAAAAGAGGCCCTCACCTTAACACTAGACAAGATGAGCCAATGAAAACCTGACCCTATTTAGAAAGATAACAGTATAAAAATTCTGAACTCTTAGGCAGAGTTCTAACTGAAGACTGTCAATACCAACTTATAAAGCTATGTGTGGTGGCAAACATGTATAACTTCAGTAGTTAGGGGGCTGAGACAGGAGGATTGCTGCAAATTTGAGTACATCCTGGACTATATATAGTAAGTAACAGGGCAGACAGTGCTACCTAACAAGACTTGGTCAAAACACATACACATACACCCCACAAAACACTTCACCAACAACAACCCAAAAAAGCTGGTGATGTAGCTCAGTTGGTGGAGTGCTTTTCCTAGTAAGGAGCAGTTTGGATTTGATCCCCAGTAGTAAATAAAATGGGGCACAGTAGAACCTGCTGCAATCCCAGCCCTTTGGGAGACTGAGACAGGAGAAGGCTCAGAAGTGAAAGGCTATCCTCGGGCTACAGAGCAAGTCTGAAGCTAGACTAGGCTATATGAGATTCTGTCTTAAAAATAGTTTTAAGAAAAGGGCTAGGATATAGCTTAATTGTGAAGTTCTTGAACATGTGCAAGGTGCTGGGTTCAACCCTCAGTACTGGGAAAAAAATAAGCATTTAACCTTAATTTGAACTCATATCTCTACTTTTTTATATTTGTTTTATTCTAGTAGTAATTGACTTTTAATATAAAATTATCAATTATCATTAGATTAGAAACTTTAGCTCTGTTTAGTTTTATCTTAAAAGCAGTATACTTTTTAATTCTACTTTAACATATCACCAAAAGAACTAGAAAGCAATCATCTAAATTTTTGTTGTGTTTTAGCTTTATGGTGCTGGGGACTGAACTCAGGGCCTCCCACACAAGATAAGTAAGTAGTACTCTGCTCAAATACTAAGCTGCAATCCCAGTCCTCACCCAAATTAAAAAAACCAAAGATGCCTGTGGTAGAAATGAAGTTAGTCAACGAACTAAAGAGTATTCAAATGATCTGGACAATAAAATAAGAAATGGTTAACTTAACATAAGCATGTATTAAACACAAAGGAAAATTTAACAACAGAAATCAGGGTAACATTGGTTAAATTATATAATACCTAATTATTAAGACTTCAAAGAAAAGATAGAATAATGTCAAAACAAACATTTTAACAAACTAAAACATTTGCAAAAAAAGAATTGAAAAGCATCTATTAAACTTTTATGTGGAAAATTAATTATATGCCAATATAAAAAATATTAACACATGCAGTCAAAATGTATTCTTACAAGGGAAAATGTCATTAGCAATGATCACACTGACTTAAAATCAACTTTAAAAAGTAACATATGCAAGGTCCTAGGTTCAATTCAAAGCACTACAAAACTAAATAAATGTTCTTAAAACCTAAGAAAACATACATTAAATTATATTTCATAAATACCAGAAAATATAAGCACCAGGTCATTAAAATGTTATAAAGACTCTCCTTATAGAAGCTTGAATTTATTCTTCCCAAAGGTTAGCTTACAAAATAAAATGAATAGGAACACTTTCCAAGTTTTATTAAGTTCAATATTTTTAATACTTTCATGAATTTAAAAATAGCCATGAAGTAAGAATGAAGTAATGAGGATACGCCCTTGCCTCTTTCTGCTGCAGCTGACTGCGGTAACTCGAAGATTGCTGCTTTATCTGCAATTCTGATGCTTCATGCTTTTCCTCTAGATCAGTGTAAAGCTTTTTAAGTCTTTCATTCTAGAAGCAAAGAGTAAGTATTTTCAACAAAAAGATTTCAAGTCAAGTCAAACATGTTAGCAGTCATCGTCATCACATGCACACATTATAAAAAAATTACACAAAAAATGATGTAAAATATCAAAGGTCTCAGACTTTTAAATGAAAATCTGAATTCTAGACCTATTTTGTCTTCAACAAACTCAGAAGCTAGCAAAGGTCCCCAAATACCTATCAGGAAAAAGCAGAGGTAAGGCTAGGGAGGTGGTTCAGTTGGTGAAGAAAGTGATTGCTATGCCAAGCTCAGCAGCATCAAGAGGTCCTGGAGCACATACTGCTGTTGTACAGTACTCAAATCTGGCTCCCAGTGTGAAGAACAGTAATCATTAGGGTTTGCTTTTCTATCAAACACTGTAAACTTGTGTTTATGACAAAGAATTCAGACTTTTAGATGGATGTTTTAATCCCCCAAACACCCCCAGTAAAACCTTTGTTTACACAAAGGACCTGCTGTGAATTGGGTGGCTTTCTTTCACTTTGAGCCCAGTCTTGAAAGACTGTGAGGTCAGACCCCAGTGGATGGAGAGGAGTCCTTGTCATCATCTAGTTAGAATAAAAACCAAGTTCACTTCCTATCAAGACACACTCACTCTTCTGAGCACACAAGCTTGATCAAGAATAAAGTTTTGCCTTGTCAAGTCTTGTTGGTGCAGACCTTTAAAGCCAGAACTTGTGAGGTAAAAGCAGGTGGATCTCTGAGAGTTTGGGACCAGTCTGATTTATATAGTGAATTCCAGGACAGTGAAGACTACATAGAGAGACACTGCCTCAAGAAAAAAACAAGAACAAAAGAAGGCACTAATTGTAGTGATCTCTTTCTTTGTGATGCTGAACTTAAGTCTAACACCAGCACCCACATCCGGCAGCTCTCAACCACCTCTGTAACACCAGCTCCAGGAGAGACTAACAGGCAATGGCATGAACATGCACATACAAACATAAATTAAAAATAATAAATGGTTCTTTAAATAAATAGGGGCTGGAGTGATGGCTCTTCCAGAGGATCCAAGTTCAATTCCCAGTATCCATATGCAGACTCACAACTATCTTAACTACAGTCCCAGGGGAGATATGAAACCCTCTTCTGGCCTTCAAGGGCACTGCACACATGTGGTGCAACAATATGTGCAGAAAACATATATGCATATACATAAACAATAATAATTATAATAATATTGCATGACTGAATGTAGTACACACCTTTAATCCCAACACTGAAAAGCAGTGACAGGCAGATCTCTGTGAGCTGGAGACCAGCCTAATCTACACAAACAGTCCCTAGCTAGCCAGGGGCTCAATAAGACACTATCTCCAAAAAACAAAAACAAAACAAACAATAAAACAGATCTAGGGAGATGGATCAGTGGGTACAGTACTTACTGCACAAGTGTGAGGGCCAGAGCTCAGAATACCAAAACACACATAGAGTCAGACACATCTATAATCCCACCATTCCTACTTTTAGATGTGAGGATTCAGGAGAATCCCGGGAAGCCTGTGGCCCAAGCAGCCTGGCATACGAAGCAGCAACCACCAGAGAGCTTGTCTCAAGATAGAAGGCAAGGATTGACAACTAAGGTTGTCCTTCAGCCTCCATGTGTTGTGGCACACACATCTGACTCACACACACACACAAAAAAGAAAGAACCCTAAGGAATTTAGTCAACTACTCACAGGAAATTCTAATTTCCCCTGGAAACACGCCTCTCTTCTAGACTAAAACTTGCTACCATCACTTTTTTCTTGAACATCGACAGATCACAAGGTGACAAATGGTGCCAGAGCAAGAGCATGGCATAGGCATATACATACACACATGAGGCAAGAACCTCTTTCTTTTCCAATAGCATCAAATGAGGAAGTGGCTTACAGGGGATGGATGTGTCTCCCCCATATAAATATTTCCAAACTCTAGAAGCATACTTGCCACAGATGATATGGTCCTAAGAAGCATTAAAGAAACTGAGATCTACAGAACAGAAAACTTCCATTCCCTTTCTCAAACTCAGTACAAAGCAGTCATTATTCAAGCAGGTTCATCTTTCTTACATTCTCCCAAAACATACACTGGCAAATACCATTAAGCACCAGCACATACTCTGCTGCTAACTTTTCTGGGTGGGTCTGTACCAAATAGGACCTCCTCAGGGATGTTCTAGTTTGGTCTTACTAAGAATTCATGTGTTGTGTGCCACTACAATGCTATCTTCTATAGGCTCAGTGCTAATGTCCTTCTCTCACAAGTCCCTCCTCTACTTTCAGATTCCACAATCTCACCACAGTGACCTAGTCCAGAGGTCAACAAGGCTTGCTAGGAAAGTCTGTCTTAGCGTCTAGATATAGTGTTCTCTTTTTATAGGCTTAGAATGGAGGGAATCAGCCGGCCGTTGGTGACTCATGCCTTTAATCCCAGCACTCAGGAGGCAGAGGCAAGTGGATCTCTGTGAGTTCGAAACCAGCCTGGTCTACAAGAGCTAGTTCCAGGACAGCCTCCAAAGTCACAGAGAAACCCTGTCTCAAAAAACAAAACAAAACAAAAGAATGGAGGGAATCATGTTAACAACAGTCCTCTAAGAACATCTCTCGCTACAATTCTAAGTGTTCTTTTGCTGTTCTTATCACAAGGCTAAATTATTGTGCTCTTGACAGTCCTTTACAATAGTTCCCACTCTGAAATCTTTTAATTTCTTTATTCCTATTAAGTATAATATAATGTCCAGATTAGTCACAACTACCCATTGACTCATAAGGAACAAAACAGTAAAATTAGCTTAATATTCCTATATTCTTAGCTTCTTTGCTTCAAATATTACATTATTATTCTAATGTCAGGAAATGTAAAACTCTAGATTAAACAGAATTCCATTTTTCATATTATATTTAAATGAACCACTAGTTAGGTATTGATGGGGGAAGTCCTTCTGTGTATATGTTTGTCTGATCGGTTGATAAATAAAGCACTGTTGGCCAATAGGGAAGCAAGAAAGGTGGGACTAGGAGTCGAAGAGGATTCTGGGAAATGCAGTTAAGAGTAGGGAGTTGCCATGTGATCATGGGAGGAGAGGGTGCAAGTCTGACATTCTCTGTAAGATAATACTTTATAAAAATATATATTAGTAATTATGAATTAATAATTAAGTCAGAGCTAGCCATTAAGAAACCATAGCAAATGGCCAACAGCTTCATAATTAATATAGCCTCCTGCATGTTCATTTGGGACTGATGCGGCTCTGGGACCAGGCTGGCAAGAAGAAGCACATTACACGGTGTGATGGTTCAGGCCTTGTGGTGGTTTACCTATAAATACAGAGGCTCATATATTTGAATGCTTAGTCATCTGGGAGTGGCTCTAACTGAAAAAGTTTAGGAGGTATGGACTTGTTGGAGGAGGTGTGTCAATGGGGGTGGGGCTTCAGGTTTCAAAAACCCACACTAGGTTATGTCTCTCTCTGCCTGCGGATCAGGATGTAGCTCTTGACTGCTTCTCCAGCACCATGCCTACCATGCCTGCTGCTATGCTCCCCACCATGATGATAATGGACTGAACCTCTGACACTGGAAACCAGTCTCCAATTAAATGCCTTCTTTTATAAGAGTTACCTTGACCACAGTGTGTTTTCATAGCAATAGAACACTAAGACAGGCCTGTCAGCCCAACAACATTCAGGAGGCTGAGGTGAGATCATCAGTTCAAGGACAGCCTGAGCTACATAGGAAACCTTAGCTCAAAAAGCAAAGCAAAGCAAAGCAAAATTAAGAGATATTAAGTCCAAACAAACAAATGTACCACTACAATGTAGCACACTGCTGGATAATGTCAATGGTAAACTTTTACCACAACTATTTCTATTATTTGGCAGTTTCCTTACTTCCAACAGATAGAAGTGGAAATGAGACTATACAAGAACCAACTGTGGCAAATACAGACACTCTTTACACAGAGGAGATTGGTAAAAGACAAGGTAAAACAAAACCCAGAAAGGCTGAAAGGTGAGACAGAGCATTTAAAAATTCTGGGAGTTTCAATAACTTCCATGGCTTCAAAAAGAGAAAACCTGATTTTTCACAGCTGTCTTTAACTGTCCTTACCTCTGATCTTAAGACTGAATGAGTAGCTTCATTTTCCTCTCTTCCAGAATTGAGCAAATCTGCTGCAAAACAAACAGCATATGCTGAATATTTGATTAACACCATATGAAGTAATAAACAGTCGTTTTGTGGTGGTGGGACTGGTGGTAAGGGACTGAATCCTGGGCCTAGTTGACATTAGTCACACGCCCCAACACTAGGCTGTATTTGAACCCTGAAGAGGTATCTTGAGGGAAATGCACTGCACCGGGTTTAAACAGAACTGAGGAGAGCTTATTCAGAGGATAGCCATTCCATCTTTACCAGAACATCACACAGGCTGTCCTTGCTTCCTCTCCCTACATCTTAAGAGGTGTGGCTTTACCCTTCGGAAACGTTCTATAAAGTTTTGTTTACGAGATTTGAAGTTTTGGGGTTTTTTATTTTTTTTATTTTCTATGTAAAACACTGGCTGTCCTGGAACTCACTCTGTAGACCAGTCTGGCTTCAAACTTAGAGATCTGCCTGTCTCTACCACCCAAGTACTGTGATTAAAGGTGTGTACAATCACTGTCCAGCAGAAATTTGAAGATGGTTTTTTGTTTGTATGGTTGGTTAGTTTTGGTTTTTTGAGACAGGGTTTCTCTGTGCAGCCATGGCTGTCCTAGAAATCTCTTTGTAGACCAAGATGGCCTCGAACTCAAAAAGATCCGCCTGCCTCTGCCTCCCAAGTGCTGGGATTAAAGACATGCCCCACCCACAGCAAATTTGAAGTTTTTAATAAACTTCTCTTTTGCAGTGTGGTGGCAGCACACACCTGTTAGTCCCAGTTCTCAGGAGGCAGAGGCAGGCAGATCTATGTGAGGTTAAAGACAGCCTGATCTACAGAGTGAGTTCCAGGACAGCCAGGGCTACATAGAGAAACCCTGTCTGGAAAAACCAAATAAAAAGAAATAAACTTCTCTTTTGACTTATGCTATAATTTTAGATGAAACACGCTCAACCAGAGCTTACAGTTTACTTTTACCCTCTAGTCCCAAGACTATAAAATAATTAATGACCTATAATCAAAACACAAAAATATTGAGAATACTTAGTGTAATACAAACATAATTTATTAAAAATAGGGATGAGGGACCAGAAATATGTCTTAGTGAGTAAAGGTGCTTATTACCAAGCCTAACCCCTTGAGACAATCCCTAAAATCTACATGAAAAGTCAGATGAAATACCTGAAATAAGTAATTCAACATTCCTATGTTAAGATTGGGGGGGGGACTGACAGAAGTTCCCTTATATAGTACAATGGCAGAAACAAGAGACCCTGATTCAAAAATAAGGTGGAGGGAGAGAATTATTCATAAAAAGTTGTCCTCTGACCTCTATATACACCAGGGCATGCACATGTACATTTGTGCTCTCTTCTCCTCTCTCCCTCTCCCTTTTTCTCTCTCCCATCCTTCCTCCCTCCCTCTGTGTGTGTCTCTCACTTATACCCATGTACGCATATACAATAAATCTTTAAAAAAAAAAACAGGGATGAACTCATTCTGACTTGGTTTCAGTTAAAAACAGTCAAAGGACTGAGAGATATAACTCAGTTGGTACAATATCTGCCTAGCATGTGCAAAGCCTGACTCAATACCCAGAACCAAAAGAATGAATGCATCTGGGGCAGAGGGGAGGTACGAATCTGTAACACCAAAACTTTAGGAGATGATCTGAGATGGAGGTCAGCCTGCACTATAGAGCAAACCCTGTTTCAAACAAGTAAGTTGATAAAAATTAAAATAAATTAGTAAACACAGTCAGGGGCCAGCAATGCCAGAATGGCACCACTAAGCCTTCTGAAAACTGTCATCTACGCAGTTCCATTCTTTCTCCTGTGGCTACTAGTTCCCATTACCACATCTGAACATTACAAAAACAGGGCAGAAGACAGAGCTCTGCAGTAGAGCTGTTTGTTTAGTCAAGGTCCTGGGCTTGACCCTACAATAAAAAGTAAACCAAGGGCCCAGGCTAGAGAGATGGCTCAGAAATTAAGAACACTTGCTGCTTTTCCAGAGAATCTGCGCTGTTCCCAAAATCTATATCAGGCAACTCACAATCATGTATAATTCCAATTCCAAGGGTCCAATACTCTCTTCTGACTTCAAATAGTACCGCACATGCATATGGCATATACACACATTAACAATAAATAAATAAAAACTTTTCATTTAGAAGAGCATTAAAACACTTTTAAACAACAAACTAATCCTGGCAGTGGTGGCGCATGCCTTTAATTCCAACACTTGGGTGGCAGTCAGGAGGATCTGTGTGAGTTCAAGGCCAGCCTGGTCTACAGAGTGAGTTCCAGGACAGCCAGAGCTATAAATAGAAACCCTGTCTCAAAAAGCCAAAATAATAATGATAATAATAATAATTAATAAACATTATAACTCCCCAGAATTACCATTGATTAAAAACAAAAACAACAACAAAAAGAAACACACAAGTGGCATGCCTATAAATCAGAGTGACAGTCTTGTGAAAATCACCAAGCAGGATTGCTTTTATGGTTGTTGTATATCCTGCTTGAAAACTCAGTCTAAAAAAGAATGCCTGATTGCTACTCTCAAGAGGACAAAGTAAGATCTAATTTGTTTAGGAAAGCAATTGCTAAAAGCTGCAATTGCATCTAAGAGGGACTTTAAAAGTTTATGCAGACCACACTGGCTACCCATGCAACCCACCCTCCCTCAACCAGCTTTATAAAAAAATCCCCAACCTTTCTCTCTTTAGTGCTGGAGATCTAACCTGGGGCCTTATGTGGTAGGCTGCCTGCTCTAAAATCCTGCTTTTTAAGAAGTTTTGTGACAGGAAAAACAAACAAACGCAGAACAACAGCAACAAACCCCTGGCCTTCTCACTAAGGGAAAACCTGACAGACACCTGCCTGGTTTTAGTGCTTGCAATGTACTGGGCACAGTTCTAGACTATACTCATGGTTTCCTTTAATTCTCTGATTTACAAATGATATGCTTATTCTTTTTGGATAGATAAGGAAATTCCTTTTTGGAAATATATACATGTGTGCCTAAGTATGTATGCATCCTGCACACATGCAGGAACCCTTGGTGGTCCCCAAGGGGGGGATGAGATACCCTGAAATGAAGTTAAAAGTAGTTATAAGCTGACACCTAAGTGCCGTAATCAGAACTGGATAAAGCGCAGTAAGTAATCTTAATCTGTGAGCCATTTCTCCAGTCCCAGAAACTGTTAGAGATTAAGTATTTATGAAAAAAGAACTGGACCTATGTCAATCTAGTTTAAAAGTCCAAGTTCTCTGTGTTTATCATGCACAAGACTCTTGATTCCAATACCCATTATTGAAGAAAAACAATAATAAAATCCCAAACACAACTAAAAGCCCAAGCTCTTAACTTTGACTACAATAAAGTGGTAGGAAAGCAACAGTCTAATATCTAAAGTGCTATTTGGTAGTTATTTTTTTGTTCATTGATGTCATAGGGTTGACACTAAATATCTGAATGCCTTAGTCAACTCTACTCCAAACTGTTTTTAAGTTTCAACAAAACAGGTATTAATCAAGTCTTGTATAATATGAAGGAAAATTTTTACTAAACAACTACAATGAACATACAAAGGAAGATGTCACATATTGGTAATATAGGTAGGAGGGGGGAAAATCCCCTGTGGTGGTTTTAATGAGAATGGCCCCCAATGACTCTTCAGGCAAGCTTTACTTGTTATATCACAAACAAAATACTTGGTTCCAAGCACACTTGGTTCCCAAGTGGAACTATTTGGGAAGGATTAGGAGGTGTGGCCTTGCTGGAGAAGGTATGTCACTCCAGGCAGGCCTGGAGGTTTCAAAACCCCAGGCCATTCCCAGTTAGCTCTCCCTCTTTCTGCCTGGTGCTTGTAGATCAGATGTAAGCTGCGTCTCCAGCACCATTCCTGCCTGCCTGCCTGCTGCCATGCTCCCTGCCATGATGGCCACAGACTCTACCCATCTGGAACCTTGAGTCCCCAAATTAAATACTTTCTTCTATAAGTTGCCTTGGTCTTGGTGTTTTGTTACAGCAATGGAAAAGTAACTAAGACACCCCTTCTTATACATCAAGGAAAAAGACAAACTGTAACTCAATATCTTAGTGCCATCAGACAATCACACACAAAGCTCTGTTAGGATAAAGAACACTGGCAACCAAGCATTTATGTCCAATAACAGATATGGAACTAGTGTGGCAACTAGAAAAGACAGCTTGAACCCAGAAGGAACAGGTCTTTGACCTCCCAAAATAAGAGGTTTGGTGGTTTTTTTTTTCTGTAAGTCAAGAAAATTTTAAGAAATCTATTTTTAAACTATACAGTGAAACAGAAAATGAATTAAGAATTAGACCTGAAGAGAGTCAGCCTGATCTGAGCTGACACTAGCAGTTATAAAGAAAAAGAAAAATGATAAAACAGGATGAACAAGATTGGTGGCCAATTTGAAACAAATGAACAAAAAAAGACACAAAACAAAGACGAAGAGTTCTCGTCCAGGAAAACTGGCAGCTAGCCAAATCACTAACAGAGACTATAAGCCAGGCTTGGTGGTTCGTGCCTGCATTCCTGGAGCCCTGCCGGAAGATGTAGACAGAACTGTGAGTTCTGGGCCTGCCAGGGCTAGAGTTTAACATCTAAAATAAATAAATAAATAAACCTAAAATTGACACTGTATGAAGGTGAGGCAGGAGAAATGCTATTTGAGGTCAACCTTGAGCTGTACTGCAAGAGCCAGGGCAGCCTGGGCCACAGAGTAAAACCTTATCTCAAGAAAAAAAAAAAAAAGTGGGGGTTTTGTTTTTGAGACTATGGGAAGCTCTCTGGTGAGAAAAACAAACTCTACACCAGGTTGAGGAGGCAGCTATTTTCCAGGTTGAAGTTAAAGAAATACTGTTGGTCCCTATGTGTAAGACAGTGAGAATCTAGTCTTTCCCATGGCTGTTAGCCCTCTTCTGCCTTCAAAGTCCCATGACCCTTACTGGACACACGAGTGCCTTTCGTTCCCACTGTTCCAAGTCATGGACCTTCCCCTCAAGCAAACCCAAGCGGGAAAACGGGCTTGGGCAGAGACCCAGTTTTCCCATCAAACTATTTCTCTCTTTCCAGCCAATACACACGGCTATTAAACCATAATGAAAAAATTGGGGAGTTGAGAGTAGAATTCAGTAGTGTGTTTACCATGCATGAGGCCTGGGCTCAATCTCCAGCAAGTCCTTCCCAGAGCTTAAACCAGAACAGTAAGTCGTTCGTTTCTAAAGAAAGAAAACTCACGGAGTGGCAGCACACACCTGTAGTGCCAGGACTGAGAGGCAGAGGCAGGGAGACTGTCAGCTTTAAACTTATATTACTATTATCTTATGAGTATGCCTGTTTTGTCTGCACATGTCTGTGCAGCACTTGGCACATAGTGCCTGGTGAGGCCCAAAGAGGACACCGGCTCCCCGGGAACTGAATGAAGTTAGGGACAGCTGGGAGCTGCTACTGGGTGCTGAGGATCAAATCTACGTCCTCCGGGAGAGCCCTTAACCGCTGCATTAACTCCCGTCTCTCCTGATTAAACGAAACTTTTACAAACCCTACCCACGCAAAGAAATGTCAACAACAGTAATAGTAATTAACCTAACCTCTGATTGCAATTGAATTCTAGGTCACTATTCCTTAGGACAGCAAGGTGATGACAACAAAAATGACTGAAGGAGGCTGGCTAGATAAACCAGTCAGTGAAGGCTCTTGTCAGACAAGCCCAGAGAACTGAATTACATGCCCAGAACCACCTAAAGGTGAAAAGAAAACACAACAAAACTGTCTTTTGACATCCGCACGTGGGTGCTGTGTCAGACGTCCATGCACATACATCAAACACAGACACACACACACACACACATACACACACACACACACACACACAGAGAGAGAGAGAGAGAGAGAGAGAGAGAGAGAGAGAGAGAGAGAAAGGAGAGAACAATGATAATTGCTAAAATACTTAAAGTGAGTGAAGTAGGTAAGAATACTCAAAAGATCAATTTTTTCACAAGTTCTGTCAAAATATGGGAGAAATGTGCAGCTGAACACAAAAATACATTGTTAGCTGCAATGTGTCTTCACTATAAGCAAAATTAGAAACTAGATAAACAGCCCTATTCCCCTGACAATGTGCTAAAGACAGACAAGAGTCACCAAATGTTTAATTGTGAGTATTTAAGAAAAAAATTCCATGCCGTTTGAGCTGTCAAAATAAAGGAACAGGATCAAAATCAGATCCGCCCCCCAAACTAAGGGCAAAGAAAGAAACGAGCAAGGGCCTCCCAGTAAGATCCTACTCCGCGTAAAAGTACCAGCTCCACTTTACTGAGCTATCCAGGGTATTCAGGGACCTGGGGAGACCCGAAGTCTCCACCAGCGGTCCTGCAGGCTACAGAAAGCGTCTGCGGAGGCAAGGGGAGAGTGCAAAGGAAAAAGTGCCGATGGACCCGGAGCCGAGCGGGCTTTCTCCGGGTCCCAGCCGAGCCCTGCCGCCCGCTCCAGCTGTTACCTGGCACATCCTCGGTGCCCTCCATCAACATATCCTTCGTGAAGTTTGAGATCTGGCCAGTGAGGGAAGCCAGGCTGCCCCCTACTTGACCCAGAGACTGGCCCAAGCCGGAGCCGAGGCCCCCGAGCCAGGACGACATCGCTGCGGGTGGAGAGCACGACGTCCGCTCCAAATGTCCCTGAACGCTGCGGCTGCTGGTGCGGATCCAGACGCCGAAGGCTCGCAGGACGCGGCGCTCCCACCGACAGCCGCGTCAGAAAGCCGAGGCCCGGTCTGGCGCTTCACCAAGGGCTCGCCGCTGTGGGCTCCGCGGCCCCCACGGGACCCCTGCTCATTCCCACGACTTCCCGCCGTAAGACCTCAACACTTCCTTCTCAGCTTTAGTGACTTTCCTCAGTTTCCTGGGTCAGTCCTGCCAACTCAACGCCGGCCGCCAAGACACCGCCGGGAAAGCGGCAGCGACCATAGAGATGCTCGGCGGTGACGTAGACAGACCCCTTAGTGCGTTCTACGCGCGAAGGACTGTGGGATCTCGGAGGAACGCATGAGGGCGGGCAGTACTGGTACCTTATGGTAACCAGCTGAGGTGGAGACCAAAGAGGCGGTGGCAGCCTGACGCTTTCCGTCTGCGCAGCTACGTTTGTTTGTAGGCGGAGGCAACCCTTGGGGGGGACGTCTCCTTAATCGTATCTGTAGGAGCTATTACTTTGCTGAGAAAAAGTTCAACAGGGTCGTCCCACCACCCAGGGAAATGACCTCAACCCACCTACATTACTCTTTTTCCCGCCGCTGTGAGGCTGGAAACGAGGCTGCAAAAGCGTGTTGCAATTCAAGAGTCCAAGTAGAAAGCACGTTTTTGGTTGTTTTCTTTTTGGTTTTTCGAGACAGGGATTCTCTGTCCTGGAACTCAAATCCGCCTATTTCTGCGAGCGCTGGGATTAAAGGCTTGTGTCACCACTGTATGGGTTTTGTTTTTGTTTTTGTTTTTTCACCAGTTACCTTGTACCTAAAGGAACATTAGGAATATCCCCCAGTATGTGGAATCTGATGACCCCCATACCGAATTATCACTTCTTGGAATCTGAATATTCGCATCAGATATCTATTTGGACTTGGGGGAGCCTCTGAGGGGTTTTCAGTTTCTGTGTCCCAGAACAAGGCACTGGACAGAGACATATGGAAAGTATTAAGGAAGGCGAGAAAATGCATAGAGAAAAAAACACAAACCCAGGAGAAGCAGCAGACCAGAGCATTGTCTGCAATGGTGGGGTTGATAGGCTACATCTTCAGCTTGATTTGATGGAAAATTTTTTGATGCTGAGGATTAAATCCCGAGACTTGTGCATGCCGTGCATACAGGCTTAGCTACACCCTCAAGCGTTGTTTGAGACAGGAGCTCCTATAACCCAGGTTGGCTTCTACATCCCGAGTACTGGGAATTACAAGCATATACCATCACATACATAATCCTCAAATAATTAACTGTTCTGGGCACTGAGGACACAGCAGGAGCAGATAAATGGTCTATGGGCTTATAAAGAGTGTGTTCCCATAGGAAGGCACATCTAGACAAAATGTAGTGTTAACACAGGCAATAATGACTGACATTAGGGAGAAAAGTAAAACAGGTAAAGGAAAATATGGACATGACATGTAAGTGGAACATTGGTAATGTAGAGAATGGTTAAGGCCTCAATGATAAGGTAATATTGAATAGAGACTTGAAAAAATGAGATATACAGACATATAGGGGGGAAAAGTATAGACAGACAGATACAACTGAATGCAAAGTCCTTTAGACAGAGAACCCTGGTCAATTTTGAGAATTTGTAAGAAAGCAAGGATGTCTTGAGCAGAATGGATTGGGGAAGATTTGTAATTGAGAACCTAGAAGATATGAAGAAGGCAAGTCACAGGGACTGGTAGGCCATTAACAGGACTGTGGGATGATGAGTTTCATGAACTCAAGACTTGGGTTCACAAATGATTGAAATGTTTAGCAACTGTAATTAAGCTAATATTTTCTGTAGGCTTAAATCCTCTAGAGCTCCATGTCTGTCAGAACACTGTCCAAGAATGGAATTGTATGAGAATTCTGAGTGTGAGAAAACTCCAATGACACAACAATAATCTTATGACCCCTGTTTCTTCAAGAACAGGGTTGTTCTTGGAATGTGCTTTTGTGCTCCTCCCAAATGCATCAGATATGAGTTTACTTCAGATTATTCATTACAGCTGGATATTGTTGTTTCTATTCCTCTATAGGAAAACCATGTTTTTGTCACATGGGGGTTGCCCATCACCTGTGGCTTGCCTTTGTGATGGTACACTTAATAGTACACTTAATAGTACATGATATCTTAGATGTACTTCAAAAAGATGGTGAGAACATGAGACAGGAATTGTCAGAAATCCGGTTGGAGATGGCTCAGTTAATAAGTGCTTATCCACCAACATGAGAATCTGAGTTCAACCACCAGACCCCACATAAAAAATATAAGGCATGGTAGCACATGTATGTTCCACAATGCTGGGCAGAGACTGGAAGATCACTTGGGCTTATTGGCCAGCCAGGCAAGCCGTGAGTTCCAGTTCAGTGAGACACCCTGTCTCAAAGAAATGTATGGCTTTCTTGAGAGTGACACACAAGGTTGCCTTCTGGTCTCTACACTAATACATACACCACCACCACCACCACCATCACCCCCACACACACACAAAAATGAGCACACATTAAAAGAATTGTCAGAACCAGGCAGTGGTGGCACACCCCTTTAATCCCAGCACACAGGAGGCAGAGGCAGGCCAGCTTGGTCTACAGAGTGACTTCTAGTACAGCCAGGGCTACACAGAGAAACCCTGTCTTGAACCCCCCCCAAAAAAAAGAAAAGTGCTCGTTTTGGCAGCACATATACTAAAATTGGAACAATACAGAGAGGATTCGCATGACCCCTGACAAGGATGACATGCAAATTCATGAAGTGTTCCAAAAAAAGAACTGTCAGAGACCATGCATGGTAGTTTATGCCTTTAATCCAAGCATTCAGGTTGCAAGAGGATCTCTATGAGCCCCGAACCAGCCTGGTCTACATAGCAAGCTCAAACCCAGCAGGAGTAAAGTGGTGAGATCCTGTCTCAAAAATAAAATGGTAGCATCTTGTCAGAAACCAGTCATTATTGAAATTGGGTTGAGTACACAACCATTCATTGTGCTAATCTTGCTTTTACTTACATATGCTTGATTTTTTTTCTAGCAAGCTTTAAAACATACATTCGATAACATTTGACTATAAAAGGTTGTTTGGTTTTCTGTTGCTGTGGAAAACACCATGGCCAAAATCAAGTTGGAGGAGGAAAGGGTTTATTTCATCTTACAGCTCCCAGGTTACTGGCTAAAGTCTGGGCAGGAAATTAGGCAGGAAACCTGAAGGCCAGAACGGAAGCAGACATCATGGAGGAAAGTTGCCCACTAGCTCACTCCCAGGTTCATGATCAGCTCTTATAGAACAAGCCCACTTGCCTAGGGATGGTACCGCCTGTTGATATCCCAGCATTATACTGGCCCCGCTCCCTGACAACTGGCAGAGTACACAATGAGCCTTCAGACAGATACTTAGACAGCTCAAAGGGCCCCGTGTTGCAAGGCTACCTCCAGCGTGCATTAAGTGGCTGCATAAGGACTCTGTACACATAAACCGGGTAAGCTGGGGCGATGCAGAGCTGAGGCTGCGTGGAGCTAGGCCAGTGGCAGCTCCAGGACTCCAGTTTCAACCACCCCAACTGCTGAGCCTCATTCTAAACCGCTCCCTGTCCCAATAAACTCCACGTGCGTTTGTTGAGTTGTGTGGTTCCTGTTTCATCACCCCAAGCTGCAGCAAACACCACCACCACCCACAACGGCTGATCTTCCTGTATCAATTAGTAATAACATTTTTTTAAGTACCATAGACATGTCCACAGGTCAATCTGATTGAAGCAATTCTTCCATTGAAATTCTCTCTTCCCAGGCAGTCAAGTTGACATCCAAGATTAATCATCACAGATGATTCTTCCTTTTCATGCCAAACACCCTTAGTTACCCTGGGTGTTCCTGATCATCATTCAGGAAGTTGCAAAGACCAACACAGCACAATTAAACACATCACATCAGAGAGAAGCCCCATGCTTCAGTGGTTCTAAGTAGTAAATTCCTATGTCAGAAAAAATGCTATCAGCTACACCCTCCCGACCCCTATCTCACTATGTAGCCTGGCTGACTGGAACTTACGACATAGACCAGACTGGCCTCAAACTCACTAGAGAGCCCCCCGTCTCTGCCACCCGAGTGCAAGGATTAAAGGCATGAGCCATCATTCCCAGCATTCTCTTATGAATACTATATACTACCCACTTCCTTTATGAAAAATAGATTATTTTATACTTCAGTATTTCTTATGTCTGTATTCCCTTTCCTTCTGGGCTCCAAACAGTATCATCATAATTACTGAGAAGTCATCAATGTTTACATTGCATAATTTGGTGTGGGTGAGTGAGATGGAGTTTGTCTCTAGCTGGTGGCACTGTTTAGGGAGGATATGGAACTCTTTCAGAGGTGAGGCCTAGCAGCAGTACTAGGGGCCGGAACTGGAAGGTTACAGGCCAGCCTCAATACCTGTCAAGTCATTTCCTGATCTGCCAAGATTAATCCCAGCACTCGGGAGGCAGAGGCAGGCGGATCTCTGTGAGTTCGAGGCCGGGCTGGACCGATAGCCTCCTAAACAATACAGAGAAACCCTGTCTCATAAAAAACAAAAAACAAAACAAAACAAAACAAAAAAAAAAGATGGAAGATGTGGCAGCTGCCATGCCTTCCCTGTCGTGATGGCCTGTACCCTCGGGACCTGAGCCCAAACTGATCACAACTTACTCTGTCTCTTGTCCCACACTGTCACAGTGGCAAGAAAGGCAACTAATAGATTATATACACTTGGCCCATCACCACTGAGTCACACGATATGCTAAACATTTCTCTCACAGCACAGGCCATGAGAGCATTCATATTCTGAATGAGTAGTATTACTCATGGCTGTTTCTCAAAACCTAGAACAATGCAAGGCCAATAGTAAGCACACGAACTGTTCACTGAATGCTGTATGAATGAACGTTCTCTGTGGCAACCTAAGAGACAAAGGCTGGCCCAGTCCCTGGCAGAGGGTAGAGAATGGTCAAGAGAAAACAATCCTAGCCAGGCATAGCAGTACACACTGGAAAACCCAGCACTCGGAGTCTAAAGCTGCACATTCCAAATGTTCCAAGTCAGGGCTATATAGAAAATGTCTCAGCTGGGCGGTGGTGGCGCACACCTTTAATCCCAGCACTTCGGAGGCAGAGGCAGGTGGACCTCAGTGAGTTTGAGGCCAGCCTGATCTACAAAGCAAGTTCCAGGACAGCCAGGACAGTTACACAGAGAAATCCTGTCTCAAAAAACAAAGGGGAAAAAAAAAAGGTCTCATATTGAAAAAGCAAGTTATTAAATTTGTCTCTTAAGGTTAAGAATCATGAGGGATTCTACTCTTGGAAGAGATCTGAGGAGAGGAAATGGGTATAAAAAAGGTCATTGGGTTCAGCCTCAAGCAATGAGAACTGTGGAAGGCTTGTGTATCTGGGATTGGGTGGTAATATATTCTCTGACAGGAATCTGTGAGGGCCTCCCTGGTCTGCTTCATGCTTCACTGCAGCTGTGTAAAAACATGCAACTCCACAGACAGTTTCTCCAAGTTCCAGCTACAAGGTCCTGGTACAGAGGCTCTGACTGTGACCTGAAACAGCATTTGGGAAACGTTCCCACCAGACAGACATGCATCTGTACCTCCCAACAGACTGAATAGCAAGGCTAAGAATTCACAATGAACACAGAAAGGTTAATAGAAAAGCAATCATTCTCTTTATTTAATAATCTCTGATATTTAAAATACAACTCATTAACATCCACATCAACAGAACCCTCAGTGTTCAACAGTGCTTTGGAAGCCCAGCTTTCGAAGAAGCAGACAGACGGAAGACCTATGGAGTGGCAGCCCAAACTCCAGGAGACCGAGCACATGAGGAGGGCTGCAGGGTTGGGTCCTGAGCGAACTGCACTGCACAGTGCATCATATTGGCCAGAAGACAATGCTTTTTTATTTCACGGCTTTTGCACTTAAGTTTCAAATATTTTATTTATACAGAACAGTCATTTTTTTAAAAAAGTTATTCCTATTTAGTCCAGTGTTGTAGAAATTAGATAATCACATTTCAAATGTCTATCTTTCTCTAAAAAAAAAAATCTTTAAAAAAATTCCAGGAAACACACCACCTTTAAACTATGCAAGACACAAATATTACTAAATAACTGCATTTCCCACACACTTCAAACTAGTACCTCATCTATGACTGCAGTGTTAAAATGTTTACTGGTACTACTAAACCTCCATAAATTCAGGGAGTATATTGTTTTGTGCTAATTCTTAAAATGACAGACCATTACAGAAATAAAAAGTATCTGCAAAAACAAAATCAATATCCTTTTCATTCATGAATGACTACAACAAAACTTTTTATTATGTATAACACTTTGAAAAATACAAAACCAATTTGTTCTTTAGCTTATTAAAAACAAATTAGGAATAGAGGGAGAGTTTTCGTTTTAAATATGAAAAACAAAAATTATCTACACTACTGATGAGTTAATCCAATCTGGTCTTTCTTAAGTCACATACATCATAACTCTACACTTGGCAGGACTAAGGTTCAGCAAACACTTCATTTGAAAGTACTCCTTAAGGCCCCTCAAAACGTAGATTCCATGTGAATCTTCATTCTTTTGCAGTGGTAAGGACTGAATGCAAGGCCTGAGCCACTAGGCAACTGCTCTACCATTGAGTGCATCCTCGGTGCTGAATTTAAAACATCGGGATTTCCCAACTTAAGACTTTCGGTTAGCACAGTTTGGTTCTGCACTACCCAATTTGGACTTGCATAGGTCACAGGGGCCAGTTGTTAGAATTTAGTAACCCTTGGCACTGGCATGATTTAAAAATAGTATCGATATGCAGGTACTCAAAATGTGTGGCTTAGACTCTGATATGAATAAAACTTATTTTAATCAACTTGATATTAAATAAAACAATGCAGACTACTCAATTTGAGCATTCTTTCTCATTAACTTTGGTTTCATCAAGAAAAATCAAGTTTGCAGGGCAGGGTTGGGGGAGGAAGCACCACCTTAAATACTGTCTATGAATTGTAAATGATGTGGCCAAGGTATTAAAAGTTTAGTGCAGAATTTACCTGCACTACTGTATCAAACAATTCACAGCAGTGAAATATCTGCATATTGCTGTCTTGTTTTGTTTGGAACTCACTATATAGACCAGGCTGGCCTTGAACTCAGAGAGATCTGCCAGCTTCTGCCCACTGAGTATTGCGATTAAAGATGTGCAGAACCTTGCTTACGACATTAGCATCACAACTGTACATATTTTATCTGGTAGTACAAGTTACACATTAGAAAAAATGATACCAGTAGTTTAAATATTAAACATTAAGGTGCTCCCAATTGGTAAAAACAGAATGGAAATGTAGTCAAGTCCACAGCACAAACATACCAGTGAATTCCCTTGCCCCGACGGTCCTGCAATGCTGTACAGTAAATGGCAGCTCTTGGGGTATGAGCCAGAGCTTCCCGGAACCTTTGCACTTTTTTACACTGTGGTTATAATAAGCATTGGCATCTTTGGATATGGGCTACTCATTCATAATGAAATCTAAACATTCAGGTAAGCCTGGGTCAATCCAAAAGAGATGGCAGTTCAACAGTGATTTTGGATTTGCCTTGCCAAATACAATTCATAGCAAACTAAAAAAATATACTCAATGATATTCAATGTATGCTCAGTTTCTCTTTAAAATGTCTCTAATAAAAGATCAACATGCTGTGTTTCATAAGTGTTTTAACTAGGGTGTATTATATGAATGTTTTAAAAATTCTAAAGTTAAAACTGAAATACATATTGGCTTTCTCTTTTTTCTATCAGGTAGCTAATCAATCTAACTGTAGGAACATTTAATGTGATTTTTCAACGAGAAAAGGGTCAACGTCCAGATGATGTGACTGGCACACTGGGGTAGTTCCATACTTCAGACTAACACCTAACTGTGAATCGTAAGGTTCTAACTCCAATACCCTAAAGTTGCACAGTTCTTCCGAACTTCTGCAGTTACTAAAAGAAAACTTCATACATTTTAAAATAAGACTAATTTTTCATAAAGCAAACTCCAAAAAAACTTTAATTGGCACAAAATGACTAAGAAAAAAATCTCCCTGTTTTGGAACTGGGGATATAGATCAGAGGTAGAATGCCTGCCTAGCACACAGGAGGGAGTCCTGGGTTCAATCCCCAGTGTAACCAACCAAAGCAAAACCATCTGTCCTATCCATAGTCATAAATAAAAACATTTGTAATTTTTGCAGTTAGACAGCAATAAATCCCACATCAAAAAACTTTCCCTGATAAAACGTGTGCAGAGCACACACCAGTAGAGCAATATACCATTCTTCTCCTTCCTAAGCTACTGGCTAAAAAGTCTTCCTGGATTTTACCTATGTACAAGTCCACATTCATAAGGGGACAGAGAGGGAGGAAAGGAGGGAGAGAAGATATCAGGATCTATGACACCCATAAGATAGTTATTTTCACCCAAGTCATACCAAAGCACTAACCCAGAAAGACTGTGCATTCCAATTAAAGAGTGTCTACCAAAACTAAGGACTTTCGTGTTCATAGGTGAGAGCCTTCTGTGACTTCTGTAACTCTCTAGCAATTTAAACATGATTGCAGGGTCAACCCATAGTATATTTATGTATTTTCATTAGTAAATCACTTTCCCATTCTAGACTACCATCCCAGCAGGCTTTATTCTATTAAAAAAATTAGTGAAGCAGGCATATATTCCAGGACTTACTGTAAATAGTATACAAAGCTCCTGTCATAAAAGAAAAGCTAAAACAAACCAGCCACCAACACTGAAAGCCAAGCTTCTCCTGCAGTACATCCATGGGACCTGCATGTTAAGGAAGAAGGAAGTGTGTACTTAAGGAATACAGTATGGAAGGATTAGAGATGTCAGCCAGGGCACACCGAGAACCTTCACAAAAGCACCCAGAAGCTCATACTCACACAAACCAGCTCACTTAGACTCAAATACTCAAGCAGCGCAGACTGAAGAGTATAGGAATGCACCAAAGTTAAGAAATATTGATCCCACTAGAAAGGGCTTTAAAAAATCAGAACAGATTACCACGTTAGAGCTGGTACCCCAAGAGAAAATACCCCAATGAAGCACCCATGTACACACACACACACACACACACACACACACACACACACACAGGAAGAAGACAAGATTAGCTTTCAGTAATGAGACAGACATTTCCATAAAAGGTTGGTCTAATATGAAACAAGCTCAAGTGAGCCAAACCACCTCCAATGGAGAGAAAATGAAAACAAAAATACAAGATCAAGTTCAAAGGCAAGAGCTAATTAGTTGGTCCACTCCCTAATTTCAGTTCGATATTGCACATGAGAAAAACAAACGGGGAAATTTAGTTGCTGGCTGCCTCTTTGGCTGGTATCAGGATCATTACTTCGTCCTATGACATGTTTTTTGGCTTTCTGATCATCTGCTTATAAACCACCAGAGTGTCTTATCCCTTCCAGTGTCACTGTAATCACACAGACAATGTTAGAAAGTATGAGTAGCAAAATGATTTTTAAAGGTATTATTTTTTTCCTTCTGCTTTCAAATTATCTTTAGTATTTTCTAAAGACATGGTTCCAGCTGCCCGAAGTATGTCTTCACTCACAGCATCACCTGCTGGGAAAGAAAAGAGTTCTCAGAGACATTTCTGGAAGATTCTCAATCATAAAGCACAAACTTTTGAACTAGGGTGTAGCTAAGTCAGTAGAGCGCTTGCCTAGCACTCACAAGGCCCTGGGTTCAATCCCTAGCATGGCATAAAATCAGCCATAGAGTCTCCTATAATCCTAGCACCAAGAGATAGAGGCAGACGTCTCAGAACTTCAAGGTTGTCCTTGACAATACAGCATTTGAAGTCAGCCCAAGCGACAGGAAAACTGTCCAAAATGAAGGGGAAAAGACTTAACTGTGTAAATCTGCTGGAACAGTGTGCTATGTTGTGTGCAGAGGTCAGACAAGAGCTAAGTGGTTCCTAATGACTGGACACAGGTTGTCAGGTTTGACAGCAAACATCTTTCTCTGCTGAGTCATCTTGCTGGCCCTAGTTTCCTTTTTTTTTCACTTGTAATTCACATACTATTTGTGTGACTATTTAAAATCCACAAATGGATAGAGAACAAAAGATCATATAAGGCATATACCTATTGCTCCTCCTTGTCCAGTTCCTCTGTGGCCAACCCAAAGCCCAGCCAGATGTCTGTTTATAGTTCTGCCCATCTGGTAAGTCATGGTCTCATACAGTATACACAGCCCTCTGAATGTAGACTTTTTTCATTTATCATAATGCATTTGACATTTATTGTGTTTATTAACAAATCGGCCTCTTTAGAAAATCGTTTTATTTGTAAACAATTAAATTCACAGGAAGTTGCAAAGACACCTGTGGATCTGTCAGATCAATTTCTCACAACAGTTACATCTTCTATACCTAAAGCTCAAACTGAAACATGAACTGTAGCACAACATTGGTGGTTCTACATGGAATTTAAAGGATCTTCTTTATTTTTTGGTTGTTTTGTTTTGTTAAAGACAAAATGCCTAACATGGCATTTTATCACACATGTAAACTCCACTACCACCACCACCAAGACTAGAGGGCTAGGGGCATGTTAAGTTGTGGGGAATGGATGAGGTCCTATGTGAATGAACACAATCGTGTCAAGGACCCTAATGTTTCAGACACAGGGAAATGGCAAAGCCTTCCCTGGGTCAGGCTCAGAGGAATGTTCCTCTACTCCAAGAGAAATTTCAAAGTCTTCTCCTGGTCCAAGTAGGGGTGCTAATAATGGACAGTTGCCCATTAGCTAAAACCAGTGTGAGCAGAAACTATCAATATAGCTTCCTTTTGCATGACTGCAATCTGAGACTGCTCCCTTACTGATACCGCCTATGAACATTAGCTAACCACACACCACACCACACCACACTGACATGCATGCACATGCCTCCTCCTTTGCGCTACATTTAATAATGCACTGGGTTTCCAGACTGCTGCTGGTACACCTCCATCAGAGCACAAGGCCTACCCAACACCAGCTTTTCTCTGTATCTGTTATTTCTTCATTCCCCATCATCCTGTTCAGGGCAATTCCTAAGCTGTGTAAGTTGGGGCACTCAGTGGTATAATTTTTTCCCCAGTGTGCACCATGTGCCGGGTTTCATCCTAAGTGCTACAAAAACAAACCCCATAAAACCATTACATCACCACAATCCCCTCCCTCTTACACTGCTTTGTATCCATGCCCAACTTTCCCCCACCTTGTCAATCCTGCTGCCCACACTATCCTAATTTCTATCTGAACACATCTGGGAGGTTTAGAATGCTATACAAACATCGCCTCGGATTGAAACCTTTCCAGACTGTCCTGAATCTGACATAATCATCCCAAAGTCCAGACCAGATGCCTCATGCATCAAGAGTTGGCTTCTTCTTAATCCTGAAAGTAATACTGTATGGCATGAAGTACTACAGTTTGCTTAACCATTTATTTGCTGAAGGTATGGTTGTCTCCAAATTTTGATTAAGACCAATAAAATAGTCATGAACATTTATATATATACTTTTGTGTAGACATACATTTTTAAATCTATGGCATAAATACCCATGAATACTGACTGGATCATATGGTCAGTATATATTCAGCTTGCTTGTTTTTTTTGAAACAATGTAGCTCTGGCTAACCTGGCACTTACTATATAGACTAGGCTAACCTTGAACTCATAGAAACTCACCTGCTTCTGGTTCTGGAGTGCTAAGATTAAAGGGATCCTGCTGTATGTTCAGGTTTTTAAGAAAAAACTGGCCGGGCGGTAGTGGCGCATGCCTTTAATCCTAGCACTCGGGAGGCAGAGACAGGCAGATCTCTGTGAGTTCAAGACCAGCTTGGTCTACAAGAGCTAGTCCCAGGACAGGATCCAAAGACACAGAGAAACCCTGTCTCGAAAAACCAAAAAAAAAAAAAAAAAAAAAGAATGAATGAAAGAAACAACTGAATTACTTTCTGATGTTAAAATGCAATAAAGTTCGCCTCACTTTCTGTCCCTTAGCTCCCTCATTCATAACTGCCAAACACACAATCAAACTAGATCAGTGATACAATTTTTGTTTCAACCATCAAATATAATTCAGAAAATTCAAAAGAAAGGAACAGTATTTAACATCTTTCACACTTTCTATTCTTGCCTCAATATCACCTCATTTCTTTTCTGTTTTGAGAATTTTTCTTAAGTTTTTTTTTTTAATTGAAAACACATTTTTCCAAACAATATATTCTGAACCGGGTCCCCTCCCTCATCTCCTCAGATATCCTCCCCACCTTCCCACTCATTCACCGCCACGCTTTCTCTCTCTCTCCTTAGGGAAAAACAAAAACAACCAGGAAAATTTATGAAACAAAGCAAAAACAAAAAACACAGAACAAAGGAAACACAGGGAAAAAAGCCCACTATACATATGCACGCAGAGACACAAATGCACACAGAAAACCCATAAAAACACAAAATCGGAAACCATAATAGATACGCAAAAGACCAGTAAGGTTTCAGGACAAAAAAAGAAAAAAAAAGCCAAAGCATTAAGAGATAAAAATTAAAAATTCTTCAAAAAGAACAGTGAAGTTGGTCATCCACTGGGCATGGGGCTGTCCTTGAATGTGATTTGTATACCCAATGAGACTCCAATGGAGAAAACCGATTTTCCTTCTGAAGTGACTGTCCATTGGAGAGAGCTTGTGAGTTAGGGATGGGAGATCAGATCCACTTCCCCATCTCAGTGCTGAGACCCCTCCGGCTTGGACTTGTGCAGACCCTGAGCATGCTGCCACCATCTGCGTTTGTATGTGTGTCAGTTTGTATGTGTTCCAGCGTATCTGGAAGGTATGGTTTTCCTGGTATCTTCCATCCCCACAGGCTGGTACCATCTTTCTGTCACACCTCCTCAAAGTTCCCTGAGCCCTAAGGGGCAGAGTTTGACGGAGACATCCATTTAGCACTGGGTATCCCAAGGTCTCTCACTCTCTACATTGTCCAGTTGTGGGTCTCAGTAACTGATGGCTAGTCCTGGCTCTGATGATGGCTTATCTCCTTCCCAGGCCCATGTAGCTACCCCGTTCTTTGTTTTTTTATTTTTTGAGGTTTCTCTGTGTAGCCCTGGCTGTCGTGGAACTCACTTTGTAGATCAGGCTGGGCGTGAACTTGGAGATCTGCTTGCCTCCACCTCCCAAGTGTTGGGACTAAAGGGAACCATGTCCAGTTCCCTTTCCCTAGCTTTCAAGGATAGGACTGACTGCTAGAGACATTTTTTTCTCAATTCTAAAGAGTATGTTAATTACTGCGTAAGTAATCCTGGGTTTAAAATTTTCCTTCAGCACTTTAAAGCTCACAAGAAACCTCTCCATTTCAAATTGCTGTTGGGAAGGTTATTTCCTGCTGATTTGGGACAGTGTCTTCAGTTTGCAGAAGTCTATGAGTCCTGGTATGTATTTCTTTGGGTTTATACTAACTTGAAGTTCATTCAACTTCTCCAGTTTGCAGGTTTCTAGCTTTCAGGTATTTTTCTGCTTTTGAATTTACATGTGGAATAGAGATGTGGCAAAGTGTAACTACAATCTCAGCACTCAGAGTCAAAAGTAGGACAACAGTAAATTTGAGGCTAGTCTGGGCTAGATAGTAAGACTCTGACTCAAAACAAACAACAAAAAAACAACACCAACGATTAAAATTGCCCATGTGGCTCCTTTTTCCTAGTTCTTGGAGTGACAGTGGTTTTCAACTGAACCCTGGGCACTTGGGTACTGTCAAACTGCCAATCTTACTCAAGTCTTTGCTTTGTGAGCCTCCTCTGAGACACAGAGGAGTGTATGTGGGCATGTGTACATCAACTACAGGTGCCCAAGTTGGCCAGAGTGTCAAATCCAGTAATTGGAGTTACGGATTCTGTATAGTGTGCTCTCTAGTGCAAGACATGCTCATACCAACAATCCTTCCTCACTGGCTGTCTTCTTACTGTACAATTCTAAGCATTCTGCATAGATTCTCTGCGAAGTACCCTGACAGACAGGGTTCCTTTTCCACTCAACTTCTCCCAATAATTGGCTCAAGTTTAAGACCTATTAAATCAAGGCCTGGTGAGTAACCTGAACTTCTAGTTATTATCTAGATTACACTAAGGTATGTTTTTCTTTATTAAGTGGTGAAAGGTATTTATTTTCTACTTACTAATATTCATGACCTCTGGACCATCTCTAGAGAATTTCTGAAGAATGTGCTAACTATATGTGGAATTTTAAAACCACCCAGGGCATGGTGGTTCATGCCTATAATGCTATTACTAAAAATGCCCAAGGAGGAGGATCATGAATTTGAGACCAGTATAGGCTACACAGAAAGTTCCAAGCTAGCCCTAAGGCTATACAGTAAAACTGTTTGTTTGCTTGTTTTAATTAAATAAAACCTAAACATTCACAAAGTGTTCTAATCTGTCTGCTTTTTACTTCAAAGGAACTGAGTAGATGATAAATCCATTCAAGAGTTTTTAATACAATTAAAGAAGAAGAAAATATAAAGCAAAAATGACATGAACCTTGGGTATCAAATAAAGTATTTGAGTAACAATCATGGTGAATGGCCAGAGAGCCATACCTTGGCTGTTCCCAAGTTCTCCTGAACTTGTGGTCGGTCTTTCACGAGCAGATGAAAGCTGTCTAGGTCGATCTACCTCTTGCTGCTGATGTTGCCTGGAACATTCAAAAGAGAATATACATTAAAAGACCACCTAAGAGATAAACAGTCCATGAGAATTTATTTCTTATTCATGTAGGACATAAACTTTTCCATGAATCAAAATGAACCCTGGCCTGAACACCTCAGAAGGTGAGAATTAGTTTGATAATTACAAGTATAAAAGGGGCAAAATTTTTAAAACCCTACATATTTGAGTTATCAAATAAGAAGTAGGTATTTTCATTTCCTGTATATGGTTTACTAGTAGTTACTCATATGCAAACGAATGTTGGCTTATGCACCTTTAATACTAGGAGCCACTGAAAAAATACTTTGACAAGATAAAGCATCTAAATTTACTGTGCTCCTCCTGGCTGGCTCCTGGAGCCCCCTCTTCACGAAGCCACCTGGCCATCTCACTGTTTCACTTGAGTTACCAGCACAAACACACTGCCACCTTGATGCTTCTGTTTGAACTGTAAGCTAACCAGAGCACAAACCTTACGCTGCTTACCTGCATGCCCAGTACCTGAGACTGTCCATCACATAGCAGCTTCATCACATACTTGATGAAGAAAAGAAATGGAAACAACTGTATGCAGCAACAGTGCCACTGTATGTTGGAAGTGTGTGATCTGCGTTTTGATTTTGATTTTACAAGGGCTTACAGTTAAATGATTGCATAAAACACAGAAGACACTTTTTGAAGAAGTCCTAACTTATGTATGTGTGCACTGTGACATAACTACAAGCCTACGGGGGCCAGGTATGCCCCCCACAGGCTCATGTAAGTGTGGCCTTACCAGAGGAAGTGTGCCACTGGGTGGGGGGGGGTCTCTGAGGTTTCAAATGCCCATGTCAGGCTAGTCTCTCCCTTTCTGCCTATGTAGAACTCTCAGCTACTTCTCCAGCACCATGTCTGCCTACACGCTGCCATGCTTCCTGCCATGATAGACTACCCTGAAACTGTAAACAAGCCCCAATCAATGCTTTCTTCTTAAAGAGCCGTTGTGGTCACGTTGTCTCTTCACAGCAACACTGACTAAGACAGTCTCTCAAAAAAGAAATGAAGCTGTAATGGCTTGTGCCTGCAGTACAAGCTCCTCAGGAGGACAAGGAAAAACACCACCTGAGCCCAGGAATTCAATACCAGCCTGGGCAACATATCAATCCCTATCCCAAAAACAAGACAAAACATGCAGGAGTATATTCCTGTGTTTAGAAAAATGTACACTGTAATGCTAAGCTACAATGAGAAAGAAAGAAGTTACTCCCAGACGCGTCTGATATGTCAACAATCTGGATGAAGTGTACTGAGAGCTACAAGGAGCTCTGCCCACTAGTTCTACTTTTAAGTAATAAACATACACTTTAGCTTTAGAAAGCTAAAAAAAAAAAACTATAAATTTCTGAGATTAAGAAGTCACAGATTTAAAAAGTTGAGTATGATTTTAAAAGGACCCGAATTCAGTTATAAGCAGCATATTGTTTTCCAGCACTCTTCTCAATTTTGAAAAAAAAAGACCTCTAGTCAGGCTGCTGGCCTCCACCTCCCAGTGCCCCAAGCAAACGCCACACCTAACTGTCCTTCTCAATTTTGAGCAATAGAGAACTCAGAGAACAGGAAGTCCCTCTTCTTCCTGCTTCCTCCTGTTGTTGTGGCCTTCACACAAGGACAGTCTGGAGCATGGCCTGAGCTCTGGCTACCCTGGCACATCATGGAGGCTCCTGCATGCCCTCCTCTTCCTCCCCTTAAGAATCTAGGGCTGATAGAGGGATGACCTTGAACCTACTTTTAAGTTTTCATTTTACTGACACAAGTATTGCACATATTCATCCAGTTATTATAACTTCAAATAATGCAAAACGAGAAGAAAATCAACTGCCAGCCTTGGAACAACCACGGGGAAGCACTGAAGACTGCTATGGAACAAGTTCCTCAGTGCCCTTCCCACCATGCCTTCAGTCCTACACAGGCTGCCGAGCAAGAGCCTGGCTTCTGGTTACAGAGCAAACACTCATAGGAGCTACAAAGGGCAGAAATGAGTCAATGAGGCAGACACAGCTGTTTCCCTGAGAAGCAAAGTCAAGGAGACTCAGTCCTAAATTCTACTTCATGGCTGTCTCAGTGCGACCAGAAAGTCTTGACAACCATGATTCCAGGATCACAGTTACAACTGGTTTTTTGTTTGTACATTTGTTTGTTTGACGATTTAGTTAGGGTGTTACATGTGATGGTATATGGGTTTAACCTCAGCAGAGGCAGAGCAATCTCTGTGAGTTTGGGTGGCAGCCAGGTTTACATAATGAATTCAAAAACAGCCAGGGCTACACAGAGAAGCACTGTCTTTAAAAACAAAACAAACAAAAAGATTCAGTTAGAGGCTGGAGATGGTTCAGCAGCTGAGAGCACTGGCTGCTCTTCAGATGACCTGGGTTCAATTTCCACCACCTGCATGGCAGTTCACATGCATGTGGTATACATATATACATGCAGCTAAAATACCCATACATGTGGAAAGGGGTAAACTAAACTTAAGGGCTTTACTTCTAATAATTTAGAAATAAAGGGACCAGACCCTCACTCAGCCCCCTGCTTCCGTAGCCATGACAGGCTACAGAAAAGACGCGTGGGCCTCTGACACAAGGAAACTCCAGATCCTCTGGCCTCCCAGACTCTAGGGCCAAAAGTGAACACAAAGAAACTCTAAACCCCCACTCCCAGCCTCCTAGATGTTTGGTTCCTAGGAACTGTTTGGCCACAAAAGAAACTGGGGGGAGGGGAGGAACGACACCAAAACCTCCCCTGTAGTCTGCAGGATATAGTTCTGAAAACTATTGGTATCTATGTATAATAGGCCACCTGCAAGTGCCATAGAAACCACAGAATGTTCCCTCTCAGCACTGACCAATGAAAATAATTGGTACACAGGTATTTCATGCCAAAACATGACTTTGAAAAGTTCTCCTGATTGTTCCCAAATGTCAACCAATCAGAAACCAACCCATACCTACTGATGTAATCCTGTAACTTTTGTCTATAAAACCTAGCAGTAGCCGGACATTGGTGGCACATGCCTTTAATCCCAGCACTTGGGAGGCAGAGGCAGGCAGATCTTTGTGAGTTCGAGGCCGGCCTTGTCTACAGAGTGAGTTCCAGGACAGCCTCTAAAACAATACAGAGAAACTCTGTCTTGAAAAACCAAAAACCAAAAAAAAAAAAAAAAAAAAAAAACCAAAAACAAAAACAAAAAACCTAGCAGTAGACAGGGAACTTCACTCTCTCAGGAGGCAGCTGTGACAGCTAGCCAGACAGGATCTCTGTTATGGGTGGATGAACAAGCATTAAACCTTGCTTTTGCAGTTTAGTGGGTCTGTCTTCCTGGTGGTCTCTGGGGATTTGCAACTTGGGCACAATATGAAATAAAATTGAAGTTTTTTCTAATTTATTTATACATATGACATAAAGATATTTCTTATTATGTACACATATGGTGGGTACCCTCAGAGTGAAAACAGTGTGGTGTCCTCTGAAGCTCGAGTGTGAGCCATGTGTGGGTTCTGAGACCTGACCCTGGGTCCTCTGCAAGCTCAGATCTGATCCCCATCATCCTAAGCAGCAGTGGTCACTACCCTTCTCACACTCTCTACACTTCAGAGGCCTGGCTCAGAACTTCCCTAACATCATAAGCCTCTAATTTCACTATTAATTAGTGTTTTTCTTAAACACCTGTTTCTGATTCTTAAACTGACTGACTAATAAACCAAGCCAAGCCATTAAAGTGATGGCACAAGTATTAGGAAATCAAAACACCACAACACTCCCTGGCTATGAATGTTTGCATCCGTCCTGCTGGGAAACACTATGTTTTTTTAACAGGCAGATGACAGCATTCAAAGTTATACCTTGAGAAGACATTAATAGTGCTAACAAGTATCTGTGTAACATGTAACAGCTGACAAATAGTCTTCAGACCCATCACTTAATTCTATGCTCCCAACAGCAGGCATTAATAGTGCTGGTGTGGACTCCGGCTTGGGGTTTTATGACTGATAAACAGATTTACAGATCACTGCTAGAAAAAAAAAATGTCATGTCAAGGAGCTATACTTAGTGACACTTATTTATAAGCTATGAATTTATAATAGGCTAGTTTTTATTAGCATTTTTTGCACAAGAAAGAAATCCTATGTGTGTTATTTGCTATCTACATCAAGTCTGAGGCTTTCAACACTCAATGGGGGGGAAGATAGTGATGAACTGTGAGTAGCAAGTTAGTACCAGGTCAGTCAAACAATCTTTACAGCCAACAGCCCAAAGACAGAATCGAGAGAGATAGGGATTCCAGATAAGCCATCAGGGATTTGAGTAAAAGGCAAGGGCAGCGCACACTTTTGACCAATGAGCCACCCTCAGCCTCTTGGCAGCCTGTGCTTGAACTCGGTAGCACTTATAAATGCTAGTCAATGGTCGAGTAAACACCACAGCTAACTTTGAATTCATCTCAGCTCTATGTGACTAAGTAGAACATTCCCTAGCTATCTTTAAATTCTCAGCAGAGGGTAAAAGCCTAGAAACAAATTTAGTCCACAATCAGCCACTAGAAAAGAGGCATGCTCCTGCCCAGATTGCTTTATAAAAGGGTGCAAGGTTGGCCAAAATCTCTGCCATCTCAAAAGCACTAGTCACTGTTATTAAGTTATGATTGTCATAGCTTAACATTCATCATGGGATGCTACCAAATTATCTTCACTACTACTAAAGTACAAACCTACTGAAGTTTCAAATTTTTATTCCAAAACAGTTAGCAGAATGTCTAAATAAAGGAAGGGGGTGGGTGACAAGGCATAGCATATGAAGATTCTTTCTGCTAAGCCGGATGACCTGAGTTCAAGTCACAGAACCCACATGGTAGAAGGAAAGGTAGCAACACCTGCCAAGTGGCCTGTGCCATACAGCGTAGTACACACACACATTCTCTCCTCTCTCCTCTCTCTCTCTCACACACACCACACACACTCATTTTCACACATACACGCTGTCTCTCTGTCTGTGTGTCTGTCTGTCTGTCTCTCTCTCTCACACACACACACACACATACAAAGATTACAAATATATATATATGACAAGAGCGGAATGTATGCCGTCATTAGCATCACTTATTGAAGAAAGGGGTAGTGGGAAAATACTTTAAAACAAAACTCTTTAAATATCTAGAATACTAATTTTGCTATTTAGCTTTAAATTATTTTTAAAACTAGACATTTATATAAAATTGTTAATTATTATTGTGTGACAACAGCATTTACTAGGGAAAAAGAAAACAGAAAACCAGACAAGCTAGGTATGGTGTGTACACTGGCAATCTGCCCATGGGGAGTGAAAGTCAGGATGAGTGGGAGCTTAGAACCAGGCCCAACAGTAAGGGAAACTGGTCAAAAACAATACAGAAAAAAACCAAAATAATCCTACAGAAAACAAACAAACAAAAAAACAAATATTTTGGGGGCACATACTAAATAGTAATGACATGATGATTGTGAATTACAAGTCCACACCTATGGGAGGATGGAAAGAAATGGGAGTCAGAGGCATAAAACCTGCGTTACGTGCTGGTATTTATTAAATCTGGGTAGTAACTATGGGCATGTTATATATAAACCTAAGGCTTATCATAATTTAAAAACAGTTAATTTTAAAATTCAAAAAGACATGAAAAGCACTAATAAGCACTATTTTAGGATGTAAATATAATTAAATCTATTAATCAGTCACTGAATAAAGACTAGAAATATCTCACATTAAGAGGATGTCAGCTGATCAGAACTTTCCTTCATACACTTCTGAGTTGTGACTTAAAAAAACAGAAAACAGAAAAAGGTAAACATTATCTTCACAATACCAGCAGATGCAAAATGGTCCAAACTTTATACCACTAATCGTCAACTACAACTCTAAGACGTGGCTGCTCACGGTCAGAGGTGCTGCTGTGTGGCCGCCGCTGCTGCTGCTGTGCGGAGGTTGAAGCCCTAGCCTCACCCATGCTGGGTGAGCACTCCCCGCTGAGCTGCATCCTAGACGTTCAGAGATTTTGAAATGTGAAAATAAATGCATCACTGATTGATGAGATGGGGTATGCAACTGTACAGTCCATCTCTAGCCTTATCTTTCTGACCTGAGATCAGAGGGTTCAATTATCTATTACTGATCATATTATTGATATTCCTGATCATATTATTGGTCACTTTTAAGGTGGAGTTTGGTTTTAAAAGTCAAAAGCTGAGTATGATGACATATATCTGTAATCCTAGCACAAGGGAAGTTGAGGCAGAAAGCTAGCCAGGAGTTTAAGGCTAGTCGGAGCTAATGATAAAACCCTGTTCAAAAAATAAAGGTAAAAATATTTTTAAAAGACTAGAAAGGAAGGCATTATAAAACTGTAAATACAGGGTGTGGGGTGGCGCACACCTTTAATCCCAGCCCTCGGGAGGCAGAGGCAGGCGGATCTCTGTGAATTTGAGGCCAGCCTGATCTACAAAACTACACAGAGAAACCCTGTTTCAAAAAACCTAAAAACAAAAACAAAAGGTGTAAACACTTCTTTCTTAGTACTTATAAACTGGGTACAGCACACAGTTTTGGGAGCTTATGGTTCAGATTTATGGCTTCTATGCCCCTGACGCTGATGGGTCTTGGGTCTGTTAAAATGACAGCAGGACCACAGAGCACCTACCACTTGTACTTGGGAATAGCCCCACTTTCCTCAAAGGCTGTTTTCCCTGTTAACTCCTGGGAGGATTAGGAGGGCCAATGGATCAATAGGCAGTTAGTTCTTCCTGTCCTAAGTCCATCTTCCTTCTGATAAGCAAAATTCCACAAGGTTTCCTTTATCCTACTCCATTTAAATTTATCCAAGATCCGGCAAAGGTTTTTCCTCTAAAACTAGTTAAGTATTTCACACTTTATTTGCTGTAAAAAATTAAAAAACAAAAAAAATGCTGGGTGGGGTGGCACACATCTTTAATCCCAGCACTCAGGAGGCAGAGGCAGGCAGATCTCTGTGAGTTCAAGGCCAGCCTGGTCTACAAATCGAGTTCCAGGACAGGCTCCAAAGCCACAGAGAAACCCTTCCTCAGGGTGGGAGCAGGGGCAGGAGGGGGGAGAGGGGGACACAGGACGGACATATGACTTTAAAAAATTTTGTATGTTCATAAGTTCAGGCAGTTAGCAGTAATTTACAAACAGACAAAATCAGCAAGTATGAAATATGTAACTTTAATCTGTACCAACTACTTTACTTTTCAAAGTAGGCTTCTCTTCTCTTCCGCAGCTCTTCTGAAGTAAGACTGGTACTGGATGTCTGGGGACTATCTTGAGACATACTTCTGGAACTACCTAAAAAAAGCCAATCATTACATATATACCTGTTCAAGCAGCAGTGTGCTTGTTCTCCCTGGAGCAAGCTACCATAAAGTTTTCTTCTTAAGAACATCCTATTACTGTTCTACAAATGTCTCAGGGAAAATCTAACATGTTACTGCAACCACAGCTGATGCTATCTGTGATGCAGATATGAGAATACAAGCTAACAGTTCATCGGGTATGAGAAGTCATGTATGCTCTTTTAATTTCCCCAAACTGCATCTATACCGTCACAGGCATGGTGTTCCTCAAAGTGACCTATGATGACAACCATAACATGCCCTTACTCTGGTCAACACTAAAGTTTCTAAGTTCTCACCAAACAGATCCCATGTAAATTTTGACAGTGGTAAGATGGTTTTTCTAAGCATTACTGCAATAATGTAGCAGGCCCCTGCTAATAAAACACGGGACTTCACACTACACAGAGTACGCAGGGGTAGACCTGGAGGCAAGGAGTCTAGGATAAAGTAATGGCCATGTTACCGGATCTTCAACACACTATGACATTTAAGGAATTCAGATGATGAACAATCTCATTAAAAGTAGAAGCAGTTTCATATAAATTAGATTACAAGAAAATCACGAAAATAAAGCACTTTGTGTTTTCAGTAATCTGCTTTGAGTGTCTCAACACTTCTCTCTGCCTACATACCCAACGAAGTTTACTGTTACTCTCCTCCGCTAATGGACTTACATTAGTGACAAAGGTGTATCCCGAAAAAGAGGGCTAAGTCTTATTAAGCTGTACAGCCTGGAAGTGCTGGGTGTCCACTGGCATGCATTTGCCAAAACAGCTTGCTTGGTTAAGGGTCATCTAGCCACTAGAAGATTAATTCAATCACTTGTTATATTATTTCAGCACTGTAATCAAATAATATAACCAGAACTAAAACTATATCTGTGTTAAACACAACAAATACAGTCCCAATAAAATACAGGTTATAAAGGTGATTCAAAGAAATCTAAAAGAAATACCGAAATTCTAGAGCCATTGTTTTGCAGTAACTACCAAAGAACTTCCAAAACTACAAAAATTTTCAGCAAAGCTAAGAACAACGTGAAGCGGTTCTCCACAAATGACTAAAGTGCACACCACAATGTCCATACCTTGCATACTGAGCTGAATGGCCCTGCGGAGATCAGCTTCTTCATCTTCCATGTCAATTTCCTGACGACTTATTGCTAGAGCCCTCTGTAAATCATCCTCATCTTCATCCAATATTCCCGCCCCATCGGCTGCCTCTAGGACTCGCTCCAGATCTGCTTTGAGAACACTAAACAACAAATGCATTCATAAAACTTACAGCCTGGCCTCCAAGCTTATTTCATTAAAAAAAATTTATGTGCATGGATATTTCGTTTCATGTATATCTTTCACAATGTGTGTGCAGGGGCCAGAAGCGGGTGCTGGATCCTCTGAGACTGGAGATACAGAAAGTTGTGGGTTACCAGGTAGGTGCTGAGAATCAAACCCAGGTCCTCTAGGGATAAAGCACTGAGCCGTCTCTCCAGTCCCATTGTTTTCAACTTAAGATAAAACATAAAGGCGCTTACAAACTAAAGAAGTTAGATCAAAAAACACTCTAGAAGAGAAGGTCTAGTAAACAACTGAGTCGCAATATGAATCTAAGCCAAGATATTTAAGTAATTCAGAGTGTTATTTCCATAAACTTCACTAAAACACAGCCTTGCGGGGCACTGTGGCATATCCCTGTTGAGTATCAGCTACTGGGAGGTGAAGACAGAAGGAAGTCAAAGTGGACAACTGGACAACTTAATGAGACCTGTCATCAGAAGCGAGGCATGGGGACTAGGACATTGTTCAATTTAGTGGCAAGAGTGTATGCATGAAACCCAGGATTTGAGGACAAATACTACACACACATTCATAATCCCAGCCAGCCCAAGTGAGATCTTTTTGTTTGTTTGTTTGTTTGTTTTTGTTTTTGTTTTTTTCAAGACAGGGTTTCTCTGTGTAACAGCCTTGACTGTCCTAGAACTTGCTTTATAGAGTGTACATTAGGCTTACCACCTGCCTCTGTCTCCCAAATGCTGGGATTAAAGGTGTGTGCCACCATTACCTGATGAGATCTTATTTTAAAAACCAAATAAATACAGAGGCTCCTCTAACAATAAGTGGACATGTCAAACTGCCTTCCAAACATATTAGATCTATAGATTAGTGCTACTCTCAGAAAAGCTTTTTATGAAGTCAGTTCTTGGTTGCCCACCAGAACTAAATAATAAGATCTGACTGGCAGACACATCACCCACTGTGGCTCCATCACAGAGATCAAACAGGCGCTGAGCTGGAGCTTTCACCGTGCGGGAAGGTGCTACGTAGGCTGCTGGAAGAGAAAACCATTAATGGTCTTAACCAGACCCTGTGTGTTCTGCTGCAACACTATCTTGCCAGACAATAGTGACATGACTATTATGGAAGGCAATCAACCACTTTTTCTTTTCCCTTTTTGTTTTTGAGATAGGGTCTCACTATGTAGCTCTGACTGTCACAGACCCGGCTGACCCCAAATTCAGAGAACTCCACGTGCCTCCACCTCCCGAGTGCTGGTGTTAAAGGCGTGTACCACCATGCTTGGCCCAACCATTTTCTGATGGGATTTGAGGGCCACTCCGTGGAAAGTAATTCATGCCTGCTACCATGAACCTGTCAAGCCCATAGGTCATAGGGCTAAGTAGGTCACAGGCCCAAATGGGGGACACAACTACTACTGTCTTACTAAATGGACATGTCAAACTCTCTTCCAAATACATTTAGATCTACAGATTAGTGCTTGGTCAGAAAAACTGCTTTTGGTGGGGTGGGGGAAGACGAATGGACAGGACAAACATGGGATGGGATGGGACTCACAGGATGGGACACAACAGGCAGTTAATACAAAGACTCAGAACCATTCAAAGTGCTTGAGAATAGGGACTTGAATGGGAAGTCTATATCGAGCCTCAAGGAACTTCACAGGAGGGAGCAGAAAGAATGTAGGTGCAGGAGACCTGGAAGAGATGCTGTGAAGTGCTGTCTTCTGACTATGGCATGGCTGCTGTACAGGAACTCACAGCAGCTATGGTTACCATGGCTACCAGCATACAAACTTCACAGGATCAAGACATCAGCATTCCTGCGTGGACAGGTAGGGAAGCACTCATGAGGCCCCATCCCTAGCTGAAGAGTTAGTTGCCATTATCGCTGCTAAGGGAGAGGGAGCAATTTTCCTTTAGTGGAACAGCCACTAGTAGGTTGCTCACGCAAGCAATCCTAATTAAACTCAGTGAGTAAAAAAAAAAAGAGAAAGAAAAGAAGGGGACCTGCTGGGAAGATAAAAGGATTCAGAGGGATCAGAAAGGGGTTAAGACAGGGTAATGAGGGATAAACATAATAAAAATAATTATATACATGTATACAATTGTCAAAAACTTAAAATTACATAACCACATCAAAGTGTTGAATTCCCTGTCCCCCTTCAAAGTATGTCCATATAGTTACATAAAATGGTTAAAATTTTTAAATAAATATATGAAATGAAAATAGGGGACTGGGCCTAATTGAATAATAGAATATTTGGCTAGTATGAACAAGAGGTTGATCTCTACCACCACAAAAACAAACACACAAAATAAAAACAAGATCCAAAAAAAATAAATAAAAAGATAAAAAAGTTACTGGTGGTAAATAATCACACATTAAATATAAGCAGTGTCTGGAGAGGTGCCTCAGTGGTTACGATCACTTCCTGCTCTCCAAAGGGCCAAGTTTAGTTCCCAGCACCCATGTCCTGCAGATCACAATCACCTGTAACTCTAGCTCCATGGGATCCAACCCCAATACTGGCATCAGTGAGAACTTACACATGTGGCATATACTCACACAGACACAAAAATGTAAACATAGACATTTAATTATCTTAAGAGCATGCTATATCATATATTCCACAATAATGCTAAATTTCTACCTCTGTTCTTTTAGTTGTGCCAATTCTTCTCCAATAAGTTTTGGTCGATGCATCTGCTGGACCTTGATCATCTGCAAAAGTTGGTCAGCTTCGCAGTCTGGCAGATCACCCTTAACAACAAATATAGAATAACCTAAAAAGAGGCAAAAATAAACTAAAACAACTAGTAGGAGGTTCAAACTTAATTTGAAATGATAGCTGACAGAAAGTTACCAGAGTACAGGAGGAAAAACATGAGGTGAGAGTTCAGAAAGACCTCTCAGGAGAGTAGTCACTAACAAACCACACAGATCTGAGCCTCTGGACTTGATGGCTACAAGAATCAAAAGCAGTCCTGTCTACAAGGGACCTAGAAAGGCAGAGCTTGACCACATGACTACTCACTGAAAGGGAGCAAGCAGGCAAAAAAAAGAAGAGTACAGAAAAGGACATGGACTCAATTGCTTGTGTTTAAAGCTCTGCCAGTTCCCATTGCCACAGGGTCTGTCAATTATTTTACCCATCTGTGTAGACATCTTTAATTGTCGAACAGAGATAAAGGACCCTTCCTCAATTGGCTGGTGTGAAGACACACTTGGGAACTATCCCCAGTAACTGGTAGGATGGACAAACTCTTTGAAATACACGCCGGGAATGGCGTCTCCTCACCCTGCTCCCTGCCCCATCCTCAGAGCCCTCCTAACTAAAAACAGGAGCTGGGAAGCCAGTGTGCCAATGTGCCTCATGCTTTAAAAAAAAACAAAACAAAACACTAATACAATGCAATTTGTAATAAACACACCTAGTAAGCCAGGTTTTCTCAGCTACAAGTAGGTCCAATTTATTTAATGTTTCCTACCATGAGGGAATATGTTTAACACATTTTTTGGTGAGGTCAAGTTTATTCAGAGTTCAGGTGTCTTAACGAGTTTTCTGCTAATAAAAGCATTTCTAAACCCTATAATCAGTATGTCAAGTCACTATGTTATTGACTGAGCCCCTGAAGAGAAGAGATTCTGCCTTATACAAACAAGTATTTCAGCCTTTGGAATTCATTTTCAGTGTTAGGAAACCACTAACTGGTAAAGAAGTGTGTGATATAACATACATTATGTTTTTTATAAAAAGCACTCTGGCTGTTTTATCAATGTAACATATAGAAACCAGGGTACAAGAATGATTCTTCCTGAAAGGGAAGCCCAAATAAAACACATATAGGCAGGCAAACAAAACCAACCAACCAAACCACAAGCATAGAAGAAGCCAACTCCTTTGGGGCTGGAGAGATGGTTCAGTGGTTAAGAGCACTTGCTGCTCTTTCAGAGGATTCAGATTTGATTCCTAGCACTTACACGACAGCTCATAACCATCTGTAACTCCAGTTCCAAAGAATCTTATGCCCTTTTCTGGCTTCCATGGACACCAGGCACATACATGGTGCACAGATGCATATATAAATAAAACACTCATATGCATAAAATATTTTTAAAAATTTAAAAAGTCTTCTTGGACATGTTTGATTTGAAATCTTCCTGGACTGCCAAATGAAGATGCCAACAGTCCGTGGACTGTTGTTCAGAAGGAATATCTAAGCTAAAGATAAAAGGAGGTCTGGGAATTGAATCCTGGCACTGGTAGGAGTCACCAGCGATAGTGAGAAGACAGACTTTTGAGATTCACTGGTGTAGGGCAACACAATCAGAATGAGTTCAATAGGAGACAGTGCATCAGAGACAGGTCTAATGAGAAAATTACAAAGGAGCAAGCAGCTAGAGTCTCATAGAGTTAAGAGAAGCTCTTTATTTTAATCAATGGAGGCAAAAAGCTTTTTACCCATGGACAGACTTTTAGATAGCAGGAGGAATGTTCAAACTCAGGAGAGAAGGCAAAAATAGAATGTTGACTAGGTGGGAAGAACAGGAGTACAGCATACATGGAGGGGCTGGCCTTAGATGTAGGGTCTGTCCATTTAGTAAGCTCAGAACACAAAAAGACACAGAAACAAGGTAAAGAGAACTATGCCTATGCGCTCAGAAGAATACAAGAGCAAGGCAAAGGCATGGAGTTGTTAGGACAGATACGCAGTTACCAGTCATTTGAAATCTGTAAGCACAAATGACAAAGATTCTCGATATTTAAGAACGATGGGGGAGATAAAGAAAAGCAGCTGAGGAACACAATGGAATGATAATCATCAGGGGCTGGAGAGATGGCTAAGAGGTTAACAGCACTGGCTGCGCTCGCAGAAGATCCAGGCTCTGGTCCCAGCACACACAGGGTAACTGACAACTATCCAGGTCCAGAAGTCCCAATATACTGGAAACTTTAAAAGTCTAGCTTCTAAAATTTTTGCTCAGGGTTCACAAAAAGGAACCACAAATAACGAGGGAGCTAAAGTCAGAGGGAAAAAAGAATTAACACACAATTGCTCCTCTGCATGTTCGTTATCTCCTCCTCTTCTTTTTCCTCCTGCTGTTTCTGTTTCTGTCTACCTCTGCATGTCTTTGTCTCTCGAATTCTTGTCTTTTTTTCTCTAACTCTCTGTTTCTTTTGGTTCTCGAATTCTGTCTCTCTGATTCTGTCATCCCCCAGTTCTTGGGGGTACAGGGTTAGATACATTTGCAACAGTAATTCTTTATACAATACAATGTGAGGCTTGAGTTTCTCGGTGTCAGCAAGGCAGATAAAATTTACACACAGAGCAATAAACTAAAACTGCTAGGCAAAACTTCTAGCATCCATTACTTAAGGCTGTAGGTCAAAGAGAGGGACTAAGCTTAATTTGCACAAGAAACAACGCCTAGCAGCTTCCAGTGCTCTAGCCTCAGTGGCAGCACAGGCCTTCACGAAAGTTTACTTTTCCCTGAGGATGAGAAAATGGGCTGATTACCTTTGTCTTTATCTTCTCAGGGGAAACAGGAGGGAGCAGTAAATCTCTGAGCTAAAATCTTGAGTCAGTAAAACAAGAAGTTTGAGACTCTTTCAGTGCAGGGTTTAAGTTATCACTTCTCTATCTGCCAGTGAGGTAAAACTAGGGCATGCTTATTTTCTATCCATCTAGGCAGATGTGAATCAACAACTTTGGACGTGTAGCAATTCTATGTCCTTGGATATTTGGGAATGTCTTAGATGGGATGATTTCGCCTGGGCCCTAAACACTGACCAAATGCCCATCAATAAAGGTAACTGCAGGAAGGCAGATCTCTGCAGTTACAATGGAGAGGGGAACAAGGACCTGACAGTGGGAAACAGGCCTCACACATAGCTAAGGAACATAATCTGTAAGCTAGGACCTGCTAATGGACAACAGGTATTTACACAGAGCTAGGAGTGTGATCAGTAAAGCTCCAAAAGCATGGGAGAAATTTGTTCACTGTGGGAAGTAAATCCCAAGTTTGTTACAGAAAGGAATAAACTACAAGAAGAATCTACAGCAAGACACAGCCAATTCATTCACAACATTATAACGCCAGGTACAGCTTTTGTACTGGTTTCATCCTTCAGAAACTTCCTTAATTCTTCTAAGTTACTCATGATGCAAAGGCTGTATAATTACTGTGTGATCTTGCAGCTTGTAGCACCAATATCTTTCTTCTGGTCTCTCTGCCTGCGTGGAGTACACAGAAACATGCAGGCACAATACCTTCCCACATGAAATAAAATTTCTAAAATCTTTAAAACGTAAAATAATCAGAGCAAAAACTGCAGAGTATAAGAGGAGTTTCTGGGTCTCATGGTAACTTGAAAACCTGGTTAGAAAGGCAAAGGAAAAGAAGGCATGTTGAGGCAGAAGGTGATGGTCAAAGAATACGATACTTACGCCTGGGATCTGAAGGGAATTAGTTATTGGTAATGTCAAGACAAGAGTGAAGAAAATGGTCTTTGAAAGAGGGGTAGTTGCTGGTGTAGAAATGACTAAAATCTTATGAAAGACAGACACATAACCAGTCATCTGAAGGTTCCAGTGAAAAGGGAGGTGGCTCACAGATGAGCACAGGTAGGGCGTGGCTAATCCAGAGGCAGGTAATTCACGGCCACTGGAGTCCATACGAAGTACAGTGGCTGAAAATGAGTCAGCAGCAATGGGTAGAGCATGCACCTCCTGTCAGCCCTGTGATGTGCAGGATGTAGAAGGGAAAAGGGATAACTTAAGAAGGGATGCAAAGGAGGCCCCTGACTCAGGGGAGGTCCTAATGTAGACAGCATTCACATGGAACTGTGTCACCCAAACCACAGCCCTGAGCTGAACACCTACACTCTAAGGGTGATTCACTGCCACTGCCAGAGATCATGTATTAATAGACGCTCAAATAATGACTCGGTTTTTGATTAAACAACTTTCAAAGATAAAATTTCTGGCATTTATTTATTTACCTTCTTGCTGTAACTGAGCCAAGAAGAGTGCGAGGTATGTATCTGATATTAATTCTGGACCCGTCAGCAGAGAATTCAAGTTAAACCACTAGAAAAAGATACCAATATTTATTAATGAACATTATATGCAAAAATAATTTCTCATATTAAACCTATAACCTACCAAAATTTGGTAAGACTGTCTATATCAAACTAAGATTTTCTAAAGAACTGAATACTGTGATTTAAAAAATAAATGCTGTACATCTGTCACTATTAACTGCTTTTTTCAAAAGTTTTAGACAACAAATTAAGGCATAAACTTGAACTCCTTCTAAAAGGACAGAAGCTGAAAGTACCTTAAATGCCTTTATTGATAGTTCTAACTATGTGGTTTCAAAACATTAAGCCAACACACCTACTCACGCCATATTGACATAGGAAAAAAATGACAGTTACACACTTTTTCATTTGGTCCACAGACTCCAATTTTTTGTTGTTGTTGTTGTTTTTGGTTTTTTGAGACAGGGTTTCTCCATATTGTTTTGGAGGCTATCCTGGAACTAGCTCTGTAGACCAGGCTGGCCTCGAACTCACAGAGATCCGCCTGCCTCTGTCTCCCTAGTGCTGGGATTAAAGACGTGTGCCACCAATGCCCAGCCAAAGACTACAATTTTTAAAAGGTAGACATCATGGGAATAGAATTTATAATCACTGTTTCATTTTTAAAAAGACCTCTAGCTACCACTGCCTGTGGCTAACAGCATTAAGTCACAACTTCGGAGGTGCCCTTAAACAGAAAAATGCAAAAAGGTTCCAAACTCATGCTTAGTTCCATGCACAACTATCTTCCAGTATTTTGATACACGCCAGAGAACTTGTTCCAATCATTTCTTTCTTTACACAGGGGCCAGAGGCTAGCCTCAGAACTCACAAATCAACCAAGCCTCTGCCTCCTGAGTGCTGGAAACACATAGTTAAAAAATCTGTTCTTAAACAAGAACATAAATCAGACTCAAGGACCAACATACCCATACTGGCCATCATCTGTAACTGTCTAAAACAGTTCAAAATGTAAAAACTTCGAAAAGAATAAAAAAACATAAAAAGCTCAAAACAATGTTTTACAAATCACTACAAAACTGCTTGACTTTTAAATATCTAGAACTTAAAAATCCAGTGGTTACTTTATTCAGAAAAATAACCTTGGTTCTAACTTTCTAAAGGGACAAATAAACCCTCAACAGTTGGGAGGGAGGAGGTCAAGCTTCCCAGAGGTGATTCCTGTCCCGGTTCATCTCTAGACTACTACACATCTCCTTACCTGCTCTGCACACACCTCACAGAGAATGCAAACCCTGCTTTTCCCTTAGTTTTTGGAGCATAAGACTGAACCTAGGACCTGGTGCTTGTTATGAGCACACACCCTGCCAATGGTCTACAGTACCACTGAGGACTGGGCTGCTTCCAGATGGCCCAGTTAACAGCTAACAGTACAGTTTACTTAAAAAAGAAAAAAAATACACATACATACATACACACATGCACACATACATACATACATACATACATACATACATACATATATATATATACACACAGTGTCCTTTCCTTTTAAATACTTATTTTATGTTTATGTGTGCATGTTCAGCATGCACATGCCCTGGTGCCCACAGAGGTCAGAAGGGACACTGGCTTCTACAGAACTGGAGTTACAGTCTGTTGTGAGGCACCATGTGGGTTCTAGGAACCAAACCCAGATCCTCTGCAAGAGCAGTAAGATCACACCCACTGAGCCACATAACCAGGTTCAATGTATTGTTTCTTTTGGCGTTTAATGTAATTTATTTATTCTTAAGACAGAATCTCACTATGTGGCTTTGGCTGGCCTAAAACTCAAAGATCTTCTTGTCTCTGTTGGGATTAAAGGTGTGTACCACCGCACTTGGAAATTTTGCCTTTTATTTAAAAAATGAAAAAGCAGCTTTATTGAGGCATAACTATCATAAAGTAAACTGCTGTCTCTCCTCCTGCCTCTCTTGAGGGTTTCAGTATGTATGTAGTCCAGGCTGGTCTCAAGGTCTTCCTAGGTCAGTCTCCTGAGTGTTGAGTCACAGGCATGGGCCACTGTACTTGGGATAAACTGCACTCACTTTTATTACAACCTGCCTTTTTTCTTTTTTGCAATTAGTCATTTTAAAAAACATTTGTAATAGCCCACTTAAACCATCAACATGAACACGAGAGTGAGCACATTCATCAGAGTCCAGGCTCTTGACCCGCCTGGAGCCTTTCTCTTGTGTTCCCTCTCTCCGTCCCCAGTCCTACACAAGCACTGTCGGTCTACTGTCTGTCACTATCTAGTACCCATTGCTGAGACTCATCCACGCGGCTTGTGCATTCGCAGTTCATTACCTTTCACTGCATGAGCTGCTTTCTAATAACCCTTATCCAAGTTTAACATTCTTCTAAGAACTTGACACGACTGCTTCTTCCAAAAGCCTGGCCAATGGTGTTTTTATGCAGATGTATATGCTACTGCACAGTGGAATCCCCTGAATAATCCTACTAATGCCAACTGTTAAATGTTTTGCTTATTCCTGACATTTCAGGCTTTGTTACAACTGTGCTAAACACGTATCGTCACAAGAAAACATACTTAATAGTAACCACATATGTATTGTTTTAAATACGGAATTTTTATTATAATGTAACTTGTATGATTTTTATTTTAAAAATCTCAAGAAAAACTGATTATCTTCTCTCTCCTTTTTTTTTTTTTTAACAAGACAGGGTTTCTCTGTATTGTTTTGGAGGCTGTCAGCCACCACTGCCCAGTCTCTGATTATCTTCTCTTAAGAGACTCAGTTTTCATTGTTGAATTGAGGCAAAGCTCAGACTGAGTGCATGGGACCCTGGGCTTCATTCTGAAGACATCAATCACTTGCACTTTAATTTAAAACGAAGATAGAGTGGGATAAAAGAACAAGAAAGGAGAAGAAATATTACCTGTTTTCCTAATTTTCTAACTGTAAACCAGTGTTCTTTATAATTGCATATAAAGGATCTCTCATTTCTAGAAAAGACAAAATGTATACTGTTAATAGTGTTAAGCTGGGATATTATGAGATATATACACTAGCAAGTACTATAAAATTTCTATCAGGTAGGATATAGTTACACTTAAGTGTTACTGATTCTAAAAAATTAAAATTACATAACTATGCATTTTCCACAGGAGATTACTGATGTTATGCCCCAAAGCCTCCACACCACTCGGGTCAATGCCACCACTGACACTGATCAGAAGGCTGCTGCTCGAGGCTACCCGAAAGGTGACACAGTGAAGACCAAGAGCATCAAATGCGGGATCAAAACTAAGAAATTTGTGATGGATTCGTCCTCATTCAGAAACTACAGCTTTAAAATCAAGTTTAAGTAAAGAAATGTAGGAAAGAACCTTACATAGGGTCAATCCTGAGCCTCTGGTACTCTGGACTGTTGAACAGGATTAATTCTAGACCCCAGACTTTCAAGGCATTGCTTATGACCTGTCAAAAGAAAACAGCAACTTTTCATGAACCAAACCTGCAAGTCCGAATTAAGTAGCACAGCTACATTAACTGTGTAAGCAACTGTACTGCATAAATAAACTGTGAGGAGGATATTGTTTTTTAAAATTATGTCCCCATGAAACCCCACTAAACCCATAATGAATATATACATATGAATTTAATTTTATTCATTGCTGTTTTTTAAAGATTTACTTTTATTGTTTTTATTTAAGCATATCAGTGTGTCTGAGTGACAACGAGACCATTGTATGAGCACCTGTGAAGGCCAGAAGTCAGCTGCCATACATGGAGTTACAGGCTGTTGTAAGATAGTGTGGCTGCTGGGAACTGAACCGGTCCTCTGAAATACCATCAAGCATTCTTAAATGCAAAGTCTTCTACAGCCCCTACGACATTTGAAAAGAGTGCTTTCCATACTAGGCTTCCAAGAAGTGTCAGAAAACCACACAATTCACAGATAAAACTCTCAGTTATCCAGAAGCACATTCCATCTGTGGGTGCTGTTTGTAAAACTGGTCCACTACATACACTCACCTGCAATGGCAGTGACCATAGGCTTATAAAAGTAAGTTCTCCCTGGAGACTTCAAAGAAAGGTTTGAAGAGGTGACTAAGTGGTCAACAGTGCATACTGCTCTTACAGGACCAAAGTTCAGTTCCCAGCACCCATGTGAGGGGGCTCACAACCACCAATAATTTCAGCTCCAGGACTCCAATGCCCTCTTCTGGCCTCCGCAGACAAAGTACTCATGTACACATACCCACATACACATATTCAAATAAAAGTAAATATTTAAAAAGAAGGTTTGATATATTTTAGACTTTTGTGGTCATGAACAAAAAGTCAAACTTGATTATTGCAAACTGAAAAAAAACGGAGAGAAATTTCAGAAAATGTTCTACCTGTCTTCTCAGGTGGACAACAAAGAAACAAGCTCTGTGTAGTAACTCCGAGCAAACACAAGTGCAATGGAGCAGCAAGTGTAAGCAGTGCCACACACACAGGAGACGGCAGGGGCTGTGCCACCGTTGACCTACGCTCTCGGCAAGCGAGCGCTGGGTCCAAGTGCTAGAGAATGAGGACTCCAGGATGGTAGCAGAAGGAATTTATAAGAAAAATACTTGCAGAAATACATCTCTACTGGAGACTCTGAACGAATCTGGACAACCCTCCTCACATGAAAGACCCATAGATAAAAGACCCCACAAGCATATGAATTAAGGTAGGCATGGGGGTTCCTGACTGCAATTCCAGCACCTGAGAGGCCAAAGCAGAACTCTGGGAAGTTAAAGACCAGGCTAGGCTACAAAGCAACACAAACAACAAACAAACACATACAACTAACCTCAGGGCTAGAGGTTTTCTCTAGGGAAGAATATTTGTTCAGTATGTGACTAAACATTAAATATGATCCCCAGCACTATAAAAAAATAAACCACCACAGAATTAAAATGGAGCCTAATGGGACAGGGCTCAGGGGTAGACTTTGAGCTTGTGTGAGGCCTGAGAGCCAAACCCAATCTCACCCTCCAAACAGGCCACAAATTCAGAGAGACCCTGTCTCGAAAAAAACAAAACAAAGCAAACAAACAAAAGGGCCACAAATTACCACACAGATCAGAAGCCACAGAGGCACTACAGGAAGCCAATCCCATAGGATGACTCATATAGAAGGCTGCAAGCCACTGCAATTTCTCAGATGGACCAGAGATAAGAAGTTTGAAGCACTGTAAATTACTAGAATTAAAGCTATTAGCACCTACATACAAATTAAGCATCTCTCTCAGAAACTGATTTTTAAAGGCCCTGTTATAGAGTATGGTAGCACACGCCTACAAATCGCAGTCTGGAGACACAGACAGGAAGATGAACACAAGTTCCAGACCAGCCAGGACTACAGAGTGAGACCCTGCCTGTCCTAGGCAAGCAAGCGACCAAAGCCCTGTTCTAAATGAAGAGTCTACAGTCCTAATGTTCATCTCTCTATGTACAGCACTCTGGAGCACATACAGTTTCTGAGGGAACTCCTGAAGGCTTACATTAAAAGCTGTGCCAGGCTATGCCACATCAACCACAAACTGAGTGTGAGCACAGCAGCGCTGAAAACGAGGCAGCATTTCACACACACTCTGAACTACTTACTTGAATAGAGAAAAAGCCGCTGTCGTCCATATTTCCAGAAGGCTGCTGTTCAATGTTCATGGGCAGTTGTGGGCAGAGAGGGATGGGGAAAGGATTAAAAACTGTCATTAGTGTGCACATTTACAAGAACACGCTGTACAGTCCCATTTACCAAGTGAAGAGCAGAGTTATAATTAACAAGTCAGACTCCGATGGGGAGAATGGCTCATCCTCCTTTAAAGAGCACCCACATGTTAAAAATAAAACAGGATTTGGTGATTCTGAAATCAGTACCTGTAAAAACGTGCGATAGTCTTCACTAGTAACTCCTCCTTCCGCCATCCTCATCCTCTCTTCTTCATCTAGCTGGTGTGCAATTGAGGATAACTCCACGGGGCTAAAATACTCCCCTTGCAATAGATTATTCAGGCAATGCTGAGCACAAAGTGAGCCTTCTTGCTAGTGTTTCCAAAAGAATAAATTGAAATGTGATTTATTAAGTGGATCTATATAGTATCTTCTAAAAACATAATGATAACTTTTTAATACAGTCAAGCAGACATTATTAGCCTTAGGCAAACCTGATTTTACAGGCATATGCATTTTCATTTGTCCACACTTATTTTACAGCTATTTAACTACAGGAACAAAAATGAAGAATGATTTGCAGTATAACTTCATCTACCCCATCTCATATAAGCCTAAAAGTGACCCTATAAAAACATTTGGCCTTTTGAATGTTTCAGTACCTGCAAGAATTTGTCTTTGGAGATTCCACGACAAATTACTACTGCAAAAGGGGAGTGTTATCTCCTAGAACATTCATTCTTTTAACAGTTAGTTGCTCTCTGACCTTAAAAGTCTGTCCTTTCAAGCCCAGGAACTGGTGGAAGTAGGAACAATTCTGTCTCAGGGTAAGACCCGCAGCTCTAGAGCTGCAGCTCTCATAGGCTGACTTTGAAGACTCATTCCATGTTGCACATAGGAAAGAGAACTGTGCCAAGCTGATGACAGCTCATGCCCATGAGTGGACAGGCTAGCAAGAGGAACTGCAGCCAAGTTTAGCTCCCTAAGGAGTCCTTAGCATCCTCTCCTGGAAGGTGGGTGCATCATCCCACAAGCTCAGTGGCTTCTAGTTAGCTGGCTTTCATACACAACTGGAACCCAACTGACCAAATCCAAGCAGCCTGACACTGAGCAGTCTTCTTATCTCTCCTCTGTTCTTTTTTTTTTTTTTTTTTTTGTTTTGTTTTGTTTTGTTTTTACGAGACAGGGTTTCTCTGTATTGTTTTGGAGGCTGTTGGTCCAGCCCGGCCTCGAACTCACAGAGATCCGCCTGCCTCTGCCTCCCGAGTGCTAGGATTAAAGGCGTGCGCCACCACCGCCTGGCCTCTCCTCTGTTCTTAACAGTGTTGCTTTCCTAAGAGTGGATGAGTCCAGTGAACACAGACCCTAAGTCTGCCTTCTGGGAGGCAAAGGCAGAGAATGTTTCCTCTGTTAACTCTGGCTCTCTAAGGGCAAACAAGGCCTAATGAACTCAACCTGCCAGGCATCATGCCCCGTGGTCTGAGCTATGTTACATGTCAAATGATGACTCCAAAGAACATCTTACAGGATGCACTTTCCCCCTGATGAATCAAGGTTATAGAAACAAAACGTAACAGCTGAAGTAGATACAGTACACATGTCCACCATGAGGAAGGCAGAGTTCAGAGAGCTTGCATCTGACACACAGCTAGGACAAGCTTATGTTCATAGTCTGTCAAGGAAGGCTGCCCAGGGTGGCTTGGAGCTGGTCACATATCCCTTCAAGGTGCAGTCACACGGCAACACAATTCTTTGTCTCTGCCTCGTTTCCTTCTACTGTCCATCTACTGCTAGGAGCAACTTCCACTGAATACCCCAACACCAGGCAGAGACATGCAGATGTTCTACTTGTACCCTTTTGAAAATGCAAACATGCCGGGCAGTGGTGGCGCACACCTATAATCCCAGCACTCAGGAGGCAGAGAGAGGCAGATTTCTGTGAGTTCCAAGACCAGCCTGGTTTACAAAAGCTAGTTCCAGAACAGCCTCCAAAGCCACAGAGAAACCGTCTCGAAACCCCCCCCAAAAAAACAAATGCAAACATTTCACAAGGCAGTCAAGAGGCTAAAAAAATCTCAACTTCTTTAGTCGGCAGGGAAATGTGTATCAAAACCGTAACACAGGACAAGAGGTGGCTTAGCAGGTAAAGGTGCCCGCTGTCAATCCCAGATACTAACTGTAGAAAGAGAGAATGACTCCGGGGTACTTGCCCTCTGGCCTCCACATGCACACCTCGCCATCTGCATGCCAGCACTAACATGCATGTCACACACACACACACACACACACAAACAACAAAAAATTATTTTTAAGTATATTTATTGATTGATTGGCTGGAGGGAATGCAGAGGACAACTTAAAGAATTCAATTTTCTCCTTGCACAATGTGAGTCCCAAGGGCCGAACTCAGGTTATAAGGACTGGTGGTAAGTGCTTTCCTTGCTGAGCTATCTTTCCAGGGCCTAAAAACGTTTTTTGTTGTTTTTCAGACAAGGTCTCACTTTGTAGTCCTGGCTGGCCTGGAACTCACTATGTAAACCAAGCTGGCCTCGAACTCATAGACTCTGCCTCTGCCTCCAAGTGCTGGGATTAAAGGCATGCACCACCACACCTAGCTAAAAAATGTATTTTTATAAAAGAAAATTCACAATGAGTTACTATTATCCAGTCTCTGGATTGGCTACTACAGCAGAGAGGTTTAGAAGTACAGGAAATGGTTGTCACAGGAGTTGAGTATAACCTCAAGAAAGCATTCTCCAGTAACCTTCATCTTTACCAGAGCTCACCATCTGTGTGCCCTGTGGTTACACACAGACACTGCAAACGCACTCACCAAAGCACTACTTGTATGCTTCCAAACTGGAAAGCACCCAAAAGCAGTTTAGATCACAAAACTATATTTACAAAAGAACAGTATATAAGAATGAAAGTAAATTAAATACAAGTAACTACAACAATGTGGATGAATCTCTCAAATACTTTTAAAAAAATAAAAAACACACAACACTAAAAAAAGTAGACACCAGAGCTAAGGATGTAGCTAGTGTATGTAAGCCCCTGGGTTCGATCTCCACTACCACCCACAAACAAAGACAACAAAAGTACAGGTGGGAGAGGAGCCTAGTGACCCGAGTTCCATCCCTGGAACCTATTTAAAATAGAAGAGAACATTGCACAAAGCTTTCCTCTGATCTCTCTCCATGCACAGTGGTACCTGTGTCCATCCATACAGCATGTCATGCAGAGACACACAACAATAATAAAGATGGAAAGAGCTTACAAATAGACAAAATTAATCTCTTAATCTGCAATGAATGGCAGAATTAAGCAAGCATTGAGGGTTAGTTTTCCTCTAAGGGGACTGAGAGGAAGTAGGGAAGAAGTCAGTGATTTCATCTTAGGGCTGTTTCCATGTGTGCTTCCTTGACTGCACATTCATGACTCGTGTTCTTATGTATGACATACTTACTTTAAAACATGCAGGCCGGGCGTTGGTGGCGCACGCCTTTAATCCCAGCACTTGGGAGACAGAGGCAGGCGGATCTCTGTGAGTTCGAGGCCAGCCTGGTCTACAAGAGCAAGTCCCAGAACAGCCTCCAAAGCCACAGAGAAACCCTGTCTCGAAAAAACCAAAAAAAAAAAAAAAAAAAAAAAAATGCAGACAAGGCCAGGTGGTGGTGGTGCATACCAGGGATGTTCTGCACACCTTTGATCCCAGCACTCGGGAGACAGGAATGTTTATGAGTTAGTTCAAGGCCAGCCTAGTCTACAGAGGAAGTTCCAGGACAGTTAGGGCTAACACAGAGAAACACTGTCTCAAAAAACAAACAAACAAAACAAATAAGCAAAACCATTCAGACAAGACCAGGCATGGCAGTGCATACCTTTAATCCCAGCACTCAGGAGGCAGAGACAGGTGCATCTCCGTGAGTTCCTACATAGTGAGATCCCATCTCAAAAAGAAAAGAAATCAAGAAGAATCTAACATAGTGACCAGACACTCAATTTGGGGAAGCAGCTGTGATGCAATCTTCAGTCCTACTGCTAGGCAATTCGCTTCAGTGCAGGGCTCTTTTTTGTTTGTTTGTTTTTGTTTTTTTTTTTTTCAGTGTAGGGCTCTAAAACTACAGTTACCATATTCTTTAAAGATATTTTTATTTTTATATGTATAGGTGTTTTGCCTGCATGTATGTCTGCATCATGTACATGCCTGGCATTCAAGGAGACCAGAAGAAGAGGTTGACTCTTCTGTGACTAGAGTTGCAAAGGGTTGAGACATCATATGGTTTCTGGGACTCCTGGGTCCTCTGAAGAGCAGCCAGTGCTCATAATCACTGAGCCATCTCCCTAGTCACCTGGTAACGATATTTAATATACAGAAATAGTAACATCAAAAATTTTGATAAAAATTCTTGCCACTAAACGATTGGAGTTTTGGAGGCAGGAGCAAAGGCTCGGCAGGTAACAACACTTGCTATTCTTGCAGAGAATTTGGGTTTGGTTCCTAGCATCGATGGGGGAACTCACAATCAGCTGTAATTCTAGCCCTAAGAGACCTGATGCCCTCTCCTGACCTCCTCAGTCACAGTATGCACATGGTGCACTCTGATTCATGTAGGCACTCATACACATAAAATAAAAATGATGAAGTCTTTAAAAAAAACAAAAGTATGTGTCTCATTATGCCCAGTTTATGTGATACTGAGGATAGATAAAACCTCAAGCCTGAGTTGCATCCCCAGTTCCTAAAAAATTAAAAATAAGCACTTAAAATCAAACCTTGACCAGGTAAAATAGTACTGTTACCGGAAATATGCTCTCTATACTTCTAGTATGATTAATGGAATAAAAAAACAAATTGTTCAAATCAATTCAAAAATCATACTGCCATAGACTGACATATGAACCAAAAATTTATTTATCTCCACCTCTGACCAGGCATTTTTCTGTCTTGTTGCCACTGCCCAAGTTAGCCTGTCACCTCTTTGTAATCAGGGTTTTACCCAAGTGGGGAGTTGACAAGATGGCTCAAGAGGCAAATGTCTGTTTGCTGTGATCATCAAGACTGGAGCTCAATGCCCAGGACCCACATGGTGGGAGAAGAGGACCACTTCTCACCAAATCACCTCCCACCAAATTGCCCTCTGACCTCCACTTGTACACTGTAGCATGCATGGAACACCATGATACATACAATGCAATAAAATGTAACACTTTTAAGTATTTCACCCAAGTAGAAGAGAAATTCACTTTGCTACCAAATTTCTATGATTTGGGGTCCATATTTTGCTGTGTTGGGCCCAGAAGATGAACACATTACATTTCCACTTCTACCAAGATAGTCTATAAAATCACAAAAGGGAACTGTAACCAAGCCACACCCCGGGTTTTTGGGTTCAACCTGAAACTAGGTAAAACCCCAGTGACAGTATTAACTATAATATAAAACATACAACCCTAATGGTGCTCTCAGAAATGGACCAGTAGTGGACTGGTCTTTCTACATGGGTAAGTGCTGGCTTAGAGCTCAAATCACAGCCACAATGTTTATTGTCACAACCTCTTTAATGCATAGTGCTCGCCTATTCCTTCATTTTTGCTTTATGCTGGAGAATGCTCCCTTGGTCATTTTAAGTAAGTGATCTACCACTGATCTACACTCCCAGACCTCATCTGCCCCTTATTTAGTATGAGGTTCAGCAAACACAAGGATAGCAGCAGTAGCCACCATTTCTGCAATTCTGACTTCTGGACATCTTCTTAGCATGTGTGACTTTGAGGCAGCTAATGTGTGTCATTAAATACAGAGGCAAAAAAAGAAAACTACAGAGGTAATAAGTAACTTATCCAGAATCCTACAAGTAGCAAGTGGCAGATCCGGAGTTCAAACCCAGGCAAAGCTTTCAAAACCTGTTACCATTTCCTCAAATCAATTATTTGGAATTAGGCTTTCTCTGAACCCCACATATCCTGAATATCACTAAGAGCTGGCAATCACAAAAGGGTACAATAGATGCTCAGCATCTCTTCTGTCTTCTTGTGCATGGCAATCCCAGTTCGCATGACATTCAAAGTACAGATACAGACTGCACTGAATGGAGCCAGTGCTGAAAGCACTAACAAAGGTGGCAGAATACAGGCACCAGACTAAAAAGCAACATTAAGAGCAACAACCAAGCATCACATCCAGGAAAGCAGCTGGCATTGATAATTTACTATTAAAGATAGGACATGGTAAACTCTAACTCATAGGACCAAGTTCAGTCTTCTACAAGAGCTAAAAACTATATTTTATACAAAAAATAGAGAATTTAGGGAATAGAAACATACATAAATGAGACTTTGTGACAGAGATATACACATATGGTCTGCAAAGGCTTCAAATATTTAGAGGCTAGGCATGGTGGTGTGTGACCTGAATCCCAACACTTGGGAGGGAGAGGCAGTCAGATTTTTGTGAGTTCAAGAATAGCCTGGTCTACAAAGCAAGTTCCAGGCCAGTCAGAGCTACACAGTGAACCCTGTCCTAAAATAAAAAAAAAAATTAAAAACTTACAGAAAGTTGTATCCTTTAAATAAATAGAACTACATACCTCTTAGAGCAGTGGTTCTCAACCTTCCTAATACTGTGACCCCTTAATACAGTTACTCCATCAACCACAACATTATTTTCGCTACTGCTTCATAACAGTAATTTGCTACTATAATGAATCATAATACAAATATCTAATACACAGATGATCTTAGGCGACCCCTGTGAAAGTGTCATTGGACCTCCAAAGGGTTGCGACCCACAGGCTGAGAACCACTGTTTTAGATGCTCAAGGAACTCTCTCCCCCACCTATATGCACTTATTCAGGGTCTTACTCAGGTCAGGAATTCTGGTGATCCTACTGTCTCAGCATACTGAGTAGCTGAGATTAAAGGCACATAGCATCTGCTTAACTCCATTCATTCACATATTATTTCCAATTGGAGATCTACCAGTAGACAACTGCTTTTATTTTATTTTATTTTTGTTGTTTTGCTTTTGAGACAGGATCTCTCTACCTAGCCCAGACTCACTGGAACTCACTGTATAAACAGGCTGGCCTTGAACTCATAGAGATCTGTCTGCTTCTACCTCCCAGGTGTTGGGATTAAAGGCTTGTACCACCACCATGCCTGGCTGATAACTTTTTTATAGTCTAACTTAATAATAAATACTCAAAGGGGCAAGTGTAAAATTAATGCCTAGAAGTGGTTGAAGTCATCTCTGGATGATTCTCTAACTAAAGACAAGTTAAGGAAGGGAAAAGAATTCTCTGGAAAATAGCATTTATGCTCAAATATTCCCAGAATGGCCTCTTCTATGATTCATAACCTATAGCTCCAGGTACATTCTCTTGAAATATGCCTTGGCTTTACTAAACGTTCATTTGCTATGGACATTAAGTTGATAAGAAAAGCAAATGTACTCTTTAGGACTGGGGAGACAACTCAGACAGTAAGGTGCTTGCCATAGTAGCTTTAGGTCTGAGTTCAAGCCCCAGAATCCCCATTTAAAAAGCCAAGCATGGTGGTACCCATTTGTAACTGCAGTGCTGGGGAAGTGGAAATGAGCTGGAGATCTGAACTGGGGTCTTCATGCTTACACAGCAAGCACTCGACCTCCACTGAAATCAGCTCAAAGGAAGAACAATCAATATTGTAAAGAAGGGATTGTGGGGGCTGGAGAGATGCTCAACAGGTAAGAGCACTGGCTGCTCTTCCAGAGGACCCAGACTCAATTCCTAACACCTACATTACTGCTCACAACCCTCTACAACTCCGGTTCCAGGGGATCGTCCGACTTCAGTGGGCACCAGGAACACATAGACACACACAAAGGCAAAACAACCATACGAAAATACTTTTTAATGCACCAAGTGTCCCAAAGATGACTCAGTGTATAAAAGCCCAAGTTAGATCCCTGAAATCCATCTCTCCTGAAAGGAGAGAATCGACTTTATAAAGTTGTCCTGACCTTCACAGCAGTACACACACATATCATACACAAGACAGTAATAAAATGCTTTTTAAAAGCATGCACGGCAGGAGTCTCACGAAGCAGTGTATCAAGTGTTCAAAGTCTACCACATTTCAAATGGGTTCTATGGCAAAGCCTTTGGAAAAATAACAACAAATGTATGGGGAGTGGGACATGCTAGGAGTTGTCATGGCACGCAGCTGTAATCCCAGCACTCAGGAGGCAGAGAGAGGAGGACGGGGAAGATGGAGAGTCTGGAGCCAGTGCTGGCGATAAGAGATCTTGTCGCAAACTAACTTGTTCCAGTTCCAAAACATTCGGAAATGTCTTCTCACTTCATTGAACGATTTCTTAGATTTACATCACTTTTGTTTTTCCTTTGTGGTGCATAAACTATACATGCCTTGAATAAAAGCTCATTTTCAAGTACTCGATAAACAAAGCCCTTTTGCTCCTACTAAACAATAGCCTCAACTAGCAACCCTCTCCAAACCTAAAGTTGTCCGAGGAACACCCAAATGACTTAATAATTGTATGCGAGCAAAGACCAGTTTCTCAAGGTGTCACAACAATACTTTTAAGCGTAGTCACTTAGGAATTAAGGCGAGGAAGAAACTAACCGGATCACACAGAAAAAAGACTCTAATCTATTCCATAATGCCCAAAAACAAAGCTGTCCTCCTAGTCCGGAAAGATGGGATAGCAAACCAAACCCAAACATCCCGTAATAAAAACTCTTATGACGACTTCCCTTAGGGACTCCGGGGTTTCCTACTTCCTAAGTGTCAGGCCCGTCAATGGGAGAGCCACTGTAACAACTGCAGAAGGACGTGGGATAGATCATCAAGATCTAAATGCATGGGACATTCCATTATAGAACTGAGTTGAAGAGAAAGTTGATTCTGCCAGAGGATAGGTCAGGGGGCGTGGGTGGAATTGGGAAGGGTCTACCAGGTGTGGAGAAGCCACTCGCTAGACTAGACCCTAGAAGAGTAGAAACCCGAAAAGGCGTGGCAAGTGAAGAAGGAACGCCCGCGCCTACCGTCCGACCGAAACGCCCGAAATGCCCGACAAGCCCTGGTTACCCGCCCGGTCCTCTGGGGCGAGGGCGCTGGGGGCGCATGTGGGAGGCTTCCCGAGCGGAGCCACCGGGAGGAGGCAGGAAGCGCCCCTCACCCAGGCAGGTCCGGTTGGGGGCGCTCGGGCCCCGCCCTGAGTTCCTGAGACGACGATGCTGCTCCCCACGCCCGCCGCTGAGCCCCGCACCGCTCCCCACCGAACGCCCACACTCACTTTCTCGTGGAAGATGGACTCCATGTTTATTTGTCTGGAGCCAACGGCCCCGGCGCGGAGCAGCCCCCTCCAGCAGCTCCGCCCCCGGTCCCACCCCTCCACCCTGGTCCGCCCCTCTCTGCTCACGTGCCTCGCGTCAACCAATCACAACAGCGGGCGCACGTCACGCGGCTCGCGGAGCCAGGGAGGGCGGGGCACGTGACCTGGGCGGTGGGTCCTCGGGGCGTCAGTTCTCCCGCAGCGTGCGCTGTGCAGCGGCGCCGCCTGCCGTGCGGAGGAACTTCTCAGCTCCGTGGTTGGCTGGACCTAGGGTTCTAGGTGATACTCACGGCCAGGTTTTGTCTTGTTTTCTTTTCCGCCTTCTTTAGTACTTTCTGCTTAACTGCGCGTAATTAATATTTCCTCTCCCACTGAAAACCTCTTTCAAGAAAAGGTATTCTCTCAATACCCGTACTTGTGTTAAAAAAAAAAAAACTGTAGCTAATATTTAGTTAGGGCTGACTTATAGCCTACTTCTAGAGTGCAGTTCAGTACGGCATCTTTTGATATGTGTTTCTGCTGTAATATTATACAAATGAGGAAACGGAGGCATGAAGAAATTGGGGACAGCACAGTGTCCAGGATAGTTCTGGCGGTTGGAATGAGTATCAGATCACCGGGTAAGTGCTCTGGCTCTGAAGGAGGAAGCATCGATGGGGAAGTGAAAAGGCAAAACCGTTGAGAGGCGCTTGCATTGGCAGCGTTGGGGGGGGGGTGCAATTGATGAAGATTAAGCATAAGATTGGCCCAAGATGGATGGGCGCAGATCTTGCACGTGAAATCATTTTAGGTTCTTTAAAGTCAGCAAGGAAACTGGTTACGAAGGTTCATTCTTACAATCCTTGCACCTGATAGTATAGGAAGGAATAGCTGGGATGTGCCAGCCTGTAGCCCTGGTTATATAGGGCAACCCTGCGCACCCACCCCCCAAAAAGAAGCAATGACAAGCAGTTCAAGATTTTAAAAAAACAGAGATATGGAGTCAAATTAGCAATTAGAGGATCCCTGGGGAACAGAATACTTGAAGGCATTTTGGGAGAAATGAAAAGATAGTGGTCAGTGCTCCAGTAATATTAAGAGGATTGAGAGAGATCAGTTTGAAGCATTAGGAAGCAGACTCAGAAGAATCTAGTGGGGAAGAAGGTGTTGTTAAGAAAGACTTAAGTAATACTCCTATAGAAACACTTTGCAGAACGAGCAAGGTCGTGGGAAGAGAACACAGGTTTAATTTTGGGAATAACAAATTCAAATGCCTGTGCAGCATACAGGTGCTTTTGTTGAGTAGTAGATGCCAGGTCTAGAGTTTATAGAAGCTGGTTTGAGCTGTAGGGTAGGTTGTTTGCTGTTTAAAAGGACTGGAGAGATGACCCCATGATTAGGGGCACTTGCTCCTCTTGTAGAGCACCTGGGTTCTCAGCACCCACATGGAGGCTCACAACAGTTGGTAACTCCAGATCCAAGGAATCCATTGCTTCTGAAGGCACCAGGTATGCACAGTGATACATATACATACATGCAGGCAAACACTCATACACGAAAAGTATAAATATATAAAGAAAAAATTAAAACATAGGTAGCTAGCTGGGCATGGTAGCTCATGCCTTTAGTCCCAGCAGCCAGGAGGCAGAGGCAGGTGGACCTGCATTGAGTTTGAGGCCAGCTTGGTCTACAAAGCGAGTTCCAGAGAAGCCCTGTCTCAATGTAGAGAAAAGAAAGAGATTGGAAAGAGTATCTAGAGCTAAGCCCTGAAGATAGAGAGCAGTAGGCAAGAAGACTACACATGCTGGTGAATGTTGAAATGGAAAGTCCTGGAGAGAATGCTTCAAGGACCAGTCAGTGTTAGATGCTGCCAGGAAGTTCAGGGTCATAAAGACTTACAAGAGACTGCTCAGTTTTGTTTCTGATGAGATTTTTTTGTGTGTGTGAGAGAGTACAAGTTCAAGAAAAGAAGGGCAGTGAGAGATAAGGAAATGAAGACTTCAATGAAGACCAGCTAGCTGCTCAAGGGGAGGTGCCATATTATTTGTTGAACATTCTGTATGCAATTTCCTCTTGAGCTAAAATGGACCTAAAGCTGTCCATAGTGGAGGGAAGCTCCTTAGGGTGCAGGATACTCTAAAGGGAGGTGAAACATTCTGTCTTGCAAGGAAGCTAGTGGGGACACAGAATATTCTAACGACAGGGAAGACATCCCACTTACAGAGGGGCATCTTACGCTCAGGAAGTAAACAAATTGGAGGCTTCTGGAAGTCCCTGAAACTAATCAGATTCACTAGGCTCCTCTCTCCCTAAGCATATACAAGCAGTAAGGACTACCAAGAGACACTCTAAGCAGAGTTGCCTAGGAGAGGCTCACGTTGAAAGAAGTGGAGACCAGCTAAGCTGCCTGTAAGGGACACTCCAAACTCTTGAGTTGCCTGTGAATTGTGCAGTGCAGCCCATGTTTCCAGCTTTCATGAGCTGTCTTCATGCTGGAGTAGGCTTTTAGCAATGCAGTTGGCCGAGTCATTTCTGCTCCTGTAAGTAATCTCAGTAAAACTCATTGGTTCACCAAGTTGGACTTTGGTGGTATTCTTACTTTGGTCTGCCCTCAGTTCTCTGAGTAGATGTTTGTTCACAGTTACCTAGGAATAGTGTCACACAACATGGGTATAGCCTATATGCTTAAGGAAGTGTGACTTAACCAGGGTAATGTAGCCACCTGATAAGAAAATGCAAATGTTTTCTGGTTTGTTTTTTAAGATACAATTGTTGAAGGGACTAAATGAAGCTGGCCTGCTATAAATACCTGGACTGGGTAAATTACCATCAGAGATTTACTGATCAGTTACAGTAGCTGTGAAGTCCAAGATGAGGGCTGGAGAAGACCAGATGTCTTGGGTTTCATTTTTTTCATTGATGGTATCTTTTGTGTGTCCTCATGTGGCAGAGGAGCAAAGGGGACAGACAAGCTACCGTCAGCCTCCTTTATAAGGACATTTTGCTACTTAATAGGTAGCTGAAGGGCTGGAGAGATGGCTCCATGGTTAAGAGCCCTTGCTTCTCCTACAGAGGAAAGCTCTATTATCATGAACAGGACACATACACAGCCAAAGCACCTCCTCTCAATGCTAATACAAATCTCTCAACTTGTGAACTTTGGAGGTGACCTGATTCAGGTGATAGCACGGAGACCTGGAGACTCGTCTGCCATTCCCTTCCTGTCACTGTCGCACTTGCCCCTCCTCCAGTCAGTCTTCGAATAATACTGTGAGTCTCTCACACCCTCTCCCCCCTTGTTTCTGTGGCCACTGCGTAGTGCAGACCATCTTGACCTCTTGTGTAGTCAGTCGCCAGAACTATGAATTGATCCCATCTTAATATGTCCAGTTCGGCTGGGCGTTGGTGGCGCACGCCTTTAGTCCCAGCACTTGGGAGGCAGAGGCAGGTGGATCTCTGTGAGTTCGAGGCCAGCCTGGTCTACAAGAGCTAGTTCCAGGACAACTCCAAAGCCACAGAGAAACCCTGTCTCGAAAAACCAAAAAAAAAAAAAAAAAAATATATATATATATATATATATATATATATATATATATATATATATATGTCCAGTTCATGACCTTGTCAGTGACCTTTTCTTTTTTTTTCTTTTTTCTGTTGTTTGTTTTGTTTTTGAAGACAGGGTTTCTCTGTGTAGCTTTGGAGCCTGTCCTGGAACTCACTCTGTAGACCAAGCTGGCCTTGAACTCACAGAGATCCGCCTACCCCTGCCTCCTGAGTGCTGGGATTCTTTCCAAATGGGGGTTCTAGGACAAGTTGCTCTGGGATTGTTATGCAGCCCAGGATGACTTCGAACTTTTTCACTTCTTCCTGATAGTGCAGGGATTACAAATGTGGACCACCATGCCTGGCTTATGTGGTGATAGAAACAGAACCCAGGGATTGGTTCATGCTTGGTAAGCTGTCTACTAACTAAGCTACATCCCCAACCCACTTCACCTTAAATCTTAGATAAGGAGATAGTCTCACACCGTCACCTAAGTTTTACATCAGTTCAGTAGCTTCCCATTGTGCTTATTCTCCTTATTGCCTTAAAACCACCCTTTGTGATGCACCAACCACATGTCCCACTTTCTCTTTCTGAATTCCTTTCTCCAGTCATACTGCTTGCTTGCTTTTGGAAAGTTCACAGGGAAAGCTGTGCAACCAATACACCTTATATGTCGTATGAAGTGCCCACTGTACCACACCAGGATTGTCACCTTATATGCTACTAAACTTGTAGCTTCTGAAGTCAAAAGAGCATGCTTATTTATTATTAAGGGTTGGTGCAGAACAGTGAATAAATGCAGATTCTTTATTGAATGATTGGTGCAAAGAAACCATCACAATAATTTTGTGAGATAAAGATGTTTTGCTAAGTCAGAATAATCACGTAAGTCTAGAGAGATTGCCCAGTGGTTAAGCACATTTTTCTTTGGGAGGACCTGAGTGGGTCTTAGCACCCACAAGGTGGCTCACAACTGTCTGTAACTACAGTTCTAGGGGATCCAGTGCCCTCTTCCGACCTCCACAGGCATCAGGTAGGCATGCAAGTGATATGCATATGTACATGCAGACAAAACACATGTTAAGAAATGATAAAGATAATTGTAAAAATTAAAAGAGTAATCATGTAGCATACACTTTGGTATGCTCTTTGTAACTATGGACACCTCAACTTCAATCTCCACTAAGTCTGTGTATTAAGTGAGACTGTACAAAAATGTTTCCATCCTCTTGAGTATTGTACCTTTTAACTGGCATTAATTTTATTGCCCCAGACCAAATAGTTTAATAAATTTTACAGTGTTAAGTGTCTCCTGTGTTCTAACAAGAATCAGTGGTAACTAGGTACTAGATTCCTAATCATACTTCTAAATTCAATCTTACCTAAAACAGAATTATGAAATGTAGTTTCCAAGCAGGGACAGTTGGACTTGACAATGTGAATTATGAAGGAATTCCATCTATTGTTTTCATTCTCTTACCTGTTTTTTTTTTTAACAGGGTTTTGTTGTATAATACAGGAATAATAAAAAGTAGAAACATCTGGTAAATGGGTAAACAACGGGGTCTGTCCATGTTAGTATTTTCTCTAAGGCAGACAAGGGAGGCATACGAGGCATGCTAAGGAGCTCATCACACTCCAGAGACAGAGTTCTCAGGACACCAGCCTCCCCCAAGCTTCTGCAGGCAATAAACAGTCACCAGGGAGAGGACTCCCTCCGTGGGTGGCTGTATGTTCATCAGGGAGCTCCAAAGACACAGCTTTTGTGAGTTGTTGCTCTGTAGTGTTTTAGCTGCTTTTGAATTACCCATGCTCCTAAGTAACCCCAGTAAGCTTAACTGCTTCAGCAAGCTAGACCTGGATGGAACAGTTTCTTTGGTCTGTTGTTAGTGCCCCCGTAGGGTGAGTGAGTGTTACAGGACGTCACACAACACCTTGCAGGGAGCACTTGGCCATTAGACAAATGAAGCACTGGTACATACTATAACATAGAGCCTAAAACAAAGCAAAAAAATATGTTGAGGGAATCCATACACACAAAAGGCCATGTTAGACGAGCAGTCATCTGAACTATATAGATTAGGCTCTACCACTGTCTGAGCTGTCTCACCACCCCTAAAAGAGCAAGCTTTAAATTTCAATTAAGTACACTTAACTAATCTTTGAAAACACAATGCTGTGCATTATATTTAGGAAATCAATGCCAAATCTAAGGCTTCCTTATTTTTAATGATTTTAGTGAACAAAACCCTAGTACCATCTTTTAGAGTTCCCTGGAAGCACACTTTCTTAGTCTCCATATACTACAACAAGGTATTGCTGGTGATTCTGAAGTTCCAAAGTCAAGGGCCATAGCCAATGCTGACCTTCTCGTTGCCAATCCTGAGGTGTAAGGTATCCCATGGCAAGTAATACAGCTCTTGTAAAGCCACCAGAAGTTCGGTTACAGATGCAGTACCCTGATGCATAGCCTAGTCCTATCACTTTTCAGAAGCTGCACTTCTCCATGGTATTCTAAGACGCTTCCATTCTTTGAATACTTCACAATGGAGATTAAATTTGAACACACACACTTCTGGGTGATACTCTTGAGACCATAGCGTATATTTGAAAAATATGAGGGGAAAACATTGTAGTTATGACTGTAGTTAGTACTGTAATCCAAAGAGAGAAACTGATTTTTTGGGACGTGGTCTTGACACATATGTATGTATGTATATACACACACATATATGCATACATACATCCTTGGCTCACCTAGAACCAGGCTGACATTGCATTTGCAGCAATCTTTCTGTTTCTGCCTCCTAAATGCTAAGATTATAGGTTTGTACAACCACACCTGGCCTCACTAGTTATTTTAAGACGACTGTGCCTGATACTTGAAAGTCCATAAAATTCACCGGGCGTTGGTGGCGCACGCCTTTAATCCCAGCACTTGGGAGGCAGAGGCAGGCGGATCTCTGTGAGTTCGAGGCCAGCCTAGTCTACAGAGCTAGTTCCAGGACAGTCTCCAAAACAATACAGAGAAACTCTGTCTCGAAAAAAAAAGAAAAAAAAAAAAAAAAAAGAAAGTCCATAAAATTCAAAGAATATAACTGATTACCTCAAAAAGTATAAAAAGAATCACACTTCCAATTAAATAATAAACATTTTTATTTCTCTGATAACTTTTAAAATGTGAACATTCTGTGATTTAGCCACAGAATTTATTTACTTCCAAGTAACTTCTTCATTGGGCCTCAGTTCCCTGTGTGAAAAGAAATAAGAAAGGAAAAACAGTAATTCAACTTAAAAAACATGAAACTTTTATTTTATGTGTGTGTGCCATAGAGTATACACATTCACCGTGTGTGGGTGTCCTAGCATGCCAGGAGAGGGCAGTGGATCCCCTGGACCTGGAGTTAGGCAGTTGTGAGCCACCATGTGGGTGCCAGAAACCAAACCTAGGTCCTCTTTAAAAGCAGCAGATGCTTTTAACCACTGAGCTATCTCTCTAGCCCCCATATAAAAATTATCTTTATGAGAGGGCCAGAAGTTTATATTTGTTTACATTCTATGAAACTGACATTTAAGTTTTACATTAGATTCATCATAAACATTCATTCAGTTCTCCCATAAACTTTTACTGTCTCTTTCCCAGCTTAAAGAACAGTAATTTTTTGATTACATGATACTTGGTTCTTCTGAGTGCACTTGCTTCTGGATCCTTTGCAACTCATTTCATCTTTCTTGAAATAGCAGACTTCTGAACCACACCTGCATAGTGACACTGGATGCTACTCAGTCTGTTTACCCCTTTGAGCTTCCAATCCTGATAGCTACATCCACTGGCAGATAGCTACACTATCTGCTCTTGATAGGCATGCCATAGACCCAGGCAGCTTCTGGGCGTTATCACTCAGTCACTATATGTAAAGATCTCAAGCAGTGATACTGAGAACACAGCATTACTGTTTACTTCAGCTATATTATGGCTTAAGACATATGCAATAGCATATATGAAAGCATAAATGATAGGTTTTGGGCAGCTGATTTAAGTTTTGTTTCTATACTAAAATACACTCTTTAAAAATTCTGACTTTGTAGAAGTGGGAACTACTAAGGGAGGCCTCAAGGGAAAGGGCAACAATAAAGGTAATGAAAACTAGAAAAGATATAATATTGCATGTTTCCTGTCATGCAAAATCTAGATTTAAATACATGTGACATGAAAACAGAAGATAGTCCATTTGGGAAAGGAATGGAACCAGTGGTGGGGGGAGGGGGACAAATATATGCATAATGGGGGTGCTGGAAAATGGCTCAGGGTATGAGTGCTTGGTGCTCTCACATAGGACACCCACACCGGGAGGCTCACAAGTACCCGTAACTCCAGCTCCAGGGAACCCGATGCCCTCTTCTGGTTCTAAGAGCACCCACACATGTGACATGCACATAAATAAAAACATTTTTTAAAAAATCACTATGAAAAGATTAATAAAAGAAAAAACTTTCAAAGATCTGAAATGGCTAGATAATAAACTAAAGATTATTTATATTCCAAAGGTAATCATACAGTTTCAACCAATGATTAAATAAGCCAGAAGTGTTCATCACTTGATTATAAATCACCAGAGTAGAAAATACACCTCTTTTTATCTCTGGAAAAAAGCCCAAACCCCCTAAAAGCTCGTGGACTAACCTTTGAAACAGCATACTCTTATTCCGGAAGGCAGTCAGCTTTTCGTCATCCCTCTTGTCTAGATAGCATCCAAAGGCCAATCCCACAGGGACAAGTATATGAACCCAGTGCTCACGTACAAGCTGAAGCAAGGTCATCATGGCTGCTAAAATGGGGAAAAAATGAAATACAAGTGCCTTTGAAATACTGAAATAAAAGGTGGTTGGGGATTCCTAGGGACTAGGAACATTACACCTTAGGAGGGGGATGAGGGTGAAAGGATATAATCAATACATGCTATATGAATGGGGATTCCATTAGTATGTTCAATTGGTGTGTTAATAATTACCCTTTGGTTTGGAGGGTTTTTTTTGAGACAGGTGTGACCTTGCTACAGTTATATTCTGGAACCCACTGTATAGACTAGGCTGACTTGAGCCTGCCACAGATGTTCCTGGTGCTGAGATTACAGGTGTAAGCTACCACACCTGGGTTAACACAAATCCTCTTTTAAATTGCATCTGAAATGGAAGATAGCTATGGGCATGACATGTTAAAAGCATAAGCCTCTTCAGGTTTGCTTGGCATCAGAAAGCAGGTAAAACCCAGATTAGACGGTAATGGTTAATATAAGATTCACTGTACTTGGGCCAGTGTGATGGCTCATTGGGTAAAGGCACTCACTACCAAGCCTGGCTGAGACTGATCCCCAGAACCCACATACATGGTTGAGGGAGAGAACCACTTCCACAGGTTGTACTCTGACCTTGGGGCATACATGCACACATATACACACAGATAAACATAATAAAAAAATATACTGTATCACACCATTTACAAAATCTTATTTTTTACTTCATCTGTGATTTGATATACTATAGAGTCAAGAAATGGACCTGCAAAATGAATAAGTGCATTCTTTGTGTTGCTTTTGACCTCACATATATGAAGTATTTGTAGATGCTCTCACACGTAAATTTAATATTGTTTTACTATTTTGTTTTTCTGAGACAGGGTTTCTGTGTAACCCTGGCTGTTCTGGAACTTGATCTGTACACCAGACTGGTCTAGATCTCAGAGAGCCACCTGCCTCTGACTTGAGTGCTGGGATTAAAGGTGAACACCACTACCACCCAGCTTGAATTTTTGAGGAAAGAGAAACTTATTGAAAACTATTTTTTGAAGGATAAAAAAAATAATTGAAAAGAACATAATGTCACAAGAAAATGTTGCAGAATGGTATTTACTGAATGGTACTAGAGTCTAAGCTATCATATTTCTATATACAATGTGTAGTAACTCTTATTCTCATTTTATGCAGTATGAAAATAGCTTAACTCGGGGCTGGAGAAATGGCTCAGTGGTCCCGGTGTGTATAGGTGTTGCCAGTGCACACATGCATGCTCACAACCATAATTCCAGTTCCGGGGGATCCAGTAACCTCACTTCCAAGGACACCAGGCTCAAACACGGTGTACTTGCATACATGTAGACAAAACATGAAAAAAAAATAACACTAAAAATCAACAGCTTATCTCAAGTAGCTGTTAATTGCAAACTGTTGTTAAAATTCAAGTCCACTCCAAACTGTGTCTCCTATAGCATAGCATACTTTCTTTCTTGAGTTGCTATTTCCAGTTATCTAAGGGCTTTTTAGCTTTTAAAACATTCCAAAGGGCAGGTGAGGAAAAGCGGGACTGGGAGTTGGGTAAAAAAAAAAAAAAAAAAAAAAGCAAATGTGTGCTGAATTCAGTAAACACCACTGAACCACCAATTTTGTTAATATTTGTATACATCCACATGCAAATGAATACATCACATGCAGTGGCTGAGAGGACCCGACAGTTCTACAATACATTCCTGGCAGAGTGTCTAGCATAACCTGTGCAGGTGTTTATGTAGGCTCCATTCCTGCTTCACCTCCTGATATGGACTGTGTACACCACTCTACTTGTCAGATTTTAAGAATCTAGTACCTAAAGTCTCAGTGTTAGACTATAATCATGAACTTACTATATAGTTACTATATAGTTTGTACTATATAATATTCCTTATAGCGAATTTCAGTTTGAACATCACTTATCTACAAAATTATGATGTAGCACATGATGAGATGAATATACACTTACAGCTTGTCCATCTGTTAGTTTTATTTTCAATTCTGTTGCCTAGCTACAGCTGGAATTCTCAACACTTACTACACATCAGAACCACCTGGGGACTCTTTTTAAACTAGGGGCTCTCTGGCCTTACTCCAGGACGAGACAGGAATAGAACCACCACTCCTGGCATTCTAAGAATCGTGTTTGGTCTGACTCCATTCAGAAAAGAGATGAGTTAGGACTATGGAGTTCCTGCCACATATGGGCTCTTACAGACTCCAGAACAACTCACCTACTGGTTTGGGTACAAATGCTTCTTGGAGACATAAATATAAGTGAAGCCAATCTTGCTTTATGTCCTGGAAGACAGTGGTTCTCTTAATAAATAGTATCACTTACATTTAAAGTGGTTCTTGAAATGCTAACCAAGGGCTCAATAAGTAACTCTTCACCTGCTTTGTAAACTTGAGCCAAGCAAGAAAGGAGATGATAAAGACCTTTGATAATAAGATGAAGTTACTTTAAAGCACTCAACTGCAGAATACTAGACAATATCTGTGTTCATGACACTGTGTTCAAGTTTGGCAAACTCAGTGGTCACCTATACTTCCTGTCTTTATTGCAAACTTAAGGGCCAAGAAACATGCTCAGCAGGTAAAGGCGCTGGCCATCAGGTCTAAGAACCCAAGTTCGATTCCTGGGACCTACATGATATTAGGAGAGAGTTCTCAACAGTTGAAAGTCACCCTCTAACTTCTACACCAGAATGTGTGCTGTTGCATAGGGTACACACAAACACTTGCATGCACCACACATAAATGTTTATAAAAAAGGTGTTCGCTTCATCATTTACACAGCTGTTAGATATCATTTTGTATTAACAAGTACCTGCTGATTCCCAGCTTAGAACCATTTAAAAGAGCCATTACTAATTGCATCCTAAGAAGTGGGTTTAGTCTGACTATTTAGAAGAGATGAGGTAGGCCTATGGGGGCTGTTGCCACATTCAGGCTCTTACAGACTCCAGGCGTAGTGACAACGGTAATAAGAAAAGGAGCCTTCATTAAATCCATGGTTGGATTCAATCACCATGAAGGAATATCCATAAGAGATAATGACACATCTTAGTTCTAGGGAGGTGTCTCATATTACAGTGGTACAGTATATATTCAGTGGGCTTAGGAGCAGTGCAGTGAACAGTATCTGCATGGATGCTTTCCTGCAAGTCGATGAACAGGGAGGGCAAAGATAGACATCTGTGAGTCAGAATGATTTTCTACAAAATGGGTAAGAGAGGAAGTAGTGAGGATCTTGGCCATGGGCCCGAATCCGTAGAGCTTCATCTAGTCTAGGCAAAGGTGGTGAGGACCTGGACAAGCTTCACTGAGGCAAATCTAGGTTTTGGGTAGCCAAGAATTTCAGCAAGAGGACAGGGCCAATTTGTGGGAATCACAGACCCTGGCCAGAAACCCACCCCTCCATCAGCCTGGGTTTACTGAAAACAATTCAGTGCCATAAAGCTCTTGATAGGGCTCCAATAAGGGCTCCCTCACTGAAACACCATGACTTAGATCCCCCCTACGGCTAGCTGTTTCTTCCTGCTCCCTGTTGTTTCTCCCGAATTCTGGTGCTGGAGATTTAACCACCAGCCAGGAGGGTGAGAAGTCTGTGAGAGCTGTGAGAGGTGTGTGAGAGCTCGGTTGGAGAATTGTGTGTGTATGGATGGGAGAAGTCTGTTAAAAAGGGAAGCGTTTTTTCTTGAGGAGTTCTCCTAAGCCGACTTGGGGAGCATAAAGTTTTCTTAACGCAACCGACCGGTCTCTGTGTCATCTATCCCGACCACCTCGCTACATTCTCGGATGCAGGCTGCTCAGCAGGTGCCACACCAATTAATTGATTTAAGGAATATATTCCTGGCTGGTACTTATGAGAGCACTATACATATTAGTAGTCTCCTTGGCCTCCTCAGATTTATCTTAAGTTTTTTATAAGTGTTTGTGCCTGTGCATGAGTACTGGTAGCTGAGAAGGCAGAGGCATCAGAACCCTTCGGAGTGGAGTTCTGAGTCGTCCATGCAACATGGCTGCTAGGAACCAAACTCTGTCCCTCTGGAAAAGCAGCAAGCACCAAGCCATCTCTCTAGCCCCAGGGGTGTCTTTTTTGCATGAGGGTTCATAAAAAGAATTTTATTTCAGAATTTGGAGTAACTTTAGTATTTTTGTTGTTGTTGATGTTTGTTTTTTGGATTGTTTTGTTTTTTCTAGACAGGGTTCTCTGTTAGTCCTGGCTGTCCTGAAACTTATGCTTATACCAGGCTGGCCTTGAACTCAGGGAGATCCACCTGCCTCTGCCTCCTGTGTATTGGGATTAAAGGCACGTGTACCACAGTATTTTTTAAGGGGGGAAAAAAGAGCTGGGTTTCATGTTAGGGCACTAAGGAGTCATATTTCTTTCCCTCTGTGGGGATGGGGAGGAGCAAGGAGGGAGATGCGGGGGGGTTGCTCTTAGCTTTGTAAAGCACTTTACTAATACAGAGCTGCACATGCTGCCTTGGTCATGGATCTTTCAATATTAAAGTCATCGAATTTTTTTGGCAAGCTTCTAAAGAGCTGAATCTTTCTTTTCCTTTTTTTGAGACAGTTACTGTGTTGCTCAGGATGGCTTCAAACTTACCACCCCCCATCCTCACAAGTAGTTGGAATTACAGATGTGTTTGTTTGTTTGTTTTTTGAGACAGGGTTTCTCTATATTGTATTGGAGGCTGTCCTGGAACTCACTCTGTAGAACAGGCTGGCTTCGAACTCACAGAGATCCACCTGCCTCTGCCTCCCGAGTGCTGGAATTAAAGGCGTGTGCCACCAACGCCCAACCAGATGTGGGCCACTTCTAAGAGGTATTTCTACATAATCACTAAATCATATAATCCTCACCACAGCACTGCGGGTTTGTTAAGTAACAATGTCTCAATGCAGTGGACATTATTATTTTTTTCAGATCAAGAAATCCAAGTTCATTCATGGCAAAGTAACTTTCTTTAAATTAGAGAGTGAAGAATCAGGATTAGCATAATACTCAGGCAATCAATCTTTATCCTGACATGGCTTAAATTCTTGTGTTATACTGCCTGGTATGTACAGAGGTAAACATTTAAATCTCAATCTCTCTCTCCTGGCTGTGTACACCAAGCTAGTCTAAATCTCACAGGGATGCACTTGCCTCTATCTCCACCCAGCTTGTTTGTTTTTAAAACAAACAACAACAAAACCCCTCACATTTTCCCTATTTTTTCTCCTTTCCCCTTCCAAGAAGAAAACAGAAATTGGTGTCTTATTGTGGTGAGTCCGCTCTGGATCTTTAGAGATAAGTAGACATTTTAAGAGAGATACATTGCATCTAGCTGGATCTCACAGTACCTTATAAGTACCACTCACAAAGTGTCACCTAAGCCGTGGAAAACAGACCTGAATGCGGACAGCAATGGAACCTTTGAGATCGTGACATACACAAGCTGGGAACCAAGCATAAAGTCGAGTCTTTAAAAGACAATTGGTTGAGTGCAGGCTTCATATTTAGTAGAGTCAAGTTGGGCGAAGAGGCAGATGTCTAGGCCTAGGCGATTGTGAGCTGCTTCTGGATCGATCGGGGCCACGTTCCCTGCTGTGGGCTCAGAGTCGGATCCCTGTGTGCCCTCTCCAGTCCCGAGAGGGGAGGCCATCGGTGGTCCCCAAACTGAACTATGGTTACGCCAGCATCAGAGCACCCCTAGTAAGAGGTGTGGAGCGGGCAGGGCAGCCCGTAATGCTCCCCCAAGGGCGACCCTGGTTTCCCTCCACGCGAGGCTTCCCCAGAACCCTCCCACCTGCACCACCGCGACGGGTGGCGCCTGGGTCCCCAAACCCACCTGCAGCCCGGTGCCAAGCACGACCCACGGGACCAAGGGCAGCGGCAGGGAGCTAGGCCAGCGGCGCCAGCGGAAGCTGTGAACTCAGAAGCTGCCACTCTCCGCGCCAGCCCTGAGAAGAGGGGTGGCGACGACAACCCAACGCTTCTCTCCCTCTCCTCACGAGCGAGTCCTTTAGTTTTTAAGCTCTCAATAATAACAAAAAGCTCTGAGTAAAACCTGTATCCAAGCTGACAAGATTGGTGAGCTTCTGCGCTGTCGTCTTCCCCAACCCGGTCCCCCGACACCCCCACAGATGGTGTCGCCCGGGTCGTCCCCGCCTCAGCCGCCCGCCTCAGGCCCAAGATGGCGGCCGCCACACCGGGGCTCCTGCCGGCCGCTCTCTGCCGCTGAGCGCGCGCCTGCTCTGCTCGCTCTCGAACCTGCGTTTTACTAGGGGCTGGGAAGGGCCGTGGACGGGGCCGGGGGAGCCTGACCAGGAAGGTGAGGACGGGGAAAGGAAAAGAGCCTTCGGATCCGGGAGGAGGCCCTCTGGGGACTGGGTTCCTGCATCGGCCCGGTGTCGCCCGGACGCGCTCCCGCGGTTTCGGTTGTGACCGTCTCCGTGGTTCCTGGAAAAAGCGTTCCGCAAGGGGAAAGAAAAGCGAATTTTCCACGGGTCGAAACCTCGGGGTGTTTGTGGCGCTTCCATGGGTCCTCCTTCGCTCCTTGCCCTCCCTCCTGTAAAGTTCCTCTGGCCTTTCATCCTGTTGGAGCTAAGAGTTAGCCCGCGTCCAGCCTGGGCTCCTTTCCCTGGTGCCGCGATCCTCCCCACCCACACCCCAAGCCTTCTCTCTACTGCTCTACCTATTCTGGGTTCAGAGACCACGAGGCCAGGTGCCTTCTTGGCTCCTTAATTTCAAACCCCCTTGAGATGTTTATCCCTCGCCTTGTTAGAATTGTTGTCGGTCTCAGTGTTTCCACAATGATTGCATTTTCCGAAACCTCATTCCTACTTTCCTTGTTTACATACTTTTCAGGAAACCAGACGTCAAGCCAGCTCTAACCCCAGTAGTCTGAACCCCTGTGATCAGGAGAGCTAAAGCCACCATCTATGCCTACCCTCTAACCTTTAATGTTACAACTCCCTTGCCTGTTTCAAACTCCTGCTTTTCCTGAACGACTAAGGAGAGACTTCTCCCCCTCTCTAAGCCCCAGGACTAGTCCAGACCCATCTTTGTTCTTGGACTTTGCGTTCTTCTCATTTGTTGTCCTTAACGTGCATGATCATTCTTGAGAGAGTAAGTGTATGCTCGGTATTGAAGCAAAGATAGTAAAAAATCACTACTGCTTTCAGCATGCATTACTTTATATTGCTGGGAGCGATGTGCTTGGTTTGGGCAATGTGAAGACGATCACTTTTAGACATTCAGCACCCATTCAGCAAATATTCTCTGTGCTAAGTAATCAAGCAACCAACTTTACCTGGGGACAGGGACAGTGAAAAGGCTGCACCTGAGCTGGATCAAAAGGAATTTACTAAACCCAGGAAAACAAAGTCACTGCTGGGTGCAGAATGAGGATTAAAAGCCTGAGAAGGTTGAGCGGTGGTGGCGCCCGCCTTTAATCCCAGCACTCCGGAGGCAGAGGCAGGCGGATCTCTGTGAGGCCGGACTTGACCGACAGCCTCCAAAACAATACAGAGAAACCCTGTCTCGTAAAACCAAAAAAAAACAAAAAAAAAACCTGAGAAGGTTGAGCATTGTTAAGGGAGATTTAAATACAAAAAAACAGAGTGCTTGGTGAAGACTGAAGGTACAAATTGGGGGTTGAGAACAGTTTGTGAGTGGTCTTGATTTCAGTTGGGATTGTGTTCAGTAGTTAGCCAGAAGCTAAAGCATGCTTTCAGGGAGTGGTTGTGATCAGGGTATGGAGGACCAAGAAAACTAGATGAAATTACAGTCATTCAGGTAAGGCACCAGCACCTCCATTGAGGCAGGAGAAGAAAGACCAAGAGAAATGAAGTAGATGCTGTATAGGATTCAACTAGTGAGTACTAATTTGCTGGTAGGGGGCGGCTAGTTTTTAGTCTGGGAGACTTCGTGGTTGGTGATACCATTAAAATCCAGTCTGAGGCATGCATATAAAAACAGGGTGGTGGCAACTTTGCTCTTTAGCGGTGGCAAAAACACAGTGTTCCCCAGCCTAAAGCATTGATTTTGCAGTCTAGACCTCTGCTATTACAGTAGCCACTAGCCACATGCAATATTGAGCACTTGAAATGGGTCAGAGATGTCCCCGAATTTGAAGGCAATGTAAACAGACTCATTAAATGATCACATGTTGAAATGATGATGTTAAATAAAACATTAGGTTTTACCTCTTTTAAATGTGGCTGTGAAAAAGTTTAGATTCTATCTGTGACTTTAGTTATATTTATCTATCTAGACTAATGGCTAGAAAGGCATGAGGAAAGAGGCAGAATTTGATCTAGACCCTGAGAGAAGAGCAAACTGATGTCAAAGGCAGCTTCCTTTGACTCCTCACCACACTTGCCATTAATAGTTATTTGTTTTTATTTTAAACTTTGTGCACGAACACACACATGTACCACCGAGCACAGATGAAGGTCACAGACAGCTTGCTGGAGTAGGCACTGTCCTTCCATCACATGAGTACAAGGGACAGAACTCAGGTTCCAGTTAATCACTGAGCCATCTTGCCAGCCCCGCCTTCAAAGACTTGAGCAAGGGGGTGTGTATGTGTGTGGTGGGATGTTTTAGATTAATCTGGCAGTAGTGTTTCTGTTGAGATGAAGGGAGGAGAAGCTGCAGGGAGAGGAAGGGAGAAACCCAAATGTAAGGTAATGATGTGGTCTGAGGTTCAGTGTTGACAGTAGGAACAGAAAAGAATGGTATATGTGCAAGGTGTTCTGAGGGAGGAACAACTCAGAACTGATAGGGGACAGTCCTGGGGAAATACAGGGAAGACATCAGCCTTGGCTACTGAGCAAAAACCAATGAATTGATAAAGAATTCTAAAATACAGTAGGGACTAAAGAACAGAGTAAGCGAAGTGGAGAGAAGTGTCTAGAAGTCTAATTAAGCACTATCCCTTTTCTGTGTCCACGCTCTGTTAGTGTGCAGTCATGCACATCACCTGCTTTCCTTCATACAGAGTTGCCTGTCTCATGTCTTCTTCCTGTTAATGAATTTTTAAATGTTCCTTTATTACCTGTAGACCTAGATCCAAGGTATCCAGGGGCCAGTCAGTTGGTCCTGTCCTGCTTATTAGGTCAGTCTGTCTGTCGCTGAGTTCTTCACTGATGTATGCTAGCTTTGTGTCTTAGCTAATGTCATTCCAATCTTTTGAATGTCTTTTCTCTTTCTGCCCTGACCTTATAAATCTCCATAAGTAATCTTAGTTCTCAATAACAGAAGCAGTGGAGAATTTTTAAACTTCATTTTCTAAACTGTATATGTAAGCAGGTTACAACCAGTTTGCCTCATAACCATTTTATTTATGTTTTATGCCTTTTGTAAATTTAACTCTTTACAGTTGTTTCTCTTTTTTAGACTTACTAGTTTGTGTGTATGAACGAGTGTTTTGCCTGTATGTATGTATATGCAATGTGTACATGTCTGATGCCTTTGGAGTTTAGAGCTTTGGATCCCCTAGAGCTGGAGTTATGGATGATTGTGAACCACTGTGTGAATTACCCAGGTCCTCTATAAGAAATGCTAATGATCTTAACCCCTGAGTCCTTTCTCCAACCCCAATGTTTCTTCTTTTTAAAATGGAACATATAGGGCCAGGCATGATTGTACATTCCTGGAATCCTAGCATTTGAGAGGCTGAGGCAGGAGAATAAAGAACCTTGAGACCTTTTGGGCTATATAGGCACTTCCAGACCAACATGACTTCGTGGTAAGAACTTGTCTCAAAAAAAAAAAAAAAAGACAAAAGGCATACACAACTTTGCTCAGGATCTTGGGGAAAGACATAGAAATTAAAACACTATAATTATAAACAGAAGTTAATCACATTACATCCCGAGACTTTTTTAAAAAGATTCATAAAGAACTCTTCTGAATTTGTATTTCATCATATCTTCAGCTGAGATATCACTAAGTCATGAATGTCAGATAAGGATACATATTTACCACAAGAACCTACCCCAATACTTACTATCTGTTGAAGTCTGGGTCTTTGGGTAAAAGTTTTAATGGGAATTCACTCAGTTATATCTGTAAGCACTTTGTATTTTGAGTTCATCATTAAGTAACACTGAGAGCTAAAGTAGATTTAAAGAATTGGGCATTTAGCTCCGTGCTAGAGCACTTGCTTAACATGCATGGGACCCCAAGTTTGAGTCCAAGCACTGCCCCGTCCCCCAATAGAAGCAGCTTTGGGGAAATATTGCCTATATTCTTTACAAAATAGTATTTGTGAACATTTTTATAGAATAGAAGACTAAACCAAGCCCAATGCTGCCTGCCTTTTATCTGGAAGCAAAGGCAGCACTCTGGAGGCAGAGGGAGTTGGATATCTGTGATTTCAAGGCCAGCCTGGTCTTCATAGTGAGTTCTAGGATAGCCAGGGCTGCATAATAAGACCCTATCTTGAAAACAAACAAAATTAGTGTGTTTACTTCTCATATCTCAAATGAGAATACAGTAAATCAGTGTGTTTCATATTTTAATTTATTAGAACAGCTAGTATATGCTTCTGCTAATTAATGTATCAGATGGCTCAGGTCTAGTTAGGTGTGATTACCCAGGCCTATGATCCCAGTATTTGAGAAGGAGGGGGGCAGGAGAATGAGGAGTTTAAAGTCATCTTTTGCTACATAGAGAAGCCATCTATATTACATGAGACCTTGTCTATGAATAAATAAACAAACAAAAGGAAGTTGGAGCAGTTAAATGTAGACCCTACATTACCTGCTGAGCCATCTCACTGACTTTTTCCAAAAGTTTCATCCCACAAGTTTACTACAAAACAGTGTTCATATTAATCTTTGTGGAAAATGTATAATAGGTGTCCCCACATACAAGTCCCTATATTTAAGACCTCTTGTATAGAGAAAGACTTTGTCATCAAGCTAGATAAAGAGACAGATTAGCCTTGAAGCTGAGTTCTTTTTTGTTTGTTTGTTTGCTTGTTTTTCAAGACAGGGT